GGTCTCATCTTCAACTACTTCTATATGGTGGTCGGCGGGCGGCTCGTGACCCGCATCGCCGTTTAATTGGCCAGGCATCTTGTAAGATTTGGTAGTAGTGTGTGAAGAGGGACGGAAACTGAAGAATCGCGGGCTCGGTGACGGACACGCTAAGAAAGAAGAAAGTTGTAGAATGTTTGGAGACATGACGGCGGAATTTGGTATGTAGAGTTACTGCGCTAGCGTATTTCGTAAAGTCGTTGTACCGTTGTACTGTGGTATCGATCCACCGATATCGATTAATCCAATAATGTTCTAGACTTTAGTTTTGTTAGTCCTGGTTAACGCTGGCAGCAGGGAATATTGGGCCCATTGTGACATGTACCACGTGCAAGCACTGCACTGCAGGGTCCCTGATGACGACGATGTTTAGGATAGGTGCTGGGTGTTGATAAGATAGGTACCTATGGTGCTCTAGATACCTAAAATGTTAGGTGCCTAAGAGGTATGCGTACCTAAATGCTGTGCTACCGTATATTTAGCACGTAACCGAGATAACTTATGTAAGTCAGGTGTCTATCTACACATAAGACATTAGTCGGTTAAAATGTGGAAAGACCTAGCTGTGCTGGAAGCACTTTGGGGATTGACGGCGGGACGCTAGTCGTTTTTTATGGGATAGAATGATGGCATCCCCCCTGACATCGTCATAAAGCTTAAGATTCTCCAACTTTAAACCTCCATATGCAAAAGTAAAAATCCCATATATTGAAGACAACGTATAACAATTCCAGATCGAGAATTCCTCCCTCTTTGTGCTCTCGTGCAGCTCAAACCACACCATTTTGATGTCGAGAAATGCATCATCATAACTTTACCATCCACTCGCATATTTCGCGCGCATCGCTTCACCCCGCATAAAAGACCATCGGCCATTCAACCATGATCTCGAGTTCCCAATCACGATGTCCATCACTATTCGCAGTTTTTCCCGGTTCTCCATTCGGGGTATCCCAAACTTGGCTATTATCACGTCACGCTATTTCACGACACCCCGCATCGACAACTCATTTGCATGCAGGAGAAGGTACCACGTTGAAGGTCTGGTGCTCGCTCCCGTAGTGTTCAGCGGCTTATTCGTCGCATTGTGGACCTGGAAGTGTTTGATGTTGGTCATTTTCCAGAATAAAATCATATACATGCCGGGTCTACCACCCAATGCGCGTTGGGAGAAGATCGAAGATCACGCCAGCCGGTGTGCCGGCATTAAGTGGCGGGAAGAAAGAATCCGCGCAGCTGACGGGACAGATCTTGCTCTGTGTATTACGGACATGGAACTTGGTTCTGGTGCAACGTCCATGGTACCAAACGTTGCATTCTACATACTCTATTTACAGGGTCTGCATGCATTTCTGCTTCTGTGGGGTAAAGATCGAGATCAGCTCACGATTGACGATAGGGAACGCCTCGTCCATCCCCCCTCGCTTACCCGACCTTTCCTCGATCCTTTGCATGCTAAAGAGACGCTCGTCACAATGGGATGATCGAAATGTTCGATGCACAACTGCATGTCTTAGCTATAGGGGCTATTGGACTTCGCGAGGCCGTCCTACCGAAAAGGGTATCAATATGGATACTGCCGCCGCCCTTAGCTGGATTTCTCAGCTGCATCGTAATTCTTACGGCGGAGAGAACCAAGAATCGGGACCCTCGGCAAAGGTCGTCCTTTGGGGCCAAAGTATTGGCGCGGGGGTAGCTACCAACCTCGCAGCCGAAGCCATAATACCCGCAAACGTACATTTGGATTCCATCATTCTCGAAACCCCATTCACGTCAATTCGTGCCATGTTGGAGGTTCTCTACCCGCAGAAGTGGTTGCCATATCGGTACCTCTGGCCGTTTCTGCGGAACCACCTCGACAGCTGGAAAAACCTAGGGATTATATCACGGAAGTATGAAACTGGCAATTCTCCCCCGGAGATATTTATTCTAGAAGCAGCGAAGGACGAGCTTGTTCCTAAAGAGCTCGGTCAACAGCTCTATGATCGATGTTTAGACGTACAACTACCTGTGACGAGGAAAGCTGTAGATGGGGCTTTCCATAACGATACCATGTTTCGAGGCGACGGTCGAAGGGCCGTCTCGGAATTCTTGTCGCACAGAATGTGTTCCGCTCGTGTTTAAACTTAATTGGCCCATTTTGAGAATCCTATTTGTGGTTGGGCAGCTGGGCCATGACCTAAGACCAACGTAGTAGTCGTTGATTGCCAGGTACACATGCCTATCCATAGCCCAAATGCGCTGATTGTCAACTCGACATTGAGAATGAATACCGGAGAAAAACACACTCCGGAGTATCCAAGGTATTCATTCTTCATTCGTACGCGGGATATGCCTCGTTGACCCCATGCTACCCCTTTTCGTGATAGCCTGCTCCTTACTCCAAGAAATTGAAGCATGGCATTGCGTACATCAACCACCAAATGAACTCCTAAAACCAATATGATAATCCTTTCCCAATCTCTTTAATCTGGTGACTGTATTTGCTAGCGAACCAAACGTGGCACAAAGGCTCTTGGCAGGCTCCCTGGTTTCTCAACGGCATGTTATGGGCCGATAATTCAAGACCTAAGAATAAGGAATATAAGTCAAGTAAAGATACCTATTGATATGCTTGGTTACTTGTCTGGCTTAACACCCCGTTCGTGTGAACGGCGTTTGCTGAGCCATACCTTGCGTTCGATATATGTACCCAGTATAGTTATGAGTTCCGTAGGCCTAGCTAACATAAAACCCAAGATTCCAAGCACGACAGTTGCTCCCAGCTCTTGGGTAACTATAGTCACATAACCCCGCAGCGAAAATTGTTTAGACGATGGCCTATAACGGTTTGAGGTATTCGCTCGTCCTAAATGAGACGCTCGATACTTCATCTAAATAAATATCACAAGGTCCCGTTCACATTCGTACTTATACTTCAAGTAGACTCATACGCCGCTAAGTTGAATGACTTCTTAACACGTATAGTTGCGGTCGTAATTTAATCGAAATCAAAAATACAATGGACAATACATATCTGCCATTCTTATTTACTAAGTGGATACGATAGGGCGGGCTTGAATCGAGCATTCATCTGGAAGGTAGTTAGATGGGAAATTCTAGTGATAAGTGACGATCTATCTTTGTGGTACTTATAGATCAGCCTCTTACTCTAATATATTATCACCCCTTTTTGAGAAAATTGTTCAGTTATTAGCAATAGTAGGTGGTAGTCTTTCCATTATTACTATTCCGGCGATGAAAATGGATGTAGGAAGGGTGACGGAAGTTGAAGTTTAACTATGGTAACTTTAGGTAGTACTTGTTAGGGAATAAGTGAGTTGGGGGTAGATTCAGGGTTTGATCTACTAGAATCACCGAGGTACATACAAAAGAAGCGCGTAGCGCTTTTGAAAGAGGATAGAAGGGCAGACGTTAATAGTTCAATTCAACTGTCCCGGCATTCATTCTATCTATGACACTAATCAAGGATTCTATTTGACAGTACCTATCATATCAAGAATATATTTCAAGAATTTAGAGTTAAAATCCATTAAGAATCTTATAGTTTATTGACTCACAGGTTATCGAATTTGCGTATTAAGCTATTAATTATGAGAAGCTAATATAAAGTTATGATGGCCATCCTTTGATAATTAATGATCTTAAGCATATAATTTTGGCCTACCCCAATCTCATACTAGCCCTACAATGAGCAGTAATATACTTTTTCGCAATAGTATACGTCCAGAATTGATTATATTAGTGTTGTCACGGAGAGGACTATTCAGTACCCTGTAAGCAACAATGGGTAAGTGTCAATTTAGACTAAACCTCACTACCTACTGGTTACCTAGTTATAGGATAGAAAGTATACTCTGAGTTATGGAGACAGATGTTAATATAACGTTCAATATGCTATATGCTCGGGCTACCTGTCACTCTGTAGGTGGTGTAACGTCAAGGGCGATCTCTGACAGTAAGTTTCAACATTAACAGTCCTTGGTAATTTAATGCGGTCTTATTTCACGTACTAGAGACTTCGAAGCAACAATTCAATGTTATAACCTAGGTTAGTTACTAACTATGAGAAACCGAAGATGACTTCGTCGAGTAGGGGATAGGTGTCAAAGATACCCCTTGATTGATGTCATACGTAGAGTGAATACTAGATGCAGCAGCTTCGTTGCTGTATAGCAGCCGTGTAGTAGTATGAATTTATTAACGCTTGACCTTCTAATCTCTTACGAGGGCGCTGCGCACCCCCTATAGATATCCTATGTAGATCTATACCTAATTCATACTAGCTTCACTTGTCCCCTGACAATAGGCAGATAGGACGGATTGATGAACAGGAGAAGAAAAGAAAAGTTCAAATGAAATACATATAACCTGTCCGTCTCATGCTATATATATGCGTGTAAGCTGGCTAGCTGCATTCCTTGGTCGTCCCGTCTGCCCGTTTACGACAATGTGGTACCAGATTTCAAGTAGCCTCTCAGCTTCAAAAACGGAATATGGCCTGTGCATGGTATCGGGTGGATGCATAAAATGCAGCCATTCCGCCCGTGCGAAGCCTATCTGTGGCGTTTCGACGTTTTCGTCGTCGTACCTCGGCTGGATGGTCAGCAATGACTCAACGAAGACAACAAGGAGAATACCTACTAAACTATCCGGAGGCCAAGTTCCGTGATATCGATCTTTTCCTTCACATTGGAATCGCTAGGTAGTTCGGACGAGGCTAAACCAAGCAAAGAGCTACATCATTGTTTTATTTTAATGAGGCTTGGCACCGACTTGCTTGGGTAATATCCAACCATAGACAAGCTTTCTTGGTCTACGTATGTTGTATTGTCAACCGGTAGGAGAAGCCCACTGCCGTTAGATGCTTAACGAGGTTGACGCAATCATGCTAGACGATGTCGAAAGTCGCGGGAACCCGCTTTTACAGCTCCGGCTAATGAGCACCGGGGATTTCGGGGGGTAGCTCCGTAAAATCCTTTTTCAGACGCAGCTATCCGGCCTTGTGAGATTTTGTCCCTCCGATCTTATAGGACTATCAACCTACAAGTCATAAAAAAAACCAAAAACCCCCTACGAAGTAGAAACCCACCGGCGTTTAGACCAGCTGGCTTATACTGGGCACAAGGAAGAATCTAGGAGGTGCCTCAAGATGAATCTGGGCACGAAAACATTAATATGTTTCGCTTATCTGCTTACCCGGTAAATATTGGTTCTGTATAATGAAATGTTACCTCAGCTAATAAAACGATGGTGGTGATAACGTTAAAAACACGACTCAAGTGCCGTGAAGATCCCTGTCCCACCTACCAGATCAAGGGATTCTGCGTCACATACATTGTTCATGCATTGTTCATGCGTTTATACCCTCGTACGATGTAAGAGAACGCCCCCACACTATTCCGATTATCACACCAACGACCAATATGTAGCGCTTACGGGTGTTTCCGTCAAGCATACTAAAGCATGTGCAATCGATGGATACTAGGAGTCTAGTGTAGGACCTACGATAACATCGTGAGTTAGCTTTCTCCTCCCAGCTATAAGGCCGACCTTCTCTGGTGTTCCGTCTTCTGTTTGCAAAGCGCTAATGATCATCCAAATTATTTTATAAAGTGTTATTAGCCACTTCCTGTGCTTCGGGTGCCTTTCATACCTGGGACCTGGGCACCGCGTTGCACCGAGCTACGTGAGGGATACGTACATATATATATATTGTGGTTTCTGCCAAGCAACACTTACATATGTATTGTGGTCTCTGCCAAGCAATACTTACGCAATTTGTGTCGTTACCCTTGCCCGTGATATCTCGTCTATGCGAACTGTTTCCAAGATATCGACACACAGAAAGGGGAAGGTCGGCGGTTGGGCCAATGAGCATCTCGCAATCATGTCCTCCTATCGACTCCTTCACGCACATGCAGCACGAGATATAAACATGTTACGTTGCTATTGACGATGATATATATTCCTGTGGACCCCAGCACCGAAAACTAACAAAGATCGTCAGGGAATAGCCTGTATCTCGGATATCAACTGAGCTGGTCGTTAGGCAGTTGATTTGCGCGGAATTTCCCCGAAGCGCCAGGTAGCTTGCCAGCTACGGCAGACTATGTATAATGGCCAGATTTGCCCCGCCATTTATTACTCCCTGGACGACCCAGGCTGTAGGGACTATAACTTAGAAGCGCATAACATACTCCTCGTCTAGACCAGTACAGCCTGGTGCTGTAACGACACTCGCACGACATGGGGAACATACTTTCCAGCAAGCCGGCCATCAAGTCGCCGTTGACAATATCGTCAGACACGGTCATCCCGCTACACCGGTTCGACGATACACCGATCAACAGAAAGGTTATTGTTGAGTTCACGATGCGATTTGATGACGTGTTGAATCCCGATAAACTACGTCTGTCGCTAGAGAAGCTCCTTAGCCGGCGTGACTGGCGGAAGCTAGGTGCAAGGCTGAGACTCACCGTATGCTTGCTATTGCTACTATGTCGTCTAAGCATAGGGTCTTCTACTTCCTAGAATAGAATCCAGTAACTAAAAAGATATTTACAGGGTGATGGTAAACTTGAATACCACATTCCGGACTCCTTCAGCGAGAAAAGACCGGCATTCGCATATTCGCATATAGAACACAACGTTGAGATTGCCAGGCACCCAACCGGTTGTCGTCTTCCTAGAGCTGCCGCGAAACCTGCCGTCCTGAGTGACCCGGAAGAGTTTGCGCCTCTGTTGCGCCGTTGGGGTGCGCCTCGACGACTCAGCGACTACTTGTACATTGACGCACCGCAGCTAAGCTTACACATTGTGTCCTTTACCGACGCGACGATCGTCTCGCTATCGTGGCCACACACGCTCCTCGATGCGATGGGACGAAAGGAGCTTCTAGATGCTTGGATAGCCGTGCTCGAGGGTAGGGATGACGACGTGAAGCCGCTCTACGGCGTGTTGCAAGACCCGCTCGAGTCGCTAGGAACCGACCCGCAAGAACCGTACGTTTTGGCTCACCGCCGCCTAGCCCCGATCCAAGCCTTAATTTTCGCCATATCCTATATCTGGACAACCTTATTTTGGTCGCGCGGCGAGGACACGCGGATGGTCTGTGTACCAGCTGCCCACGTACAGTCCCTGCATAAGGGCGCACTCGATTATCTCGCCTCGCAGACCGCCGAGGATGAGAAGGTGAAACCGTTCGTCAGCGAAGGCGATGTGCTTTCGGGTTGGGTCACGCGCCTCGCCCTCCGACACCTCCAGCACACAGAACAGACCGTGTCCATCATGAACGCCTTCGGCATGCGCTCGGTACTCGCCAAGGACCTTCTTCCGCAGACACATGCTTACGTCGGCAACGCTGTTGCTGGCGTTTGGGCGTTTGTGTCGATGCGAGACCTATTTACAAGGCCCTTAGGCTACGTCGCAGCCGCAGTGCGCCAATCTATTGCCGAACAGGGGACACGAGCGCAGGTGGAAGCACGCGCCGCTCTTGACCTTGCGGCCTGGAAGAGGGGTAAATCGGCTATGTACGGCGACCCCGTCATGGTGCCCGTGATGATCTCCAACTGGAGCAAGGCCAAGTTCTTCGATACGGACTTCTCGGCCGCGGTAGTGCGCCCCGGTGCGGACCCGGAAAAGCGGGCCAACAAGATCGGGCGTCCGTCGTACATCCAGCCCAACGGTCTTATCAACGGCATGCCCACGCGCAACTCGTTCCCTATAGTCGGGAAGGATGCCGCCGGCAATTACTGGCTTTCCGGCACGTTGCAGAGGGGGCTCTGGAAACAGGTACAGGAGGAGATGGATGCCGAATATTACTACCTGTCTGGTCAGCTCGTAAAGGCTTAAGGACTTAAAACTACGATGGGTATGAATCATGGTTATTAACGAGAGTTATATAGCTGGGGGCATGTTAATCTTGGAGAGAATTCCTCTCGTGTTTGTATATATAGATTCACTGCGTGTTGTCATTGGCGATGTTATCGGGTCAACTACGATGTAGATGATACTTTTATTATCGTGGGATATATTCTAATACGAAACGTCATTATGGTTCCACATCACGTCAAATTCTAGTTAGAGATACTGAATAGATCTTTTGTCACGTACTTGTCTTGAACAGCTTTTCCTGTTTAGGTGTATGGAGTTAATTTTGTCTTACTAAATGTTTCAAGGGCGTAGTGGCTACAGCTTGGCCATGAGACCCCTCAAAGTGAAGAGGTCCAAGTTGGAGAAGCTGAGCCTCCTCTCCTTTCTGGGCTGTCAGCCAAGAGCATTTTCACTGGGATGTGGTAGATCGACGCGGTGGGATTACTAAACCTGAAAAGCGGAGTACGAGAGTGAGAATCCGCGGTCATGGAACTAATATATCTATTTGGAGTATTCTGTCAAGTGAAGTCTTGGCTAGTAGCATTGGCAACGTCTCGTCGATTATATTAATCTACCATCACCAATAATAATAGATCACACCATGTACTCAAGGGATCATCACGTTAAAATGCCTTTTCGTCTTACTCCACTGCCGTTATATCTACCCCTTTAAGATTCCGTTTACCAGGAAATGTGATCTTCTATTTTAACGGGAATACCTAGAGACTCCTCACTGTCTCTTAGGATTAAATATTGCGATCGAACTGTTTATTCGCCGTTTTCACTTGATAGAATCTGAGCTACCTGGATTTATTCATTTCGTTGATCTCCACCTACTATTCTTACCTACAATTATATTTACTTTGATAAGGAGGTAAACTTCAAGTTATCCATTGACATCCTTCCCTGTGACATTGATTCTTTAAGCTTCAGTGCTAAATTTGAAGACAAAAGATAACAAATATTTCCACAAATATCAACGAGGTTCTTTTGTCGTATATAAATCATGTGATAAGTCATCCTCGTATCATCCTCCATTATGATAAGCAGAAATTTTGAAAATAATCGTCCCTGACCCTGATTTAGCTGTCATATTGCTCAATGACAATGAGAGATTATATCCTAGATAATCTAGAAAATCTGGGAATTATTTGTTCTCGAAGGCGTCTTACACCCGAGAACATCAGGAGTTCTTGAGTACCTAGGTAAATAACTAACTTAGGTACTCAAACTCACGCCTTTCATCTCTTATATAGAATCGCTTTATTAAACCTGAGACAATTTACAAAGACATCAATAATTCGACGCTTCAATAATACCACCCATCAACCTCCATCTTCGTCCTATCTATATCGAAAGGAGCTTTTCCAGTTTAGTTTAGAGAATGACGAATTGATTATTGTTAAGACCTTACCCTTCGAATATATAACAGTGAGTTGCATGAGTTTCTCTTTGATCGGCCGAAGATTATTTATGAGCCTAATATTGCGGGCAGTCTTTAAGCAAGTCATCGGAATGATGCTTCTATGCGAGGACGGTCACATGGAATTTCTAGGATACCCAGATGCGTTTCGACTGGCCCAGCCATTTATAGTTGGTGATGCTGAAATGCTATACATAGCGATGAATGGTATAATAGGGGGTCTCAATAAATTGAGGGGAAGCCGGATTTAGGGGAAGTTTTAACTAGAGAATGGGGAAGATAGGGAACTACATAGTACGACGTTCACATTGTCGACTATTTACCAAATTTACATGTGTGGTCGAATCATCCAAATAACTAAGAGAGCCCGTCTGGGGGAGAGATACTCATTCCTAGAAGCCTCGATTAGCGTATATCGTTAATATACTTAAATGTCTGTCGATGAGTTTCGTGATTTGACTCTGAAGAGTCTTTGTATTCGCTATTTAAGCGAGCTAAGTCGATTATTAGCATATCATAAATATTTAACTCGAGGACACCAGTTCTGGATACCTAACCCATGCATTATAGGGACCGATGAAGAAAAGGTAACACAAACAAAATGTCTTCTGGGCCGGTCGAGGGAATCTAACAGATGAGAAATCTTTATGGTATGGTACAATGAAGTGCGTGATTATCTGATACACTCTATGACCGAGTTCCCCCCCCCTTCAAGCCACCGTCCCTAATCACTGTCCGCCTAGAAGTTTCGGCTCATGTCGTTCCTAATTCTCTGGTAGTCGAGAAGGCCCTCGACACTGCCAACGGCGCTGATGGCCACATCTTGGTCCCATAGTTTCCTCCGGGCGAAGTCCATTATGTCTTTCTCCGTGATGTGATCGATGACACGCTCTATCTCACCAGGGCTCTGGCGGCGGCCGGTTGTGACGAGTTGTCGGCCGACGTCTTCCGCAACGGCGGATGTGCTGTCGAGGGAAAGGAGAATTGAGGCCTTCAGTTGAGCTTTTGCTCGCTCGACCTCGGACTCAGTGACGTTGCTAGAAAGGCGGGACCATTCTCGAAGAGTGAAGTGAACCAGGTCATCAAGACGGGTGAGCTGGTCGCTCACTAGGTAGATACCCCATAGACTGGAATTGATTAATACAGAGTACAAGAAAAGTAGAAATAATATAAGAGAGCTTACCCCGTATCGCTATAGCTCGTGGAGAAGCTCATGAAGCTGTTGGCTAGGTCATTGTGGTGAACGAAAGTGCTCAACTTGTTGCCTTGGTGAGGTGCGCTTCCCATGGCCTTGTCATAGTTGCCGATGATGGCTTGAGTAACTAGAGCAGTGAAGTAGTCGTCGTCGTTCCAGCTCACACCCTCAACGGCAAGAGCGATATGGGCGGATGGGATGGTATCGTCTCGGATTCGAACCTCGGAACCAATGAAGCTAGGCTTTCGCTTGGAGAGGAGGTAGGCTTCGTTGTGAGGCGAAGTAGTAGGAAGTTTAGAGAAGTTCTTCTCGGCTAGCTCGACGAGCTTATCGTGAGGAATACCACCAGCACCGACGAGAACCATACGGTCAGCAGTATAGTTGGTCTTAATGTAGTTGGTTAACTCGGTCCGGGTAATGTCACGGATGTTCTCTCGAGGTCCAAGGATAGTGCGGCCGAGAGGCTGGTGGGCGTAAGCAGTGGCGTGGAGGTGATCGAAGACAACTTCATCTAGCTGCTTCTCAACTTCCTCTGATTCACGGAGAATGACATCACGTTCTCGCTCGATGGCGGAGGCCTCGAGTTTGGAGTTCTGAAGGATATCGGCGAGGATGTCGACGCACTGGGGAACATCGGAGTTGAATGCTCTGGAGAAGTAGACGGTGTTCTCACGCTATTCATATGTCAGACAGGAGTTATAATGTTGCTGGCTATATTTAACGCACCGAGGTATAGGCGTTAAGATGACCACCCATATTCTCAATCTCGAGTTCTAGTTGTTGCTGAGTTCTCTTCTCAGTGCCCTATGGAAGCAATAAGTAATGCGCAATTTTGCCGAGGTCTACTCCCGTAAATACCTTGAAGGCGAGATGTTCTAGGAAATGTGCGGTTCCATTTGTCTCGTCCGTCTCGGCCCTCGAACCGGCATCAATCCATACCCCCACCGTCGAAGTCTGCGCCCAAGGCGAATATTCGGTCGCGACCTTTCGGCTTATCGTCAGATACAAGTTCAAGAAGCATTGACTAGCCCAATTGGCCGCTGGAGATAGCTTACCGTCAGACCATTCTTCAATGTTGTGGTCTGGGTCTTCGCGCCAACGGGAGACGTCACCGGAGTTGCAAAACCTCTTCGTAATGGTCGTATGGCAGAATTTGCGGCACGGCTGCGCATGCCCTGCGCGAGGTTAAAAGCGAGTCTCCTGGACGCCATTAGGGTGTTGCGTGCGGGAGGGTGGAATTACGGAAGTGAGCGGTTTGATGTAAATCTTGGACGAGTGGTTCGGTTTCGGTAATATCGAAAGCTCAAATTTTGGGTTTGGCCTGAGGCGTCAAGGTGCATTGCGGCGTGTGGGATTTACACACCTGCACGCAAGCCTCAGAATTTTTAACTTTCTTCCCGCTAAATTCCGACTAGCGTTAACGATTTGTGGCTAAGTAGCTGCGACGAGAAATAATCAACTCTTGATTGGTTATGTATTTTTTATGGGGCGTTTATGGATCTTGGCTCATCTGTTGAACTTTCAAGACTTTCCAAGAACTTGAGAGTTTCCACAATTCAATGTTGCAACTTGGCTGAGTTGTCCTTACACCACAAGAATGTTTTATTCGATTCCTAATTTCTAATACCGTTGTTTTATTTGAATACCTATTACTTGATCCTATTTATAATAATCTGTACCAGTCCCCTACATTGTTTAATAAAATGAAATAATTATTTCACTTGTAATTATGTCTAAAGGTGAACATGATATCGACTCCGAGTTCCACGCCGTCCGTGTCTCTGGACCAGACGCTCCCGTCGTCGGGATGGAACCGACCATATCAAGCTATCCACCTCTTGGACAGGTCACTCAGTTCAAAGACAATACGTTCCAACTTCTTGCTCTGTTAGAAATAGACAGTAGCTGTGCGGAAGATCCTTGGGAGGTTGCCGTCTGGTATTCTTCTTCCGGTGCCGACTGGACGGAGAAGTCGTTATCGCCCATTTCCGTCAACGATTGCCCCTCCGCTCTTCAAATTGTTAGACATTCGCATGCTCGCTTATACTTTGGAGCGCCGTTTATTGTATCATCATCCCTAAAATTTACTTTGAAGTTCCGGAATGGCCGTAATGAACCTTGGGGGTGGTCTCGCAAAGTCTCTGGGATATACGATGGGATCGTTTTGATTAGCCCAACATCCCCAAATAATCGAATGGATACGAATCTCTCTAATATAATCCATGGGCTTAACCCGGAGCTAACGGTCACGGCTGCAGAGAGTCAAACCCCCAATACCCAAATCTGGACTGTAAGCGCAAGTGTGAATCCGGCCGGTGATGATCGTTCCGCATATGCCAATGTAGAGCTTGGGACTCCGTGGGGTGGTGCTCTGCGGTAAGTCATGATTTTTATTTTTCCTAAACTAGGTAGTATAGGCGTTGATTATGATTGCGGAACTGACGGAGTTATAGATATTTCGCACTAGTTCGCCATGGATCGCCGTGGTTAGGTCCTAGGCATGGTAGAAAGTCATTTAGATTAGACAAGGATGCCGTGATGTGCTCTTTTCTAAGCCATCAAGGAAAACATCTTGTCTTGCTAGGAGTTAGTGGAGTTGGCAATGTAACTACGCTCCTCCGCAGCTCAGATACAGGTTCCGTGAGGTTACATGTAAGTAAAAGCTCAACCCCACAAACCAATCCGTTCCCCGACAGTCATCTCATGCTTGATTCGTAGATACGCAGTGACAACGAAACTCAATCAACCGGCCTGGTTTTGGCTTCTATTGGTGATGATTTCGAGAGTGCGGTAGCAGCCGTCATGTACCACGCTCGAGCCGTTGTAGTCGCCACGAGTAATATCAAGGATGAGTTCGCTAAGGAAATCCAGAGTTTGACTAGTGATATCAAGCCTGAATGGTACGAAAATTGGTATGATGGATTGGGTTATTGTAAGCAATCTGCCCCCCTGAATTGTCTCGATGAGTCTAACTTAGCATTACTGCATGAATAGGTACTTGGAATGCTCTGGGTCAACATCTAACGGATGAAAAAATAATACGAGCTGTTGGAGCACTAGCAAAGGACCGCATCAATATCAGCAGTCTTATCATAGACGACAACTGGCAAGATATTGATTACCAGGGCCGGGATCAATACCAACATGGTTGGAAGGGATTCGAAGCTGAGCCAAACACATTCCCGAATGGACTCAAAGACACAGTATCTCTCATCCGCTCAAAGCATCCGAGTATCCAACACGTCGCCGTCTGGCATGCTTTACTTGGTTACTGGGGAGGGATTTCAAGCACTGGTGACCTCGCCCAGACTTATAAGACAGTCAAAATTGATCGTGCTGATTCTAACCTCAACGGTCCCATGTCTGTTATCGCAAAGGAAGATGTTGGGAAATTTTATAACGACTTTTATCGCTTCTTATCAGACTGTGGGATCGATGGTGTCAAGACGGATGTGCAGTACATGATAGACACCTGGGTCTCAGCTAAACACCGTCGAGAACTTACTGAGGCGTACATTGATAGCTGGATAATATCGGCCTTGAGATATTTCAGCATTAAAGCCATATCGTGTATGTCGCAAGCGCCGCAACTCTTGTTCCTCCAGCAACTGCCGCAAAACAGACCAGCTATGCTCGCGCGTAACTCAGACGACTTTTATCCCGATATCCCAGACTCACACCCGTGGCATCTCTTCGCGAATGCCCACAACGCCTTGCTTACCCAGCATCTAAACATCTTACCAGATTGGGATATGTTTCAGACCGATCATGAATTTGCGGGCTTTCACGCTGCTGCGCGGTGTCTCAGTGGTGGGCCGATCTATATAACCGATACCCCTGGAAAACACAATATCGATCTCATTGCTGAGATGACAGGGCCAACGCCTCGAGGTAAGACCGTTATTTTCAGACCCAGCGTAGTGGGTAGAAGCATCGACGCATATACTAGTTACGAAGAGCCTGCGATCCTCAAAATTGGGAGTTACCACGGCCGAGCTGTAACTGGGACACCGCTACTAGGCGTCTTCAACATATCGCGGCGAGCGGTGGGGGAGCTCATCCCTCTCTCGCACTTCCCGGGTGTGTCCGCATCAAATTTATACGTCGTGCGTGCTCACCGCAGCGGCCTCGTAACATCCGTCGTAGAACTCGGCTCTGCTGCTGCCATCCTCGCTGTATGGTTAGACATCCGAGACTACGAAATTTTTACCGCCTTTCCCATAACGCGATTTGACAGCGAGACGAACGGTAGGATATACGTCGCAAATCTAGGCCTAATCGGGAAGATGACGGGCGCCGCTGCTATCACCACAAACCAATCTGAGCTCCTTCATACCGGTAGGGTATTCTTGGATACACGGCTCAAAGCCTTGGGAATTCTTGGTAAGTCCCTGTTACTGCTAGCGACTTAAATTGTTATACTAACCAGTCAAAGGGGTGTATATTTCAAGTCTCCCTGATATGTCGATTGAACGAGATTTCATGGTTACTATTCAAGGCCAACCAATTCCGCCTCACACGGTTACTGTTAATAAGGCCGACAGCCGTGTGTTGGAAATTGATATCGAAACGGCGTGGAATGAAATGGGTCTAACAGCCGGTTGGAGCAATGAGGTCGAGATCAAGGTTTACTTCGATATTGAACATCCTTGATTCCAGGTTCATGAGTATCCAGTATGAGATATTCTGCAAGGATGTCTTCTTGGATGTATTTGGGTATACGATGGTAATGATAATGAATGAAATGTATAAGGTGGGTACGGGTTGGGTCACTCTATTTAGTCGTTAGTTAAGAAATTGGAGCACTGTATTAAGTTACATCAGTGTCGCCTACTACTACTACGAGATTATCGTGGGATTCTCTACTAACAGATCTTATAGAGAATTGGCATCGAGTAGTATCTCTTCTAGACCAACTTAATCAAGCCTTGCCCAACCTCTTCGCCTCAAGAGTCATGCCTGGCGCGATATCATCCTTCAAGGTCGGACCCTTAGGCGTCCAGCCTAAATACTTCTTCGCCCTAGCGGCAACAGCCTTGGAATTGGTCGCGAAAAATGGTAAATCGACCTCCTTAGCAATGGGCTCAGGAATAAAACCCTGCTTCGCGGCCTCGTCGGCGACCCACTTAGCTACGTCGCTCCACTTGTGCACGCCGTTCTCGAGGAAGTAGTACGCCTTGGGGCCGAAGATCTCGGGGTTGCTGTTCTTAGAAGGGTCCTGCGCGGCTTCTACGGCCTGTACGAAGAAGTCGCTCACGTCGTAGATGTGCAGGTTGTTCCACTCGGTCAGGCCGGGGGGGTGGTACGGCGCGTAGCCGTTCTTCAGCGTGTACTCGATGAGCATGGGCATTTGGATGCTGCGCTGGTTGAGGGGACCGCGGCCCTGGCCGTAGATGGTAGGGGGTCCGACGATTAGGGTCTTGATTGCGGGGGAGTCGTTTGCTGCTAACACGATCTTGTCGACGTTCCTGTGGAGAGCGGCGTCCGGGAATGACAGGATGCGGTCGATGTCGTCGATGTCGTGGTATTTCTGCTCCGGCAGCGGCGCTTGGCCGTAGCGCTTGTTGGTTGAATCGTACCAAGTCAGGATGCCGGTTCCGCAAAGATGGATCCAATAGCCGGGCTTCTCGGCTGTGTGGCCCGCCGCAAGACCCTTCGCAATTGCTTTTGCAGAAGGAACATTGTCGGCTGAGTCCGCAGTGTCTAGATGGCGTTAGCTATTTGCTCTCCTATTTTGAGTCCTCGATTGGGATGGCAACGTACGGACGACGATGTCTGCTGCGGCAGCCTCCTTTTCGATCACCTCGGCATCATCTAGAGTGCCGTAGACGATACGGGCCTTGGGGTAAGCAGCGGCGACGGGCTTGCCTCGCTCCTCGTTTCGTACAAGTAGTGTATATTCATAATCCGGGTGGACTTTGTTCAGCTGGTAGAGAATATCACCACCAATGTAGCCTGTTTGTTAAGAGTATTTAGTATTTACATCGATCAGATGAGATGGTGTTTATAGCTTAGGTAGGTAGGCTATCATGTTCATACCAGTCGCACCGGTGCTATTAGATGTGTTAGCATATACTCTAAGTTATTCTATTTCCGCCTAAGTCTTAGCCCTTTACTTACAGGAAGATCTTGGGAACCATTTTCGGGAGTCTAAGTTTAGTCGTGATGTCTTAGATGGTGGTGGCTGTTTAAGTGGTTCACTAAGCGGGGTTGAATGTTTAGATGTTAGATATTCACGACAATCTATTTTAAATTCTCTCCAACTTTATATGTAGTAAAACAAACAAGGTTTTGGGTTTTATATTAGGTTAGGTATATAGGTACCTGTTACTAATGCATTTGAGGAGACTTGAGTTTCTACGAACCCCGAGAACTTAGTACATATGGTACTCACTACCCACAAGCACATGCACATGCACATGATATTCTAACCTATGTATGTACAGATGGAGAACAGATGGAAGTCGCGCGGCACCCTTCGACATCCAATTAGAAATATGATTTGTTACGCCATCTAGGGGATCTTGCTGTCTTGATGGCAACATCCACTTTTCTCCCCACTCTTGAAGCAATTCGTGGGAGGAGCTACGCTTGTATTATGCAAGCATTGATGCAAGTGCTACACTACGTCCCCATTAAAATCTTAATTCCGTTTGCTGGGACCTTCTAGCGCCATCGAGTCTATCAAGTCCATCAAGTCGGCAGCATTAGCTTGTGTACCATTCGGCTTAGCGTCGCTTAGTACAAAAGTGTATTGTTAATCAACCTACTCTCTATTTTTGGATTTACCATCATGAATCCACATCACCCTTTTCTCGGGCACACTTTTTACCGCCGATGCGACATAGACGTCAGGCATTGACATCATTCTACAATTAATAAATCCCTAATGAATCCCCAATGCTCCAGCTATATCCTTCAGACCGTCAGCCAAGCTCGTCCACCCGTGGCCGGTAAGTCGCTTCAACAGCTCCTCAGCTCTCTCGTTTGTGACACTGCATAGATCTTCACCTGCGTCGGAGATCTCTTGCCCGAATCTGTGGTTTGGGTATAGCGCTTTCAGCGTTCGGATGACGTCGTTGACAGTAAAGGGGTAAGCGAAGCCGAAGAGGCGCTCGCCTGCTACGTCGGGGTATATCAATGCAGCCACATGCAATGCGGCATCGTCACGGACATCAATATACCACTGTGGCGGGAATACCACATCTTCCGGCGTCAGGGCTTCACCTTTGTCGATCAAGACCCTAATCATACCCGCCGTGCTGCGGGAAGCCTGTCGAGCTACATTGATGGGTGCTCCTGTATTAAAGTCGGGCAGGACCGCATTGAGCGTGAAATGTGGTTTGTGTTCACGGATCCATTCCCACGCCGCCTGCTCGCCCTTAGTCTTGCTGGCATAATAGACATCTACCATACGTTTCTCACCCTCGTACGGCGGCGGGGCGAATGCCTCCCTAACTGAGTATTCGTTCCAGGTGTTTGAAACAATCGACAGAACCTTGTTAGGGATAGGAAATACCGCTGCCCCAGAAGACGATGTTAAGACGACTCGTTTCATCCCTGGTTCTTTTGCGGCTGACTCTAAGGCACGTACCGTGCTATCCACTACGATTTTGACTCTAACGTAGGGATCGGCGCTTCCCATCGCATCCATAGCAGGAGCCGCGGCGTGTACGAAGCCAGATGCCCCTTTGATAGCTTCGTTATATGCACCGCTCGCTACTATATCAGGCACTTCGGCTAACTCGAATTTGCCCGGCTATTTTCCGTTAAAACGGTTTTTCAACCATCGGTTTCTGGAAGCCTTACGGACAGTGCCACGGACCCGGTAACCTCGTTGCAAAAACTGGTCCACAATATGAGATCCGATATACCCATTCGCGCCCGTCACGACCACGAGAGATCCAGAGGCGATCAAAAGGTTAGAGTCTTCGGTTGTAGACATTCTGATCGTGTTGGTCTGATAGAATTTAGTATTGATTTTTGGGACTGGTGTAAAGACGGTAATGACTTCAGTGTAGTAGCTGCTTATCTTATGTGTGTGTCGAACATGTCTAGTAAGTGCCCTAAAGAACGATTTATATATTCTAAGATACTCGTTGCTTAGCTACCAAGCTATTATATTCGTCTTAAAGCCTATAAGAAAATTACGTACACCATCTAATCATTAACCCTTATAATACAGCAATATCATGCTTAATAATCTATTTGGATAACTGTTTGGTTAGTACACCAAAGGTCGGAGACAAGGGTTCAATATCAACTTCGGAGATCTCCTTTGGGTATGCATTGAGCATATCCATTTAGTTTGTTTTGCTTGAAAACAGATTATGGCGTTCTAGAAGTTTAATGGCGATTGATAATATTACATATTTTGATTGTTCCTGTTAGAATTCCCAATAACTTCTCATTCGGCGCGCGGAGAAGGTCAGAGACATTTGTTGAAGCACTTAAGGCTCTATTTGTATAATTAGTTGTCTGTTCTACTATGCAATATAGGTAGAATTAGCCCTAGAGATTAACCCATCATAACCTCCTAAGTGTTGGTGATTACAGGCCGTGATCTTGGCTACACTCGTATCCATATAAACCTGCAGCATACATCCGGGATAATCGCGGGACCCCATGGGATCAGGAGACTTAAGTTTAGTTTATTGCCGTTTGTCTAGAGAATTGCAACCAAATTATTACAATAATTGGATAGGGATTATGACCGAACGGACATACGAATTAGATACCTAACGCCAAGCCAACATCTGTCTGGGCATCTGACAGAGTGGGTTATAAGGTTATATAAGACTTGGTGATTATACAAGTCTCTAAGGTGTATTATATTACCCTCGTAATCGTGATTTGAGAGATCGTACGATATGATAGAAACAAATATTGGACGGGTGTAATTACGCTATGACTGAAACATAAGAAACCGGGTATCAATAAGTATAGTAAATTAGCGGTGAGAGAGAAAGGACGCTGAATACTATACGTTATACACCATAAGACACATGATCTTGAAGCAATGGGGGCAATGAGAAAGTTGCGTGGGTAAATTCGCATGATAACACTCTTATAAAGAGTCTACAGTAACGTAAGCAAGTATAAATTACAACGCACAATTATGGTATTAACCTTCAGGTTTCTTTTAATAGCAATACTAATTGTATGACATATTATAAAGTAGCTGAACCAGTTAACTGTAACTACCTACCTAACGTTAAGATAATATTAAAGGCTTTAATAAAGTTGTAATAATTACTATGATATGGTACAAATATCCCACCCTAAGCCCCGACTTAACTAAACTTGAAAATAATCCAGAAACCTCAAGTACCAGGTACCTAATTTAGTATTCTTGCTAGATGATATGTTTTGTTATTTTTAGCTTCCTGTAAGAATTTGGTTCACGAGCCGCAAAGACCCGCCCACGAGACGTCAGGTAGCGTGGTGGGCAACGCTTTGTAGGTAATAAGTTAAAGTAACTAGCAAGATTTTCACCGTTACTCGGCGAACATCGCGAAGATTCAATGCCCATTGGCCCAGTGGTTAAGGCGTCTGACTGTTATTCTTGTTTAGTGACAATAGTACACACATCAGAAGATCCCTGGTTCGACCCCAGGATGGGCAGTATCTTTTTGGTATGTGTATAGTTTACAAATTTCTAATTTTTACTATTTCTTTCTGTCAACTTGTTGGTTATTCGATTAAGTGTGTGTTTGAGGAAAGATCTCCATATGTGCGCTCGGCTCATGCGTTGAGTCCAACTAACAACTAATAGCATTTCAAGGAGTTACTATCAACCCCGCGGTATTTTCTATACGAGAGAAAGTTGATTTATATTTTATCTAATAAACTGAATTTTATTTAGGTATCCAGTTAAAAGTTATCTCAGGATATAAATATCTGCTCTAATTGATTTTACGTAAATTAAAGAGTGTCACCAACGTCTTCTCGAACGTTTAACTAAGAACTCCAAACTAATACTATTATAAATAACAACTATTATTATAAGACTCTCCAAAGATAAGCCTAAATAAAATACTGCACTTTGTTTTCGAAAGCTCTCACTTTCAACCAAGGTTAACTCGGTCCGCCTTAAAAAAGATCAAGCCCAACTGTTATTATCTTGCTAACATATCTAGTTGCATGCTTTCATATCCTACGATGCAGTCGTACCACATAATCAAGGAATCGCATAGTCGATAAATAATAAATAACCTGCCCTCATGCGCCTATAGTCATGAATATTTGTACATATTTTCCGTCCATCCCAACCAAGAGTCCACAGAATCCCCGAGCCCATCTAGTTCCCCAACGTCCAGTCCACGACGTTGCTGTAGGGGCTGTCCCTGGCCGAAACGCCATTCACAATGAGTTGCTGGACGTCCGTGTTAAAGCAGTTGTCTACGGTCTGAGCGCCGTCGCACACCGGCCAGAGAGTCTTGTCCGACATACGGCAGAACTTCTTGTCCATCAGATCCAAGAAGTCCGGGCCGTAGGATGTCTTGCTCTCGCAGAGCTCGGCTGCCGTGTGCTGGGCGTTGTTGCTGACTACTAGGCGGTTGGCCTGGCGGCTGGAGCCAGAAGGAACGGTGCTGTTTCCTCGGGGCGAGTTGCGGCCGAACTTGGCGGAGGAAGGGTATTTTGGTGGAGCGTACGACATTCCGGTTTTGCGGTTGTCGGTTCCGTCCTCGGAGCGCTTGTTGTTGAGGACCCAGTAGGTAATGCCGCGCGGGTCGCTGTCGTCCGCGTAGTTGTACATCTTGAACGGAGGCCCTCTGTTGCACAGGTAGTCTACTTTATCGGCCATACCGGCGTCGTCCGTTGGAAGCTGGTCGCCGTCCTTGTTTAAAAATTCGGGCCAGTGGACTTGGAATCCGCTTTGCGGCTGGTCATTGTTGCCGTCAATCCATAGGCAGTCAACCTTTCGGTTGCTGCTGTCAATGTAGATATTCGAGTAGTACCTAATTTATTCGCAATTAGTGCTTATTCTTCGCCGGAACGTAAGGGGTAGTGTTTAATTACCAACTACCGCCGCATTGACGACCCCAGTCACCGACCCAGGTATATCTTTCATTTCCTGGGAAAGTGACGACGGCGTGTGCAATGCAGATAGCATCGTTGTTAGCCGAGAATAGAGCATATGCAGGTTGTTGGTTTGAACCGTCGTTGTGGCTGATCTCGATGTCGCCGAAACCACCATCCGAGACGGAGCCGGGGTCTGCCTTGATACCTAGGAACTCGCCGGCCTCATTGAATAGCCTAACATCAGGAAGGTCGCCACCGGCATTGTTAAGACCACCTGGGGTGTCTAATCCAACGGTAACCCTAACGACAGACTTTGGCCCATCGTCTTGTGGGAAATGGTCGATACCAAACTGTAGTATTCCAAGTACGCCCGAAATCACGCCAATTGCTTCTATAACACCTGCCATTATGTACTGCAGTAGAATAGGTATGGGTATTCGGTAAGAACAAAACGAGTGTGATATTTGGTATATATTTTAAAGAGTGTGAGGCACTTAGGCCGTAAAGAACGTAAATAGTTAGATTCCGAAAAACGCTACCGGTTCGTCTGTAGTCTACTGACGATTAAAGATGGAGTTTGTAGACGGACATCAAGAGGAGATATATATCTTATGATTTATGGCATCACGTATATCCTACTACGTTGTGGCTTTCATGCTACTACTGTACATGGGATAGCTACCCCCTGGTCATGGTTGAAGGATCAAAACGCTATGTAAAAGAACAATACATATCCAAGCGTAGGGGCTCTTCAGCCAAGAACACTATGCTCGCGTTCTTTTGTCAAATCAGGCTATCGGTCACGCTCTATTAGGCAGTGCGGCTCTCGATGGTGCGGCATGAACAATACAACGTTTCGCTGACTCCGACGGGTATTGCGTGCATGAGAATTCCTCCGTGAAGATAAACTCAAGATGAGATCGTCACCATCGCATGGCTAGAGATTAGCTAAGAACGATTACGGAAGGTCAAGACCAAAAAGGGGTTGAGTGAGCGGCCAAAAGGGGAAATGGATCGCACAAGTGCAGCTTCAGCTTGATCGGTCCTATGAGATATACTCTTGATTTCCGCGACGACGATGTTTAAAATAAATTGTAAGCCTTGAAAGTTATGGGTGTTATGGTTTCAGTCCCCCGTATCCGGTTTGTGCTTCGCCACCCCCATCATCTATGCTAGCTAATCCAATTCTTCCAAAGTTCTTTATGCGCTCTGCTAGGTTAGTTGGTTACTGGTTAGTTACTAGTTGGTTAGGTATTAGTTGGTTATTAGTTGGTTACACGGGCAAAGCCCATCTTGGCGTCTATTAATATAGCAACAAACGTAAACCAACAAATGTAAACCAATAAATGATCGTTGGTCTAACAGCCTATTACTTTTTAGGCAGGTGACCTTCTTGTGATGCCACCACGTTTAACAGCCTCAATCCCTTGTTTGTTTTACTTAGTTATGACCGCATACCCACAAGGGGGCTCTGGTTCTTTACTAGGAACCAGCCCTATTTCCTGCATCTGCATTCAGCTTGTGACCCTATATGTAGCTGCAATTTCTATCCACGCCACGATGCGAGGGCGCCAAGTATACGTTGGTGGCCCTTGCGAATAACCGCAGAGTTACAGGATCCTTGGAGGTTTCCAATTGAGAAAAAGGTCAATTTTTCGTAAAATTTATTTTCTTTATTGTCCAAAGACCTTTTAATATCTCTTATCGATCCCTTCCCCTATTCCTGTTGTCTTTCTTCATCCATTACCACGAATCCAACATCATCAATTATTAACTCCTAGGTTAGATCCTAATGGGAAACATGCGCACAGCTTTTGTTATCTCAGCGCTGGCTGCTGCAGCCGCGCAGGTGCAAGCCCAAGACCTCAACAAGACAATTGTTGGCTGTGCCGACGTCGAGTGTCCAGCCAGCAGCACGAGCAGCGTAAATGATAAGTGCACCGTAGCAGACACCGACTCGTTTATCTACGTCGGACTAACGCGTGTGCCGACTGACAACGACGCCCTCTCGGGGTTGTCATGGTCTAAGGGCTTCAAAGTCGGCTCGTATAACAACAATCGGGACTACGAGAGCACATTCTACCTAGGCACACCACCGGACTTACAATTGAATAATTCGACGGGTGCATGTGCTGTTTTCCTGCACGGCGCGTCTAAGAATCTGGCTTTCCCCGGCGACAACGACGAGACTGCGCAGGGCACATGTACAGATGCCATGGGCTCTTCATGCGTTGACGCCCTAGTCTCCCGGGCTACGACTTTGGTAAACGGATATAACAGTGGCAGCGAGAGACTCTCCGTCTCGGAGGCTTGTTCGAGACTGCAGAAAGACCTGGAAGATAGTAAAGACGAAGCCTGTGCTCGGATCTCTCAGGGAAGTTGGAGTAATTTTACAAGCGCCGGTAAGTCCGAATAAAACTCGCTTTGAGATTAAATATTAGCTTCACTGGAAGTACTGAGAGATGCTACTTATTTTTATCTGCGCAATATTGCATTGATAACTGACTTTGTGATAGCTTTAACTGGTACGAATGCATCACAACCTATCGGCCAGCAGCAAAACTCATCGTCAAACTGCTGGCCTGTCATCCCGAAGCAAAATGATCTCACCCTAGTTAGCCAATATAACTATACAGTAAGTAATGGCTACTTCCTATCTTCCGTCAGAGTGTCATCTAACAATCGAAAAGGGAGATGACACCATTAAGGAGCTAGAAAGGGCTGTCTGGGCTATCACGCCCATAATCACGGTCTTCTACTCGGCAGGGAACGGAAGTCTGGTCACCGAGACCGAAGCTTCTATGTCCTGTCTCAAAGTCGTGGGGCCCCCGAGAGCATCTCTAGCTACTATGACTGATGGTTCTGGCGATACTGACGGCAGCGGAGCAGTTGGCCTATCGTCATCGCAGTCGGTCTTATCAGTTGCGTTATTTGCAGCTGTTGCAGCATTTTTCGTTGGCATCTAGCATGATAAATATTACATTGGCGTTGTCGGGTACGCACTCTATTTGTTCCGGGATGCAGCGAATTATCATGAATATAATATAAAGGCTGGCTATAAATTAAAAATAATTGTGTATAGTAACGAACTACGGTGAGGCCGGCAAGCGCAATTCAAGGGATTTACTCCTATTCCTAACACCTTTCCTGACATTTTGTTACTTAGCGTATCGATGCCCACTTACAGTCAGTATAAACAGTATAAGTAATAACCTCTACATCTTATAAGGGTCCTATTTTCTAACTTCGTCGATCCAAGGATACGCATCGTGGAGATATTTATGTGCCCTCAAGTCTCCAGACCTCGCATGCCCTTCGAAATTCTCAGCTCTCGAGCATCGTGCGCAAAGACGCCCAATCTCACCACTCGCTTTCTCGTTTACTACCTCCTGATACGTCTGTGTTTTCAGATACTTGCCAACCCACAGTCCACCGGTGTATCTCCCCGCTTTCCGCGTAGGCAATACGTGATTTGTTCCAATGCACTACAAGAACGATTTAGCCATATTCTACTACAAACTCATATGGACGTGGAAAATAAAAGTAGGTGCTTACCTTGTCGCCGTATGAGACGCAGGTCTTCTCCCCAAGAAACAAGGAGCCGTAGTTCTTCATCTTCTCCAAAGCCTCTCGAGGATTCCGCGTTAGAATTTGCACGTGCTCACTCGAATACACGTCTGCGAGCTCGTATGCCTCATCTAAGCTGTCCACTACGACCGCCTCGCCGTAATCTCGCCATGAAGTTCCCGCGAGCCCTGCTGTCGGCATATCTTTTAAGATCTGGTCGACATACTTGATCGTCTCCTGACCAACTTTCTCTGAAGTGGTAATTAATACGGCTGGCGAATCCGGTCCATGCTCAGCCTGGGAGAGTAAGTCCGTCGCGATCGTAAAAGGGTCCGCATACTCATCGGCAACGATGAGAACTTCGGTCGGTCCGGCCAAGAGATCAATACCAATCTCTCCAAACAATTGCCGCTTAGCTTCAGCAACGAAAGGATTCCCAGGGCCGGCGATGAAATCCACTTTCTTAATCGATTCTGTGCCTAGAGCCATGGCGGCAATGGCCTGTGTCCCTCCGAGCAAAAAGATCTCGTCTGCACCAGCAAAATGTGCTGCTGCGACAGTAGCATTGGGGACCTGGCCTAAAATAGGGGGCGTACAAGCAACGACATGCTTGACGCCAGCAACCTTTGCAGTCAATATTGTCATGTGAGCAGATGCAAGCAATGGATAACGCCCTCCTGGAATGTAAGCACCAGCCGTGCTAATAGGGTTATTTCTCTGTCCGAGGAACACACCCGGCTGGATCTCGACCTCAAAGTCTTTGATGCTTGCCCTTTGGGCTTCGGCAAACCGCCGGACATTTTTCTGCGCCTCCTTGATATCTGCTATTGTTTCTGCTGATACATTTGATATACATTCTTGTATTTGGCTCTCTGTCAACTTAAACGCTGGCGGTGACCATTTATCGAACTTTTCGGAATATGACCTCACAGCTTTATCGCCGTTAGCCTTGATGTCGTCTATTACACCTTTCACGATATCTGCCACATTTCGGTTAATTGCGGTGTTTGCCACGAGGCCAGCTGTCTTGATATGTCGGGCAACCATTTTGCTCCTTTCTACGCAGTGCTATCCTGAACATCCAATTCTTAAATTTAACCCGACATTCTGCACGAGTCTATATGAATCTGGTGTAATATAGACTATAGTTACTAACACCTACCGTAGACTAAACATCATCATTACCTCGGATGTCCCTGTGTCGCGGGGCGATCCATCAATGTGGAGAGGAGGTGGGCGGGGAATAAAGAAATAACCCAGCGAATCGGGCGCGGTGTCTGATTCTTTGCACTTCTCAAGTCGTATTTGGCTTGGTTGATTGCTTCAATTAACTATCTGGTAGACCGGCAGATCTCATAAGTGCCTCGTGCCCTCTATGACGAGAAGAATACAGCAATGGGAACTTCCTATCGACTAAGAATTTGAACTAGAACGGCAACTGTGGCTTCTATTTTATTAATGACTATTAGGAGAGGATATATCCTTGAGAGACGTAACTCTAGTGGTATAACCCCAACCTATAGGAAATCTTCTAGCAGTCAATGTTTAATCAAAAGATTGTTCAACGGGGGTGTATCAATATATATTATTACTCGAAACCTATATGAGGCTACCCGACAATAATTACTGTTGCAGTAAAATGGGCTATGAACCGGAGCTTTTCCATCGCCCATCCAACGTCGGACGTAATGTCAACCCTAAGTCGGGAATAGTGATGTAACCTTGAGGATACTCGTTTGAATCTTCTCGTGGAAGGATTAAAACCTGGGGACTTTCAGCACTAGAGTCGACGATTCGGATTCTTTTCCTCAAGCAGAAGGAGGAACCCTTTTGCACCGGTGTAAATTTGCGCGTCACAGCCATAAGGCTCTTCAAAGTATCTATAGCCCGTGCTGACCCAGGAGAAGGTTGGGAGCTCCAGAACGAGTGGTACCGGGCAAACACATCCAGTATGTCTATGGCGAGATCCATGTACTCTACCGTGAGCTTCTTTTGGACCGCTAGAGAGTAACGGGTGATGTCCAATAGTCGAGTGATAAAGGGTGTAGCCGTAAATCTTTCTATAAACCGTTGAACGAACCTCTGAATCATAGACCCAGTTGTAAATTCAAGTAATCTCTGTAGAATCTTTACATGTGTTAAGCGACAAGTTAAGACCACGAAAGCAAATTGTTGGGATTCGGGTATCTGCTGAAAGGAATCAGGGCAGAATAGAAGGTCCAAAGCGGTTTCGGTATACGGGAGAAAAGCGGGCGAAATAATATGTACGTAGATTGGCTCGATGTTAGTGGGATGAAGATTCATGTTGATATCAGCTCCGTGTTCCATCAATGACTTCACATACGCTCTCCTTGTCAAAACATCTTTGATCTTTAGTGCTTTGAGAAGTGGACATCGCCTTTTATGTCCGACGACGACGTTAGGACTGGTACCACATTCCAGGACTTTTCGTAACAAGTCATTACCTTTCTGGTAAGAAACAATCCAAAAGACTAGCTTTCTATCGCACGGGGCGCCCTTTTCAAGCAGAAGCATTGCTACCTGAGTTGTCCGCTTGTTGCTTTTTATGAGCTTAATGAGAGCAGAGTTACTTCGGAGAATGAAGTTCTGCTTGTCAATCATCAGAAGTAGCCTTATTCGAGAGAGGTCACACGTCCCGATCACATCTTCAAATAAAGGCCGAATCTGGTCTGGAGTAGGGTTTGGTTTGAATATTGAAATTATCAATTTCACAGCATCAAGGAATCCATTGCGAAATGCGATTTCCAGAGCAGACTGATCCATAATTATCTCGGTTCTAAGCATTGGATTGGCTCCGTGGGTCAGAAGAAGTTCGATTACTTCCAGAAATTTATTGTGATTCTTTTTGGCGACCGTGCGGCATATAAAAATAAGGGGCGAATCGCCCGTGGAATTAGTAGCGTTTACTTGTGCCCCGTTTGCGATGAGTTTTGAAATAATATCTGCCCGCTTAGAACTTGTGCAAGCTGCATGTAGGGCAGTAAAGCCTGCTTCATCGCTCGCATTGACATCCGCACCATGTTGTATCAGCAAGTCCATAGCCGGCTCAATACTATTAAGCGCCGCGATCATGAGAGCCGTGGCATCGGTGTCAAAAAAATTCCTAGCCTCGACATTGGCTCCGTGGTTAAGGAGATATTCGAACCAAGGTAGGGCATACTTAGGAAGATGTACTTCGGGTACTTCCAAGTTAACTCCAGCACGCCATATAGGTATTTTTGCTGACGGGTCTTGAAGACAGAGATGAATAAGCGGTCTATTCATGCCGATTTCGCTCCAGGCCATCTGCACATCAATGGCATATGACACCAACCCGCAATTCTGTTAAAGTTGAAGTTAGAATTGAAGTGCTCAAGACGAGACTCTAAAGCCATAAAAACCTACTCGAGAAAGGCAGATATGATGGCAACCTTCCAAAAACCTCTGGGTGTCGGGCCCGTTAACACTCAGTGCTTTTACGGCAAGCCATTTGTCACAAGTCCACTTGGTTTCTTTCGTCACTTCCGTACCGAATATATATCGTATAAACCAACGAACATACCCAACTGTCTTATTTGATAGGTATAAACGTCGTTCTATTGGGTTCATAGGCGTTTGAATACCGTGACTGAGTATTAGCTTTGCGGTGGATAAATTCATCGCATAAATTGCGAGATGTAACGGAGTACAAAACAGATACAAAGAGGGTTTACACCCATAGACACCAATGGAGTTTAAGCTGAGTCTTGATCCTCTCTTAATTAGAAGTGCCACAATATCATCGTGCCCTCTATACGCCGCCAGGTGCAGTGGAGTTGCATACCAAACATCATCCCATTCCCGGACCATCTAGCTCTAGTCGATGAGGCGCTCCGAGATGAGAGCTTCGTGGGCCAGAGCAGTATATCGATCTGGAATCTCCAAGCCACTATCAGACGTATAGTATTGGAATCTGACAGACCTATCTATACGACCGGTATGATACTGGTTCGGGTTGACGCCATGGCCTAGGAGGAGTTTGACCACATTTATTTGACCTAAGAATGTAGCTAAGAGTAGATTCTCATCGAGAGAGGCCTTATCGAACCTTCTAACTATTTCATTGTTCTCTGTTACAATAGAGTGAAGGCGGCGATTTGTTGAAGATAGCGCAACAACGTCTAAGATGTCGAAGAGCTGATCTATGACTTCGAAGATGATCTCGGTGGGTAATTCTGTAAACGACGCCATGGTAAGTTATTAATAACTTTTAAGAGAAGCAATTGTGTAGATGCGTAGTAGAAGCATCAAGCATCGATGATCAATACTAGATCTAAATAATTCACAGAAGAGATGATAACAATTCAAGTAAGAGCGAGAGGGAGAGAGATACATTTAGGGGAGCCGCAGTTGATGTAAGTAAATGCGCTTGTACGAAGTATAAACCTAAAAAGAAATATGCACTTATACATAGGTAGGTAGGTACCTACCTACCTACATAATGAGGTACCTAACAATACCATAGAAAGATCCTTATCGATTAAGGCTATTCAGCGCTAACCTAGGGGATTTTTCGGAGCCTTGCAGCCGCATTAAAGCCCGGCATGACCAGGTTTTGCAAGTGTGACCTTATCGATCGCATGCTTAATCCTCCGAAGCGAAGCTCTTCAACCTCTTTTTCACCATTCGTCATTCTCCATCAGCCATCATCCCACTGTGGGATACCTCCTCTACTCACCCTCTACCCCTATACCTTCCCCCGCCGAATAATTAGGGCATGATGTTGCCCTCTTCGGTGCGGCGTGTGGTCTCCGCCGCACCTCAATCATCACTACTATCTAACTTGTCCTCCTCGAGCGCTCGAGCGCCAGCCGCCTTAGCCTTCTGTTGTAATGCAAGCAGTCAGCAGCAAAGGCGCTACTCATCCTCGAAGCCTTCGAGCCCTAACGACTCTTCCAAAGGGATTCCAGATGGTCAGGTTACCGCTTCGCCGTCTCAGTCTTCAAAACAAAGCGGAGAGAAGCGCAGGCGCAAGACCAAAGAATGTATGGATATTCAGCCAAAACTCCCTAGTGTTCCTAGCACACAGCATGTGCCGCAAGAAGGTTCGTATAGATCGTATAGATCGTACCGTACTCTATTTAAATCCCTTCCGTACCTGCTGACTCCTTGAATAGCTCTCGCCCTGTCGACATTCTTCTCCTTGCATCGACCTATGTCCGTAACCCATAGCTTCCCCAAAACCATCACCGACGATGCGTTTGCGCAAATCTTCGCTCCTCGCACAAAGAACAACAAGTATGCCGATGTTATGTCTACTCTATCTAGGACCGTCGACGAGCTCGAACAGCCCATGCAAAACTTGGATCTAGATGGCCAACAAAGTGGCGAAACTACTACGGGTCATAACGGCGAGCTAACGCACAAGATCGATCTTAAACACCCGGACGGCACCGAATCGAGCGTCTATGTCCAGCTTAATGCCATGTCTGGTCAATTCCTGCCATTCAGACCCCCTCCCCTGCCTCAAACTGAGGCTACTGCTAAGGCGGAGACCGCTCACGAGGAAGCGGATGATGTACCGCAGTATCGTGTCTACAAGGCCATGTTCACGCTCGAGGAAACTACAGACGAGAACGGCCAGATACGCATCGTAGCGCATAGCCCTGAGGTGATCGAAGAGCCACCCGCACCGAAAACGTTCCTCGAGCGAATGGCTCTTCGCCAGATTCGGTGGCGTGAGGAGGTTCGCGGCCAGAGCCCCGATATGCACGCCATCAGCGTTCGCAGGCAAAGGAAGCTGAAGATGAAGAAGAAGAAGTACAAGAAGTTGATGAAGCGGACACGGAACGTTCGACGGAAACTGGATCGGGTCTAAGTGCTAGCCCCTCTGTACAAAAGAGCAAACCCTAGCCGCCTACAAGATGACACATTTTACCGCGGTGCATCAAGTGGCTTGTCATAATGTGGTGTATAGGTTGGATCGTTATGGTCCCTTTCTTCTAGGGTTCCCTCCTCTAAACTAGATGGTAGCATACATTATTTGATTTTTGTCGGAGCATTCCTGTAGATACTACAACTATTTCCAATCCAACCTAAAGTTCGATAAGTTGCTGGACTTCGGAGACGGTGATAAGATGTATGACTACGACTTCACCGGATTCTCAACCATAAGCGAGATTAGGGAGAGAACGACTTCAGAAGCCGCGAGCGTTGTTGTTTGTCCAGCAGTGTCGTAGATTGGCGCTACCTCCACGACATCCCCGCCGATGATGTGAAGACCGTCCAGCCCGTCGAGAATCGTGAGAAGCTCCCTCGACGACCAGCCTCCCATCTCGGGCGTTCCCGTCGCTGTAATACATGCCAGTCAGCGTCAGTAACTTAATCTCAGCGACAAGCTCCCTATGAGGTAATCATCACCACTCACCAGGCGCAAAAGCTGGGTCTAGAACATCGATGTCGACGCTAATATAGACCTTGGAATCTCCAACACGCTCTTTGATCTGCGAGATCACACCTGCAGTGCCGATCTTGTCCAAGTCGCGGGCTTTGATGGTGTCGAATCCGCAGCGGACATCGTTTTCCATGTCTTTTGTTTTGCGCATGACAGGTGCCCGTATTCCGGCGTGTATGGAGCTGTTGCGGATGAGACCCTGGTGGTCATGTTAGTTTCTAAGGGAATATCATCAGATAATATAGGTGGTTTACCTCTTCGTGTGCGATATGAAGAAATGTTCCGTGGTTCAAGCCGCTTGGAGTGGGTTTGTTAGCTATTACGCTGATGTTGCAGTGGTGTTGTGTAGGTAGAAAAGGAGGTGTTTAGGACTTACGCATAATCTGAAATATCGCCTCCTATAATATCATGGTGTTAATCCCCTTTCTAGATTGACTGACTGTGGCCATTTTCAACTTACCAAGTACGGTAGGATCCCATGTATCTACCGTCGAATCAGCCCAGTGACTTCAGTGTTATAAGAGCATGCTGACCTATATGAGCATCAAAATGAATTACAGATACTTGTCCCCATCGCTGGTACGTCGATCTCAACGCCGACAATGTCGTGGTATGGTCGCCGCCCAGTGCTATTATCCTCGGATGTGCAGAATTGCTTTCGTCGGAAGCTTTCCTCCCGGAGATAACCTACAATACGTCCGAATCAGCTTCTAGGTACGGCTCAAGTTAGGTACTTAAATCATAATGGATAGGGCGTGGCCCAACCTTGTGTGTTTTGTCTAGTTTTGCCAGAGCGACGTTGTTATCCAGCCATGGTAGTGTCGCATCACCGCAGTCGACAATTGTCGCCCACGATTTTAAAGGGTTTTTACCTAGGATCCCCGTCAGATACGACAGTTTAAGATGAATTATACCTCAATCATAATTACCAGTATACACGCTCCATGCACTCTCTTTCTTTATCCTTGTGCTTCCGGCCCTGATACCCTTCGGACCGTAGCGAGCCCCAGGTCTAGCCGTAACCCCCTATTCACATTAGCAGCCTGTTAATCCAAAGGAGACGAGCATGGGTAGGCACTGACAGTATCAAACGGTGCGCCCAATATTGCAATATCGTATTTTTTATCACCAACTTCTTCATCTGATACGCAGTTAAGATATGGCAGGTTCGCATATGTCGTTACGCCATTGAATTGACTTCCGTCGACAATATCCACGTCGTCATCTACGCCCATATGTGCCTTATAGCCAGGCGCAGACATGGGTTGTTGGGGGAACTGCCATGCCCCGAGGCCAGTTCCGCTTAATGCGAGTACGCAATACCAGAAATACATGTTGAAGATTATTTCAACCCTGGATTTAAATAATGATTTATAGTGAATAATTTAACTGTAGGGTAACAGTTGCAAGCCATGTATGATAGATTAAAAACCTATGACAGCTATATATAATACATAGCAGTCCCACCTTATCGTGAGGGGTATAAGACATGGACATGGTTCAGGAATTTATATCACGAACGGAGTTTTTTTTCGATAAGGAGGCAACGCTAAGTAAATCATATTATATACTATTTCATCAATTATTGGGTAATTTCCTGATAATCAGAAACGGATCTGAGGAATGCTAGCTCCATTAACGATTCACGAATAAAATACATGGTGGTATTGAAACTTATAAATGCCTACCTCCTAATATATCTAGATAAATAACGTACAATAAATCCAGGCAACACTCCCGGGATAGCTGGACGCTATAAAACAAGACCTTTTTTATGCCAAATCCCGACGACCAGCAGTATTTGCCCTAATTTGATTTCCAGGCCAGAACGCCTCCACATGCAACCGAAGCCCAACCGAAAGAAGAACATTTTCATACAGCGCAGGTTATGCTATCATCCCGTAAAGCATCGAGCAGAACCCGAGCCGTCTCCTTATCCGCACCGCCGTGATCTTGTTGGCCTTGCGCCGCAGCGCCTGCGTCTTTCATCTCCTCGTCGCTCCACGCCCTCTCGATCCAATCGTCCTCTCCTACACCATCGCCCGTTTCTGCGTTTAGCCCGTACGCGGCGAGGACTTCGCTGGCAAGGTGACCTATGTTCAGCGTGTTGCCGAACACTCCGGACATGTCGATGTCAGCGGGGTTTAGTGCAGCATGGTGCCCGCCGAGATGTGAGTCGGAGGCGTTGTTGCCGTTGCCGTCGAAGGAATTAGGCGAATTGGATTCCTCGTCCGACGAGAGCGAGTGCACTGTACCCGGCGTTATGTTTATAGTCGAGTTCGGCGCGAAGTAGTCCGTCCCTTGGTTATGTACCGCTGACGCCGTCCCAGAAACGGACCTCCCACTTGCCACGAGGGCCCTGATTGAGCTGAAATCAGCTGAAAATAGCCCTCGTAGGTTTTCTGGGAAATCCGACTCTTCTGCTAGCCGGCCCTTGCTGAAACATAGATCCATTGTCATGGCTAATCGTAGATAGTAGCCTGGTTGAGAAGCTAGTATATCAGTCCAGTCCGCTGGCGCGGGTTGCTTGCCATCCGTGGAGAGGCCCGAGAAACACCATCCGGTACTAGCAGGGGCGTCCAGCTGAGCCAAATTGATGATATGTCGGATGGTTTCGCTGATATAGTCCACGCCGTCGTATTGAGGTTGATATGTTTTCATCGCTTCGATAAGAATATTAAGACGGTGTTGCTTAGCTGCCATCTGCGGATCTGTATCTACTGTTCCGGTCTTATTCCTATTCTGCGAAGATAGCTTGACGTCGATAATATGAAGGACCAGAGGCAATGCGGTACATGCAACACTGAGACAAGTTAGATGACCCCTAACAGGTACCTGGATTATGAAGCCGGTAACTTACGCGCTAATTGGCAACCAACGGGCAAGGCGTAATTGAATAAGTTCCTTTAAGCATTCCGTCACACTACATGCCGCATCTTGAAGCTCGTGCCTATTCTCGTAAATATTCGAAAATTCCCGGAGGTTGTTGGTAAGGTTGGGTGAAGTGCAAGCCACAGCCAGCTGTAAGACTTCGTGATGGCAAAGAGCTGCCCTGGCAGAACTTTACTAAGGCGTAAGCAGGTTCATCCTTGCTAGGAAATAGTATGGGGTATTACTTACTGGTAGTGCATGTACATGAGATTGGTGTATAGGATCACGGAATCGTGCTGGTAATGCTTGTTATTCGCAGTCGTCATCCTTGGTGTAGTCCCGCCACCGAACATTGGAAACCGGAGCGTTGCGCTTTTATACCATCGTCTTAACGCAGCCTTGCACTCTTTCAATTTGACTGCCCCTTCTGCACCCAATTCCCTATCCCACCCAGGTACGTCGTCAAGAGGGAACACTAAAGTTACGAGATCGGTCAAGACCGAACAGAGTTCTCCAAGCTGGACGAATATCTCGACGAGGCACCTCTTGGTTTCCGGGTTATATACCTTAGACCGGTCAACCTCGTCGGCAAAGTCGATGTATCCGAGACCAGTGTTGCCATCGATATCGAAATGCGCCCGGGATATTTGTAGACTCCTCCGCACACCGAGAGCTAATATGCGATCGCGGATGATGCAACACCACCATAGGCGTTTCAATATGTTCTGCTTCTTGTGCTGCACTGGATCGGTTAAAGCAGAGACATTCGGCTTAACTGCGTATAAGTGAGCATCGGAACTCTTCGCGTTCTGTATGGCAATGCCAAGCCACGTGCTGTTCAGCTTCTTGGAAGCGAGTGACCAATTCGTGGCCCAAAAGGAGAGAAGCAGAGCGGTTTGGGATAGATCAACCAATGATGTTTCGGTGTCGAAGTCGAATAAGAGCTGATTCCGCATAAGTATCAGTTAAAAGTATTGGGAGAGGTGGTAACTCACCTTGGTACGCCTATAGAAAGTAGCTCTTGCGGTGCGGATACTGGGAAATCCAAGAGCTTTGATACTACTTTTTGAAACGAACTGTATTTTGATCAGCTCTCATCGGCGTGTCGATGTCGCGTGAGTATGGACTTACATTACAAGATGCGAATAAGAGCGCTTGAAAAAAGACGAGGGTTAACTTGTCTCCCGACTCGGAGGAATTTTGATTACAATACATGTCCCAAAAGTCTCCCTCGTTGAGGATCGGCATTATAGGATGGATATGTAAGAAGTACTGTTGGACGAACTCATCTAGAATCGCTCTTGTCGGAACTCGGAGACAACCTTGAGACTCTAGATAGTTGACATCTTGGGGCATGATATTATGCAGATTTCCTATACTTATGAATGGATAGTAGGAATACGTGATGTCAGCGTTGACTGCGATGCGCTGATCTCCAACCCAAAGGGGTATATCAGGAGACATAAAAGAGTTGAAGGTATTTAACGGCAAAGACGTGGCTTCTAGACTCCTGGTTAAACTAGAGAAACAAATTGATACAATTAAGATATAACTTACCCTGGATTAGAGGGACGGGACTTGGTATTTTGTTGCTATGTTGTTCATTTAATCCACTCTGCGTCACTTGTTGCGGCGCCTCCGAGCCAATCCATCCTTCTGCTTCGACATCCGGCGTCGCCTGGTTTTCAGCACGGTTTGTCGAATTGGATGCATCTTGTAGCGGAACAATGTTCTCTCCATCTACTCGCAGTGAAGGTAACTGCCCATTGGCTCGCGAATTTACTACATCTTCTGAGGTCCGACCATGTGCACACTCCTCCGCCGAGTAAGGGGGATACGACGATTGAGAATTGTCGTTTTCACCTCTCTGGCCTCTTCTACTAAATAACATAAGTAGAGGCACATAAAGACGGAAAACATGTAACTTACAACCTTGATGCTCTCCCAGTCACGACGCAAGTTTCGCTGTCGAGATAACAATTCATACACGGTCGCCCGCGCTGTGAAACATCACATCTCACTTTACGACTCCTACATGACAAACAGGCTTTAGGTGCTCGCTTTCGCATCTTCGCCGCCGCCTTCGGTTTGGGCTCAACTGTCTCGACGGTGGTAGAAGACATGGTGACAGGTGCATATTCCATGATTACCACCGGCAACCCTCTACGCAACGTTGGGAAGTGAGTTGAGAAGGAGAGGGATAATAACTAGCCCCCAGGAATTGGAGAAGTTCGTGGGGTTGTGGGGTATAACTCCATAGTCCCCGACTGGGCAACTACGTAGTAGACAGGCCGGACAGGCAGAGGTAGTATGTGAAGAAACATGGGGATCTAGTTATCCTTGGCGATCTCTATTGTTGGGAGCCCCGGCCTCTGTCCATGTTGGGCTTAGACGGCGGCTTTGTTAATTAATAATACACAGGACGCTTGGCTAGGGTGATGCAGGGTCTCGCCCGAGTTGCGGCCGGAGTACCTAGTCGATACCACTTGTATGAGATCTTCGTAGCTGCTCAGATCGAAGCGGCCATGTGGTCCCCTTTGCGGAGTCTCCGAAGCTAAAGTGGACCAATAGTAGCATTTTGCGGTGTAGTCAAAGAGAATCGGCCATCAATCCTCACGCCTTATAAGTCTCGTGAAAGGAAGAATTTAGTCCCCTTTTACGGGGTAGACTAATAAGCGTTCTCCGGTACGTCAACCAAGGGAATTCCCGGAATAGGCGAGCTGACAAGGCAGGCTATTCCATTGATTGATTGATTGATTGATTGAAGCATCCATTGTCCTAGGCTAGAAGATGTATTTGTATTAGGTCAGATCTATCTCATATACCTTGCAGAGGGTAGGGATGGTTGCGAAGACGTACATGACCTGTACTATTTTACCGCGGCAAAAACCAGGATTCGGCAAAAAAATTCGGTAATAAGTCCTTATCATTCAACATGCCTGTCTCCCTCTTTGATCTACATAGTAGCAAACACCATATAGGTAAACTAGGACAATTGATAAGTGCGTCAATTATCCCACATTTCTCTTAATAACGAATAGATCATAGAGGAAGCGATCATTGCTATGAAACGAATTATCGACGAGACAAGTTCTTCGAGAGTAGTATCGAATTTTTCACATGCAAGGCACCAGGGGCTGGGCAGCTCAGATCATTCATATATCATTATTAACTCACTATCAAATCCACCAACTTCTTTTTCATTCGCGTAAATTTATCGGCTGCGTACCTGATTGTTCCACTTAATTGAGCTGTTACAGCGTTTAAAGACCGCTTTGTTAGAGCATACGTTTGTACCCAATGACCAAAGGCAAATCCTGCCCCTCACAGAAGTCTTTAGAAGTCAAGCAGTGGTTCAAGTAGTTTAACTACTACCTATACTATCCCTACTATTCTTATATTTGGTAAAGCGATTCAATAAGGCCGGTGTATAATTATTCATCCCACATGTATAACACGAGTCTAGATTTCACCTGTGGGTACTGTACCTCCACCGTGCCCCTATCTTCACAAATAGGGTTCTTTATGGACTTCCCTTAGGAGGGGTTTCAACCACCGTCCATTCATCAGCCGAATCGCTATCGTAGTTACCGGTCTGATTTGGCGGTCGGCGTAATCCTCTTGGATTATCCGTATCTCCATTTTGTATGATAGTGGGAGTGTTTGACCTCTCGTCGTAGGCCCCATGGAAATCCCCAGTCTGTAGTAAGTTAAGCCCGTAGTCTTGTTCATCAGTATACTCATAAGATGTGGAGTTCTGAAGACTGTTAATATCGAACCCTGGCTCATTATCGAGGTGGTGGGGCATGTTGTATTCGTAGTCGATATGATTCAAGTACTCAAGGAAGAAACTTGCTGGATTATCCAAACTAGGCTCGACTCTTAACGTCGTTACCTCTGACTGCTCTTGAGAAGCTGGGTTGGAGTTATCTAGCATGACGCCTACCATACGCTGCCTGAATGAGTTTATTACTGTGCTATTTATATCGTTGACCATGAGTAAGATCTCATCTTGAATGGACGAAATCGGTCTAGACGACAGACCCTCCAGAACGGATCTTACACGTCCTGGGAGTTGTCGTTCGACTTCTTGCTGGTAGGCGCGATCAAATTGATCAAGTATATCAGTGATAGTGACAACACTTGCGTAGTCTAAGATGGTTAAGTTAGAGTAGCTAGAAGAGGGCAATATAAACAACTTACACTGTGACGGTATGGACCTTTCATCATCGTCTGGGAATAAAATCTGGTAAATCTTCTTCCAATCCTGTACACGTCTACACTTAAGATTTTCCCGTTGATGCTCGTTGAAGCCTTCCATTGGATCAGGAGGAGCTGATGATACCGCACATGGGGTTAAATCTTCATAATGACTATCCAGTCCAGCGGCTGTGTCGAATCTTGACTTGCATCTCCGACAACGATGTACAAAATGAACTCTGTACAGATGCTCCCTATTGAGGTTAGAAGTATTCCAGAGTACTAGAGTCGGGAAACTTACTTCAGTCTAGCAATTGAAGCCCAACCCGGACCATTGCATGAGCGATTGATTGAAATCCTATGAGGATCTCTTTGGTGAAATGGGCATGCCAAAAGTTTCTTAATATCATCTAGATCATTTCCTTTGCTCTTCTTCCTTGGGTGTTGCTGATTTCCTTCATCGTCACTATGCTCATCCCGATCCCTCTGTCTTCTCTGATTCTTGTGACGCAGACCTGCAAGGGAAATATCCTGATTACTAGCATGTTCGTTTGAGCGAGATGCAACTTGTTGACATCTACCATTTCCACCGTCCCCTGTGCATTGGCTCAGCATGGGCCTCAACTGGATAGTAACTCTTGAGATGAGCCAATTCCTCTTGCGTATAGAGAATGAACGGGCGAGTGAATGAGCAAGTGAAAGATAACTCAATTCAACTAGCTCGGGTGATGAAAGTGAAATTGTTGAATTGGCTTCATCGTCATTCTCAGAGAAACTCACTTCTTCCTTGACTGAGTGAACTACTCTGCTTTGAACCGTATTTGGTAATGCTTCATTTATAGGTGCTCCTGTTATGCCTTCACCGCAACGTAAGTACCGCGGGACCTGTCTGGGTCTTGGCTTGGTAAGGTGGCTCATAAATGTACTCTCCTTGCTTCTGACCGGTAGTGAGTGTAGCTGATGAAAAGTGTTGCTAATCTTCAGATCTAAAAAACTGAATGGGACATCCTCAGATTCGATTACCCATTTTTCGAACGACCACGTCTTCATAGAAAAAGCGCCGATACTGTCCTTATATATCAATGCCATGGGCCTATAGTAATCAATCTCCAGGTCGACCTCCAATGCCGCCATAACTCCCGTCAAAGCGTAGATCTTGTCTCGGGGGTCAGAGGTCCTGAGCTCAGAAGAGAAAGACAATATCCGGGATATTTCCAACGACAGGCTTTGCGTATAAGTCTTGTTGATATTTCCGGTAAAATTGGCGCTGTTTCTGTCAAGAAGCAGGCGGAGCATAGAACTAGTTGTCGTGAGAGAGTAAAAATGAATTGCTTTCGGTAGCAAGTGATTAACTCCTTCGCGCTTCACCACAGCAGCTTGTTGAAGTAAAATGCCAACAGATTCCCATTCTATTATATCCGTACCCGAGAATACGATTTTCCGGTGAGAAAGTAGCGCTTCCTGGAACGTCCACAATCTCGTCCAGTACTGCGATTCGAAGAGTTTGCGTACCGCAGACTCTCGTAAGTTATTAACCCCTAAGATATCCCTATCAGCCTTCCAGCCGCCTGAAGCGCGAGGATCCTGGCGAAGTAAACGCCGCCGTAATCCAGTCTTCGATCCCAAATGATTAGACACATACAGATCTTCCTGAGAGTAAGAGTCCCCGATGAAGCATAAAACTGTCTCGGCAAACCGATAAATATCGCCCATTAACCTGACCTGGGCACTCTTTTCGCGCTTGTCTGATTGATTAATGCAGATTGCATCAACCCAGAAATATGGTGTGAAGGCTGGACCTTGACGAAGGTCGCGCAACGAGTCTCGAAGAGAACGCAGGGCTTGGAAGCAACCCCTATTAACAGGCAATATACCACCATTACATTCGACGTGAATATCAAGACTTGGGTCGCCCCAGACGTAGGATAGCGCAGTGTATTGCGGAATCTGACCGTCTTCCGTCAGAGAATGAACCTGAAGTTGACATCGAATAGGATCAGCTGGATCGTTGCCAGGCAATAGACTCAGCAGTCTAAAACTACGACCATCCTGAAGATGCTGGTATTGGTATCGTGCCATTGAAAAAAGATGAGGCTGGATGAAACTGACCTAGTAAAGAGAACCAATTCAGAGATGATCGTGAGATGGAGTAAATCGAGTCAAAAAGTCCAAGTTCTCACCTAAACTATTCAGTAATTTAAACCTAGGGTAGGCTTAATATAAGATAAATAACGACCAATACATTCTGCGCAGGCACTGAATTCGCAAGTGCGAATTCTCCTGCAGCGCATCCGCCGTTCTAAGCATGGTTGGCCCCCACGATTAGTAGGCAGACTCGCAAGGTTGACAGCCAGCAAGGCTTTGTGATCAGCTCATAGATCAACATATAATAGTTCCTACTATGAAATAGGACCGCTTTCCCAAATGAGACCTATAGTCCTATCAAAGATACAAGGTTAAAGTTTACCATATTCAAGCAGCTCGGCGTGTCCTAGTAGAGAATGTTCTAGATAATGCCGGAATTTTCTCGCGTAGCTCGGTAACATAACGACGATAGGATTATGCCTTTTGGGACGTACTTGTGAAAGAGACATTGACTTTTAGGGCTTATGGCGCTTAACAACCTGCCTTGCTAGTTGACCATTCTCTTCTTTGGTTGCCTCACCTAGGTCACTTTGCCGCCTTGGATGTATGTAATGGGAACTTTGTTGATGACGGACATGTGTCTACGGGTTAAGTGTCTAGGTAATCACCGCCACACTTATCCTGGCACGATTCGAACGCCACCATCAATCTCAGCAGCTTAGCTTATGGTCTCGGCTGGAATCTTCCTAATAAACACCAACCAACGTCATTTATAAATTTCCCTTTAGTGAAGATTAATACACAACTTGATCAATAGAAGTTGCAGGAAATTCATATATTACAGTCGCATCAAGAACGCTATACGTATTGCTCGTCGCTGATCTATATTATCCTATCTACAATGAAAAATGCTATTTACCCCACGCGACACCTCAATCTTAGACAGTTTCTCCTTCGATAATGGATAGATAGTTGAGGATCACCCAGGGGTGTTAACACACTACAATTCAATATCGAAATTACCTAACCTATGACAATATAGTTCCCTGGTTGGTAGCCCTTGGAACCACAACGCCGAGTACAATGTTACTCGCTTAAACCTGTTAACTTCAAGCTGACAGCCCAAAGTTTCTCCTCAGCAGCGGGATTGAAAGCCCACACATTGTAGCCGCTCGCGTAATAAGGCGCTCCTGGTGGAGTCTCCTCAGCTTCGGCAACATCGTCAAGGTAAATCCCCCCTTTGCCCTCCAATTCCTTCGCTATAGCAGCCCAAACAGTGGTCGCCGCTCCTTGGGCGGGATTCTTCAGCATCTTTGAGATGCCTGGATCATCGAGAATCTCTTGGGTGGTAGGCATATATCTCGCCAGATTCGTGAGAATACCCCCCGGGTGCAAACTCAAAGCCCGCAGGTTTTGGGACTTGTATCTCCGGTCTAATTCATTCGCGAAGTAGACATTGGCAAGCTTGGATTGACCATAAGCCTTAACCGGAGTATACTCGATCTTTTCGAAGTTAAGGTCGTCGATGTTGATTTCACCAAGGCGGTGGGCGGCGGAAGATACCGATATGACGCGAGAGTTGAACGAAGGGCTTGCGGAGGCCAGGAGAGCGTCCTTAACTAGGTGGAAGAGATAGAAATGGCCTAAATTAAGGTCAATCACTTACAATATGCGTAATGGTATACGCAGTACTTACCTAGGTGGTTTGTGCCAAACTGCAACTCGAATCCATCTTCGGTCTTGCCCTTGGGACATGCCATGATTCCTAAAGGGAGTCAGCTGAATTCAAGAAACACGATAATCACCCCCCGATCCGTGAATCCATACCAGCATTGTTAATCAGAACATTGAGTTTATTGCCACTCTTGCGAAGAAATTCTTCTGCTCCGGCTCGAATACTTTTCAATGAAGCCAAGTCCATTTCAATGATGTCAACCTTTCCAGGCTTGCCATCGGCCAAAATCTCTTCAGCAATCTGCTTGCCCTTGGTCACATCTCGAACAGTTGCATAGACGTCAGCTCCCGTTAGGTGAATGGCCTTTGCCGTCTCGAGTCCAAGTCCGCCAGGCGAACAGCCTGTGATAAGAACAACTCTACCAGTCCATGAGGGGCTCGAGACAAGACCCTGATCTTCTACAACCTGAATAGCTGTCGGGCGGGCATCTCCTGGACCCTGGTAATCCTTATGTTGTTCAATGTAAGGAGCGAGACGTGCCATTTTGTTGCGATATTAGGATGAGAAAGTTTGAAAAGTACCTGAGTGATGTTGCCGGTGGCTTCTTTTATACTCGCCAAAGGACCGAATGTCAAATTCGGGGACGGCGTTTAAAGCGGACACTTTTTGGATCACTAAGTATCCGACATTACAAATTCAAAATATATGAACGTACCTATGTATGAACGGTATGCACGTCTGATCTATTTTATTTTATGTCCGTTATATCCATTGACGTATATCCATTGATGCATATCGTAAAATGGATCCTCTCACGGAACACAGTCAGCCAGTGTCACTTAGACACTAAGTGATATTTAGCGCTACCTCGAAAATTTAGATAGTATTATAACCTTGCATATAATTGCCAATTCAGAATATACTTCCTACTTCCCCAAGAATTAGGCCATTAATCTTGAAGGTCAATGAGATGACAACGACTGCAAAAAAGGAAATTGTTCCCACACCCAATACTATCTAAGCACTAGTTTTAAAGCCGATAGCTTATACAGCTGCATCAAGTTCGATGAGTCAGTTAATAGCTTGACCTGACCTGGCTTGGGTAGATCGTAAATTTTTTTTGTGTAATAATTACATACCTTGAGGGTATACGTATATATTTTTGATCTAATAGGATTCGTGCATTTTCTGTTTCCTATATGGCTAGACCTGTGTCTTTGTAAGGTTTTCCCAGGCCAAGTCGAGAATATGGCCAGGTAAGCCTCCTAAGTCAACATACCTGACCTGACTTGACTTATCGAACTCGCTATATAGCTAACGGTGAACTGGAACTTAACGGTACGTAGATTATAGGGGTTCAGTATGTGATTTGCGGCGACTTTTGGAAGCTCAGTTATTCAACAATGTGGATAATAACATGTAATCTACTTGACTATAGCTAGGGGGCGCTCATATAAACCTCTTCGAACAGCTAGAAAACGAGAAAGATAGAAGAGTTTTATATAAGGGCTTCAAGCGTGACTATATACTATGATGAGACTCCAGGCTCTCCGTATCTCATATTTAGCGTGAGACCCCCCCTTGACTCTAGTAACTAAGGTCTTGATGGTTTGGAGAGCGGTGAAATGGGGATATAATTAGGGATAGCTTTACTTTCACCACTGCACAGGTACTATTTATTAGTGGGCTAGTTTCTTTAGAAATAATATTGTATCGCACCGTGATGATGCAATATGCAATAAGATAGTTGTCGTATTAGGCAAGTTATGGCATTTATAAATGTATCACAACAAAATGAAAGCAAGGTGAGAAGTACCTTCGGCATAGGTCTCCGGCCCGAAAACGGGCTGTAAATTGGTGCCGTCGCCGCGGGATGTTTATTATGGGTCTCGGGACCGCGCCCGGGACCGAAGACACTGAAGGTTAAATAGAAGAAATGATTTGCTAAGCTACCTAGGTACCTAATTTGTTTGCAATGTAAGACTAAGCTGATATTTCTTACCTAATCCCAATAACGTCCCCAACGGGTCCGAACAAGTGGTGTTGTTGCCAAGGATCCGGGGCATAGGCACGGATATAAAAATCTGACGTCAACGACATCATTCTCAGTCTTCCACTCCGATTCTTTCTCATTAATTCAATTTAGAATACCCCCGACATCGAGTCCCTAAAGAAAAAAGAAATGGTCACCTTCAACCTCGCCTATACGGCTCCTATCAATCCTTCCGGCGCCTTGCCCGCCCTCACGATTCCCCAGATCTGGGCGGGTCTAGAGCGCAAAGTTCGGCGCGCACAGGACTTCGTGCCCATCATCGAGGAGTGCAATGTGCTGTCCGAAGAGACATCGCAGGAGACGGGAAACCTGACGGTTGTACGCGAGGTCCGGTTCGCGGCAGGCCAGGAGCCAGATAGTGGTAGCGGAGGCAGACTGGTCAAGGAGATATGCACGCACTACCCTCCATGCCGTGTCGACTTCGGACAACCGGACGGAAGCAAGATCTCGAACATTGTTAGCGAAGGACCCGATGGAGAGTTGCTTATGACGTATGCGTTTGAGTGGAGATACCCAGGTGTCAAGCAGGGGAGCGAGGAGGCGAAGAAGTTAGAGGAGAGAAGCTGGAAGGTGAGTTTCCCTTATATGACCATGCTGTAGTATATTTCTAATATAGCCCCGGCTCGCAGACAGCGAAGATGGCTGTCCAAGGTACTATTGACACTGTACGTCGACTAGTCAATGACGGCGAAATACAGTAATGGATGACCCCCATTTGAGGTGTTTAGGGAGTTCGCATATCATGATAGTCGTCCGAGTCTGCCTCTATCATACGACGCTAATGGAGAATTAAAAATGGTTAAAACCTATTTGCCTATTCGCTATGAATTTCTCACGTCTTAGGTACCTAAATTGACATACCACGGGCGTTGAGGTAGATTCGGAATTTAATTTTAACTAAGGCCTTGCTTTTTAGAACTACTTCTTATTAGTCCTCTGTCTTCGAAAGTATCCTAATTCTCTAATAATTGAGACTCCAATGTGAATCCTCAGAGTAATGAGTTGATCGTGTCCCTCCTTATAGGTACCATGTCTTATGCTTTTAACCAGGGCCGAAGAACTCGCAGAGAGGCAGCGTCGTGTCCACGGTGCCTGGGAACCCGAAGGCCGAAGGGGACTGGATCTTGGTGCCATTTTATCATAGAATCATCCACGTGTGGAATATATGGGAAACTATATTTGTCCCAAGACCAAATACGCCCATGATTTATGACCGATTCACATCGATCCCTATCTCCTATGTGAAAGAACCAGTGAAGCAACCCAAGTAAGCGTTTTGCCGTGATCCATTCGAAATCTAGAGGGCTGTAGTAGTAGTATTCATCCATGTTCTCCATCTCTTCCTTTATCGATGGCATCTCCTCCCTGGTGAAAGCGCTTGGGTCGTCGACAAATGGTTCCCAAGAAGGAGGATCTTTACTAGTTAAAAGTTCGACCCGTTTCGCGGTCAAGAAGGTATCGAAACGTTTTCTACAATACCACAGATTGCGGACAGACCACATGACAAGTCCGACTTCAGACGACACTACATGCAAGTCGCTTACTTTAGGCCAGTTAATGATAGTTAAGTGGCAACACAGGATAGAGAGAAATTTGCTTGTTGCGTGAAAATGGTATAACCTCTCCAATAGCTGGTACACCAAAAATATCTCAGGGCGCCTTGAATAGCGCGTCGGATTTTGGGTTCATTCTTTTTAATGTATCGAGTTTCCCGAGGAACGTGGAAAGAAAATCAAGCATGTATAACAGTCGCCGCTGGCGCGATATCTCAGTAGAGGTGAAACCTTCACCCTTCAACTTGGCGGTAAGGGTGTCATTTCCGTGAGAACCCAGTCCAAGACTGACTCGATTCCCTTGCTCAGTTTAGGTAGCCAGGTAAGGGCAGGCAACCGGCAAGATCTAGTCGGCCAATGCCCCCGTTCGACATATTTTTTGAGAAATTCGATACCGCCGTCGAAATATTAATTCTCTAAATGATTATGGCCGAAATGGAAGTTGCGGACTTCGCATGCTATAAATGCTAGCCTCATAACGCCAAGGTCGTCATCGTTGGTATGTTGGGCCACAAAGCGATGAGCGATCATCTACTTCTATTCGCTCCAACCCTTACAACGCTATCCTTAGTTACCAGCAGAATGCTTTAGGTAGTTAAAGCGCAGCACCCTTTAGGATGCGGTCGTCGTTTACGCAGACAGGAAGAGTAATCCGTTTACTGTCTACTACTCTTAGGTACATATACGTATGACATGTTGTGGCGGTGCTGGTTTATAAACACGCCCCTGCTTTTTAGGTAGTTACGCTATTTGTTACTTGGTAAGTACGGATGACTTTTTCAAAGTTTAGGTTGTCTATACCTACATAAGGCGCCCCTGTTAGGCCCGTCACGCACAGACCATTCTTAGAGGCAGCTGCTCACCTATTTAAGACATGTATTGTATTTTATCCTATCCTTTTTAACAGGTACGATGTCTTCGCTTAAAAGCAAATATACTATGATCAAAAGTTATCATTTTATAAATGACTGTGCCGAAAGTTATGTGGTACTTTATCATACATTCAAATTGACCGTTTTGTTGGGGTATTAAGTACCTTAAAGTATAAAAGTAGAGTTTTATATACATTCACTTTTAAGCTGCCAGGTGTCAGAGAATCATGGTCAGGATCCAGTGTCAGAACTGACAGGGGCGCCTGATAGTCAAAAAACCTTTGAAAGGGTCATCCGTACCTGGGTTAGGTTATCTTACATAACCTTATGTAATTACCACAATTGTACAATATTGTTCGAAGTATGCATTTTATGTTGAAACCGGAGTAGGTACCTAACCTAGTGATTTTCGGAAGAAGGTCCCCAAAAGCCCCACCACTGCGACACCAATACCTTCCGCTTCATCACAAATGCTTGTGCAAAAAAAAGGCTTTCCTTTGAAACCAAACGCCGACCTAAAAAAAAATCCGACTTTTGCCTGGCGCAAAGTCATATTAAATTCCTTACCGAAGACGAACGCTTGTAATAGTTAGTCTATTCTGACTATTTATATCCCTTTGTCATTCTATCGTCGTTACTCATTCTTTCTGCGACTAGCGATCGGCTGCGACTGCCCCTCCTCTCTCCGTTCGCCTATTCCGTAATATCCTCACCACTCACGCTCACCTTCCCAACTGCTATCCCACGAAAGGGGAAATTGCGCACAGCCTAAGGTCGCCTGACTTAAGGTTTGTTGTTATTCTTTCCTCAGAGACCGAGCTTCTACTCTCCTACCTGGAATATTACAATATAAATTACAAATTGCAAATCCATCAACCGTACACATCCTAAATCCGAAACTTAACCCTCTTTCTACGCCGAATTTGTTTCTTCGGTACTCTTCTCGCCATTCAAAATGTCGGAACAGGTCGATCTCACCACCATCCCCATCTCCCCTGAAGGCGAGAGTCCAAGGGCAGAAGAGCCTGATAGCGGCAAGTTGGTCACTGTCTTCCATGACAAGGACAACTTCAACGTCAAGCACCCTCTTCAGAACAAATGGACATTGTGGTTTACTAAACCCTCGAGCGGCAAGGTTAGTCTGCTTTATTATATACGCATCCTAAACTGAGTATTAATTTTTCAAATAGGGAGATAACTGGAATGACCTGCTCAAGGAGGTCATTACATTCAATTCGGTCGAGGAGTTCTGGGGTATCTACGTAAGTCGTCCTTGTAGTGGCTTAATCTAATTCATGCCTGATTGTCTTGTAGAATAATATCGCACCGGTTTCCGAATTGGCCCTGAAATCCGACTACCACTTATTCAAAGAAGGCGTGCGACCGGAGTGGGAAGACCCTCAGAACAAGCACGGCGGCAAATGGTCGTATCAGTTTAAGGATAAGCGTAACGTCGACATTAATGACCTATGGCTGCATACGATGCTGGCTGCAATCGGAGAGACCCTCGAGGAAGAGGACGATGGTGAGGTCATGGGTGTTGTCGTCAACGTTCGTAAGGCTTTCTACCGTATTGGTGTTTGGACTCGAACCATCGGCAAGAGCATTCCGGGCCGTGGCGATGGCGATGTATCTGGCGGTAAGGGTCGATCTGTCGAAAAGGGTCAGAAGATTCTGCTGGCCATTGGCAAGAAGTTCAAGGAGATCCTAAAGCTACCCGCTAACGAGATTGTCGAATTTTCTGGTCACACCGATTCAGCTCACAGTGGTAGTACTCGAGCTAAGGCCAAATTCACCGTCTAAACTGTTATATGCCATCTTGACAGATATTCCAATACTGGATGCTGTTGAAATGATCTGCAATTTTGATATCGGGAGTCGATAACGCCTTGATAGAAGTGATACTAGAGGAAGGGGTCGAGTGCGTCCGCCGGTCATCTGGTACTAGCTACTGGTACGGGGTGAGTTATGGTTAGTGAATTAAAGGAGGGTTAGATTGCCGGCGGCGGCAGTCTATCATTCATCGATACTATGCAGCATGCTCTTCGGCTGACTGGTACTGGGTGGCAAGCGATGAAGGAATGGAGTAAAGGTTGCTCATGACCCGTCATGTTTTTCTATCCATGTAGCGCGATTGGCATTCTCTTTCCCGCAGATAGAATGCAATATCACACGAATGAATTAAGAACAGCAACCGTTGTAATAGCGAAGCATACAATTTGACGTCAAACTGCCTGGCTGACTGGCTGACATTCACAACTGATCTAGCAAGATATATTGTTGAATGGTAACCAAGGAATAGTCAATATTGGTAGGTTTCTGTCCTAGGGTGGCGAGCGAGCCGCATTGATTCTAACTCTACTGATAGAGAGACCAGCCGTCTCGAAAACGACCAAGGGGAAAAGGAAAGAATTCCCTATATACAAATAGGTCGTCGGAGAGGATACAACATATAGACATGAAATTCCCGCATGAATCGAAAAACCCACCACCCGTCCAATCACATGTGCAGAAGCACGCAGCTGCGTTTCATTTCGTCCCTCGCTTCGCCCATTCCAGTTTCTCATTCAGCTGCTTCGTTGGTTGATTCCATATCCCTTTGCATGTTGAAACGGGCTTCGTATCGTCTTTTTCATATTGGAATCGCATGGGCCCACCCTCTCTCTTACTTTCTTTCGTTTTGATCTTCCTGGGATATTGACACTACGGAACCTCCAGAGTAGAACATGCACATAGCGTGCATCATGATATCATATCCAAAATCTCAGGTGCATCTTATTTCCCCTCCTCGCCCATCTTTTCCCAAGATATTCCATCCCGTCCTTACAGCTCATCCCCGCTAAAGTCATCTAGGAATACTTCCCGTAGCAAATTCTTCTTGTTAATCTTTCCCATGGCATTTCGCGGAATATGTTCGACCACCCTGAGTACTTGCGGGATCTTATAATTCGCTAGTCGTCCCTTTAGAGCTCGCCGCATGTCAAGGGGTCGCCAGGCGGGTCGTTCGCGCAGGTGTTCAGGGGAGTGAATGATGACGGCGCCGACTTTCTGTCCCCATTTTCCCGAAGGTACTGCAACTACTGCTGCCTCGGCAATTTCGGGTAGGGAGAGCAACTCACGCTCGACTTCGAGGGCGGATACTTTCTCGCCGCCGGACTTGATGATATCGGCGCTTTGTCGGCCGAGAATGAAGTACATAGGCCCGCGGGCCCATTCACCGCTCGTGCCGTGACCGGCCTCGGGCACAGGGCGCCGAACCGCTACATCTCCGGTCTTGAACCATGGGCCCTTGCCGTCATCCGAGGGGATGAATTCTTTGGATGTGGCAGTCGGGTTGGCCCAGTATTCTCGGAATACATTGGCGCCGCGGAGCTGAATTTCGCCCGATCGCTCCTTTTCAGGAACGGGCTCGGTAGGATCGAGGTCCTCGATGATGATGCCTGTCTCATTGTCCACGAGTCGAGCTTCTACGCCGGGGAGAGGCCATCCGACGCTACCGTCGACACGGTCGCCATAGTCGAGACCGCAGGACAGCGCCATGCCTACCTCTGTCATACCGTACCGCTCGAGCAGCACGTTACCGCGGCTGAGATCTTTCCAGGCACGCTTGACGGGTGTCGGAAGGGCTGCTGATCCGGAGATCGATACGCGCATGTGTTCTGGGCTAATAGCGATACGACCGGCTTCGGCAATGGCTGGAGGTAGTGTCTTGTGAGTCGAGAGCAGACGCGTATACACTGTAGGCACGACGGTGAAGAACGTGATCTTGACGCGAGACAAGTTCTTATACTTTTCTTCGTTGACCGGCTCGGTGATAGCAGCGGGGGCAGTGGGCTTCTGCGGCTCGGGTTGCTTGACAAAGGTGGTCGCTTCTACGACCGGAGTATTACGGCCGCTTGTCGACGTGATGGGAGTGTCGAATCCGTTGGCTGATAGAGCTGGCGAGGGAGCGACACCACTGGTCTGCTGCGATATGATATGATTAATGCCATTTGTCAATGCAGCTGGTTGGCTAGGCTGACTTATCTTCGCGGCAAGGTTGCTAACCTCAGCTGCGAGATGGTTAATGACCGCTGCTAGACGGCTGATTTCTGAAGAAATGGGATTGCCAAATCCATTCAGTTCTGGGGCTGGAGTGGCAGTGCCATTTGTTTCCGTAATGGGGGTGATATTGCCGTTCGCCTCGCCAACTGCTGGGTGAAATCCATTTGTCTTCACTAGTTGGGGGATACCATTAGGGAGGCTACTGGGTTTGACAAAGCCATTTGCCTTGACGAACTGGGGTACGCTATTCGCAATACCATTTTCCTTCACGACTTCTTTCGCAGCTTCTTTAACCTCGTGAGCTACACCATTCGGCTTGGCAATAGCAGCAGCAACTTGCGGCGAATTCACGAATGGTGTTGCGAAACGTCGCCAAACCGTGTCGGCATTAAAAGGGAAGAGGAACTCGATGCTACTACCGGCGAAAAGTGGAGTGAGCAATGCGTTGACGGTGCCGTGGATGTGGTGGAGAGGGAGCACATGTAGCAGTCGGTCCGATGGTGTATATTTCCACGCCTCAATCAGGGCACGGGCCTGAGCAGTGAGCGCAGTCCCTGGCAGTAGTACTCCTTTTGGTCGATTAGTTGTGCCGGATGTGTATAGCATCATTCCAGCGCCTTCTGCATCGTCATCGTCATCGTCCGTAAGCGTAACCGACTCGAACGTTTCCGAGATTGCGCCGAGGTGCTTCGGCAACTCGACGGGAGTTGGTGATGGCGCGACATCGAGTTCCTTACTTGGAGTAGTGAGGACTTCATCAACCTTCGCGGCATACTTCGGCGAGTGTAGCAAAAGGATAGCCTGCGATTGGGACAGGATATATTGCAGTTCGGGTGCCGGGAATGGCGGGGATAGTGGCAAAGCAATAGCATGCGCCGCAAGGATAGCGAGGTATGTGACTAAACAATGCGAGTCAGTAACTAGTCCTATACGAAGTCCCGGCAATTATGGCGGCTGAATAGCTCATACCAACATAGTCGTAGCTGTTCTCTATAAGAAAGGCAACCCGTTCGCCCCGGATGTCCGACTTGCCGGCGGCATCGAGTATTCGGTCGCGCACACGACTCACGTCCGGGAGTAGTTCGCCATACTTGAATGTCCGGCGGGACAGGCAGTGGACGACGGCGGTGGACTGCGGATTATGGCTAGCGATGGCTTCGAAGATAGGTAGCTTAGGGAGGGTTAGAGTGGAAGCCATCCTGACATGCGTGGTGTATTTGCCAAAGAGGGGGGATGAGCGATCTGACAAGGGACACGAGGGACGTGGGACGAAACTATGGGTATATATAGACGTAGCACCAGATGCAATAAAACAAGGACTCAAAGAATGCGTGGCTGAAATATACTTAAACAGCTGAGATGACGACGGAGCATTAACAACCAAACGAAGCCCAGTACAACTCAATCGCATCACGGGGGTGTAAGGAGGGGAGTTATAAGGAATAAGTACTTTGACAGCCGCCTCTCTCTATCCTCTCGGGCATAATACCACCCCCATGCAAACCCCTCAGAATAGGCAGGAGGATGAGCCGGAGGATGGACTGGGGGAATACGGCAGTGTGTACATATGGGTATTTGAAATACCAAGAACTCGCAAGCAGGGGTGAATAGATGGGATAGATAGGATACATAGATTCCTGTAAGTCGGCTCAGTCAAATCCGACATAGGTGCTTGAAGTCGTCAGAGGGTGGCATGGAATTTTGGTATATTCGTATTGTGCCGGTCCAGCAATTGGGTACCGTGCATAATAACCCTTCTAGACTCTTCGGGCATGATAAACTCGAATATGTCCGAGATCCCCAGTGATAAAACCAAGCAGCCCTGGCATAAAAGCAGACTAAGAATAAAAAGCTTACAGAAAGTGGAACATTGGAATTGTTTGTTGAGAATCTCGGGGTCGCTTTTTTTGCCGTAGATGTTTCTTATTGGCCAATTAATTCTAGCAACTCTTCGTTCTTGCCGGTCCGCATCGGCCGGCTGAAAATATCCTAGTCTCACCCCACTGTTCAAGGCCAGGTAGGTACTCAGGTATGTACATAGGTACCTATGTATATGCGCGAACCTGGATGAGTTAGGTAAACCCGGGCCTCTACATACATGTACATACGTACCTAGGCTAGGTACGTACCTGCTTAATGCAGATATCTTCCATCTTTTATCATTCGTCAGCCTATAACCCTTACTAACACCCTACCCATCCATTTTAGTCAACGCCATATCTGATCGGGAATTTAAAAGGTTCGATCCTTGGGCTTCGAAGGGAGAAAACCAGGCCAAAGGATAAGAAGGGGTAACCTTACATCTCAACCCTACATCTTACCATACATATATGTTGCAGCGACACGTGCGAGCCTGGACCGGCAGGGTAACCAGACAGCTTTCCATTATGGCATCATCCGGGGCGTCGAATACGCCGGTGGAGGACACCATTCGGGCAAAGGTAAATGCACACTCAGCTTCGGGGCCCCGAATGAGTATAATATAGTAAGCTGTCGTACTAATCTGAACTCGCGTTGGCCCCTCTCGCACTTAGATCACCGAAGCCCTCAAACCTTCTAGACTGGAGATCTTTAACGACTCTGCCAACCATTCTCACCACAAGGCTATGGTGGGTAACACTTCCAAGGAGACACATTTCAGACTGGTTATCACCTCCGATGCCTTCAAGTCCAAGATGCAGCCGGCCCGCCATCGCATTATTTACCAGCTTCTAGGCGACGAGATGGCTCGGGAAGGCGGCATTCACGCGCTACAGCTGCGTACTATGACCCCTGAGGAGGAGCAGAAGTGGCAGGAGAAGCAGCAGCAGTAGGGCGCTACTAGGTAGTATTGCTGAGTCTAGCTGAGGCTAAAATCTGAGGCGTGGAGATGATTGATATGTACGATACTGGTGTACATATGAAAGGGGTTCTCTAGCTTGACTCACCAATCGCAGTATGTACAGCTGCTCAATACATGACGATTAATAATTTCGCGAAAATGTTCTTTGATAACTGAGGTAATAAATACGAGGCATAATTAACCTAGCTGATGAGCTCTACAGCTTCATGATTCACATATGCTTTACATCTGATTCTCTTATCTTATTTCTCAGCACTTGTTAGTATCGCATAGGAAATAATGTCTATACCAAAATAATTACAGAAGTCACAGTGTTAAGATTCACATGTAAGTATGTAGATAAACACCGATTTACTATTAAGGCCTATCTAACGGTCTAGTTTACCTCGTGACGAATATACCTTACTATATTTCATAGTCAGGAATTGGAGTCAACTATCGTCTAATATGTAGTTGGTAGTAGTAATATTATGGCAAGGTAGTACCTACACACTGAGTGTCTCACGTAAAATTCTCTAAGGGATATGTAATACCTGTCTTCCAGACACGTAAATAATCGTAAATCAGGGTATCTCAAGCTCGCGATATACGCACAAGTACCCCTGAAACTCCGTAAGTCAACAAACCGTAGAACATGTCAGCATTTCCCAGTTTACACGGTTTACTAATATTGTACAACTTTTGTACGCCGATTTCTATTCTCTCTGGGCAGACGTCGGAGTATTGCTCACAGGCGCCGAGCTCGCAATGCTGTCCTTTTCCCACTTATGCCGCCTCTTTAAGAACTTTTTGAACGATTCGCTTCTCTTCTTCGGGTCGTCGGCGTATTTCCTCTTTCTCTCCGCTGTAGAACTAGGCGTGGGAGAACCTCGAGCTGAACTATTAGGGACTCCAGGCTTCGCAGCGGCTGTATTAATCCCGGAGTCGGGTCCAGCTAGGGAGTTGACTGATACCCTCTTAGGCGAGGAAGAATTGAGCGCTTCGCTTGATTTCCTCTTGTAACGAGATACTTCGGAGAAGGATCGCGTAAGACCCTTAGTTTTAATTGGCTTTGGACCGATCTCTCCTATCGATTGGTTGACTGGGATGACTTTTTTGTGATGTGACTTCAGTGGTGTGGATGTAGCCGCTAAGGATATATCATTAGATGCACTTTTAGTCAACTCTACTGCTGGAATATCTTGGCCTTCTCCGCTAGGCATGGCATCTACCGTAACAGCAAATTCTGGCGACAATGTGTGACCTTTTGCCAGAAGAGTAGCATCAGGAGTGCTCGTTGGGCCTTGTGACTGTCCTGATGATAGGCCCAGGAGACTTCGAGCTGAGCTCAGCTCATCTGGATAAGAATTAAGAGTTGACTCGAGATTTTGTTTTATGATAATTCGCGATGTAAATACCGGATCATCGTCAATCTGGTTATACCAGTCAATGGCGTTTAACGCCTTCACGGGGGGCTCGGCATTATCGCATTCTTGAACATACGGTAGATAACCTTCATGCCACGCTCGAATAAAATCATCGTACAATGACGTTCGTATCCTTCGCTGTTGGAGCTGTATGTACATACAAGCAGTCACAAAGTCACTGATGCTTCCATTGTAGTTTGGGTACGTTATAGTGTAACGAATAAATGGCGTTTGAGATACCGAATGTGGTTGACTGATGATTGGTGATGCAATTCGAGGAATAGATAGAACAGGTGGCGAAGATCTGAGCTGCGGCGTTGGAGGGCTGTATTCAGGTGAAGGTGGTTGAGTTTGTGGAGAATCCGGGGCTTCAATACCATCGTGGCTAATATGAGGATCCCCGGATGGAGAATTAGGTCGGTTAACTTGCCAAGCAGGAGGACTCCTCCGCGGAACCGCATCCAGGACAGTAGATGGTATAATCGAAGATGGTGGATTGCCCCCTAATTCGGAACTCTGTGCATTAGGAAATGGTGCAACAGCATGCTCTAATCTTGCAACGCCTAGGCTGGGATGAGCTGATACTGGCCTAATCTTTTCCGGGCGATAGAATTCAGGGGCTTCTTTATATATCCGTTGCTTCGGCTTCGTTTTTGATACCATAGACGATTGCTCCAACTGCTCATAGGTACAGGGTACCACTTGAGCAGAAGGGGGCGTGGTGCCCATATGCGCACCTAATTTTCCGAAAGGAAGAACATTGTCGTTAATACCAGTCGGCACCTCAACCTCAAGAGGTTCTTCTTGCTCTTGGCTACTTTGTGGGAAAGGAGGAAGGGCTTGTGGTTTAGACAGAGTAGGTTTCGTAGGCTGAGGAGGGGAGATAGATGGTACTTGTGTGATAAACGGCTGCTGAGGGGTTTCATCACTCGTCCTTTCAGGTATAAATCTGTGATGGTAAGGGCTTGATGACCATGGCTCATTTTGACGCCCCTCATCATCGGTTTCGGCGTCAGGTTCAGAATGAGCAACTTGAGAATACTTTTCATCCTGATCAATTATATCTGCCTGTGCATCAGCTGATGAAATAGCTTCGTCTGACTGTGTTGGCTGTAATTGCCGAGAGTAGCACTCCTTTAGATCCTGTAGTACTTCAGGAGGTACGTTTAGAAAAGGCTTAGAGGATCTGCTGAGAAATTGTGCCCAGGAATTAGAGAGCGCCAAAAGTTTTTGTTGGTCGCTCCCAACTTTGACAAGACACCGATGGATTTTTGTTTGCCCAAGGAGATTTGGCGGAGGTCTAAGTTTGGGGACTAGGTTAGACTGCTTTGCCATCTTGAACTGATGGCTTCAATAGTACTCATGATACTAATGAAGTAAGGTCGCAATATATCTGACGAGGTATTATTATATCTCCTATGTTGGTTTAGCACCCGTTTCCATCGCTAAATCAACGTATTGATTGGAGGCAATAAGTTGGAAGATGAATCGATTAACGCGTTTGACGCGTTAGAGAATTAGACAGTGGAGAATGAGCTATAAAGCGACATGCGAACTCACGTGCTAATGAGTCAGCTGGCGTTGCGGGGTCTTAAAGTCCTTCGAGCTCGGGTTATACAAACTTTCCCAATGAATGTGTTGCCATGCATGAAGTACCTCGGATGTAGTCAACTACATGTACCTTATATATAAAACACACTACGAGGATACGTCAGGCAGCTTGCCGCTGCATTAAATGCTAAAGAGTGGGACCGCAGCTGGATAAAGCTTCCCATGCCCGCCTCTTGCATCACTCTTTCTTATCTACCAGTCTCGGTCCTTTGCAGTTACCAAGATCCTTACTTCGTTGTAAGAAGTAGCTTTGCCCTTTCTTTTTATGGCAGCCGTCGTCATGCATTGCTAGTAGATCGCTTATTAATATTAATCTGTATACCTACCTCATAGGTAAGGCTACCTAGGTAGCCGCTTTCGCTAAGGCCTCTTCCGTTCATGTTGCTTATGCTTCTCAGATATCTAAATGCATGGGCTATCGAGACACCCCGAACCAACTTGCGAGGGAACCTTTCTTCTTCTACACTTATAAGAGCTGTAAATAGAAGCGCGTATTGACAGGAACCCTCAAAGCTGTCAAGGTAAATCAAGAGTGTATAAGCTATCTTCCTCGGTACTGATTAGTATTGGCTTTAGCACCTTGACCAGCTTGACTGCATCGTTCATGTCTCAAATCGATCGCCACCATGTCTGATAAAAAACCACCCCCAACTCCACTCTCTCCCTCGACAGTATCCTCTTCTGCTCCTAAATCTCGCGAGGAATCCATCGCCTCGGTATCTCTTACCTCTCCTCAAATCGACAAAGACCAACTTGCCCAGGCTCTTGACAAAATACATATATCCGCCAAGGAAAAAGATGTCCTAACCACCTTTAACGACTTTGCGCCACCGCCGGAATCTATAGCTACTACAGAAAGCAAAGGAATTGGGAGCGACCTTGTGCAAAATGGCTTGAGTGGACTCTATTCTCGATTTAAAGAGGCTGTTGGGGTTAGTGGGAAGGAAAAATTAGTGGTAAATACAAATACCAAAGAGAATTCCGAATCGATCGATGGGGATACTGCATCGAAGAAGAGCTCGAGCACTACCACCACAGGCCCCAAGCCTTCTACCTCTTTACTGAGAGCCGATACGGGCGCTACATGTTCAACTTTCAACTCATCCCAGTCTGAGCCGATGACTTCTACTATTGCTTCTTCAAGTGCGGCTCCGACTAGCGAAAGCCAATCCCAGCAATCTCAGCAACCCCAGTCGACGATGGCTTCATCCGTTACTAATCTCACTGGGGTTATGACTTCAAAATCTGCCTCATCAAGCCGTCAAAGCATACCGAATATGACAAAAGCGACAGCCGCTGTAGCGCCCGTACATGTCAGTGCTTTCAAAGACGGATCTCGGGGTACGTCAGCCAAGACTGAAGATAGCGCAAGTAGAGGATGCGGAAGGAGTATTAGCAGGTCAAACGATGGGCAACATATTCCGAACCCGGAGTTATCGTCGATCTATGATGCACCCGGAAATAAGCGTGCCTCTAATCTTGACAAGATTGCAATTCCTAGTCATTCGAGGCGAGAGGATGGATTAATTGTAGATGAGCATACCGATACTCCTATTAGTCCTATAAAGAGATCTAATGTTATGCCACCCATTTCTACAGCCCCTAATTCGACTTCGCCGGACTCTTACATACAACCTCAGCCCGCTTTGCTTTCCGCTAAAGATGCCATCAGAAGGCCCGCTCTAATTGACCGGATTAGCTATTCTAGAGCTTCTGGCGATCTTTCTAGATCCTCTTCCTTATCTAGAGGTACAACGGAACATAGCCCCATTAACACATCTGCTCATAACAGTGTTCATCATGAGTCGTTTGCACAAATTCCCTCGGCTCAACGAATACGATCCGGCGAATACAGGATTCCAGGCACGACTACTGACGAGGGCGCTCCGGAAATTGTCAACGCGAAATTAGCTTCCATGCGAAAACAAGTCTTAAGTAAAGATTTCTGGATGGCCGATGAGACTTGCAAGGAATGCTTCCTATGTGGTGCTCCATTTACCGCTTTCCGCCGCAAACATCATTGTCGAACATGCGGCTGCATTTTTGATAGCGGATGTACGTCTATAATCTCTGGCCAGCGATTTGGGGTTCAGGGGACACTCCGTGTATGTAAGCCTTGTTTAGGTATCATCCTCCAAAGACAAGACGGCGCTGCGTCTGACGATTCGGCCGATGATTCATTCCTCCCAGCAATATTCCGTAGTGGTCAATCTAAGCGAGGGTATTCGCCGTTCTCAAAAATGGATCGAGATGATGCTAGTATCTCTGAGAGAACGGACGACCTTGACGATGACAAGAGATCATTAACTGCACCTATGATGGCTATTCCAGTTGCGAGACGCATTGGTGAATCCTCAAACCGCAACTCGGCTGTGTTGGAAATTGGTACTCCACAGCTTAGTAGGCCAAGTTCGTCTAGGTCTTTGAAGTCTAATACCTCAGGCAGACCACAGTCTTCTAGCCATAGACGCCACCATTCGAAGCATAATTTATGGAATCGCCTTAAACCATCCCCAGACCAAAGAGCACCGTTCCGAAAATCCGCAACGGAAGAGGCAAGTAAAAAAACCGGGTTGCATGCTTTTCATGACGACAATGTCATCGATCCAGATTTAGCGCCATTTATGTCGGACGAATCCAGTGGCGACGAACAGATGAGCATTGCGGGGGCTATAGCTGGATCCGAATTTCATGCGTCGCCTGCGACGGATCCTGAGAGGTCGAGTTTGGCATACCTTAATGCCGGGAGGAAACTTAGAACCCGAGCGCAAACGGACAAAAGCATTAGTGGCGTAAGTTTTACTAGCCGTGGCCTGGACGATTTTCATCCAAGATCCTCCAGACGACGAAACATGAGTATTGCTAGTGGACACCACGTTCGCTCTCCTCGACCTAAATCGGCCGTGATAAGGGGTCCAACTGGATCAAATGAGACACTCCCAGCAATTGACACTCCAGGAGGATCCCAGCTGCCACGCCTCACTCGGAGTTCTTCTATGAAAGGGGATAAAGAACCTCGGTTAGAACTTAACCCGGCGAGTTTGTTACACGTCCGGAAGCTCCTGCGACAATTGCTTGAAGATTCCAATGTGCCAAACGTAAGCGCCTGGGAGAAGGCCTTAATGCCAATCCTTTTAAAATGTACTTCATCCGTTGACCCTGATATCGATAGAGGAGATGACATCGATATTCGGCACTACGTCAAGCTCAAAAAGATCCCAGGAGGTAGGCCAAGTGATACTTGCTATGTCTCAGGCGTAATATTTACCAAAAAACTGGCCTTAAAGAGCATGCCACGCCGCATGTCGACCCCTCGTGTTGTTATTGTGTCTTTTCCGATCGAATACCAACGACATCAACAACAATTCATGAGCCTTCAACCTGTTATCGAACAGGAGAGAGAGTTTTTAAAACAGTTAGTGAATAGGATTATAGCCCTCCGCCCTCAGTTGTTGTTAGCCGAGAAGAGTGTCTCAGGTCTTGCGTTACAATTTCTTTCGGACGCGAAAATCTCCGTTGCTTACAACGTGAAGCCTTCCGTGCTCTCGGCTGTTTCGAGATGCCTAGAGACAGAGATTATCTCTTCTGTAGATATGTTGGCGCTTCCTCCGCATCAGTTCCAGACAGGAAAAAGTACAGGTTACGAGGTGAAGACGTTCGTCAATGAGGATATCCCAGGTCGAAAGAAGACGTACATCTTCTTATCTAGCTACCTAGAAGATCTCGGCTGTACCATTGCCCTCAGAGGTGCATCTACGCCTATTCTTGCGAAGCTCAAGCACATAACTGAGTTTATGGTATATGTAGTATATAACCTAAAACTCGAGTCATGTCTGATGCGGGATTCATTTATCCAGATTCCTACAGACGAAGATATATCGAGAGATTCTACTCAAACCACTGATAGCAGTCAGCCATCACTACCTACCAAGGCCGCAATCGACGATGATGCGCAGAAAAGTTTGCTCAGCATAACTCAAGATGAGATACCATCAAGCCAAGAAGATCATTCCCCCGGGAATGCAATTGAAGTATCACAGGACAGCAATGTGCCACAAGATCAGCCTTTATCAATCCAACCAGCCAGCCAGTTAATTTCGCTCCATGAAACGCACTCTCAAGCAGCCCACGAAAGTTCTGTTCCAGAAGATGTTCCTATGCCAACCTTTTATAGTGATATGGTGGCCAAGTATCAAACAAGAATCCTCTCTGTTTCACCGTTCGTCAAATTCGCAAAACCATATCTACTTATGAAAGCTCGAGAGCAGGAAAGAAAGTTGGCTCATTTAAAACGGTTGCGGGATCAAGATGTAATTGAGGAGCGCGTAGACAACGAAAAGTCCAATCCTCCAAAGTTCCAGCTTATTAAACCGCAAATGGTTCTCGAGACAGGCCATAACGCCCCTAGACAAATTATGGAAATTCTTCATGCTGTCCACGATGCTGAATACGACAGGGCTCTCTACAACTATCAGACGCAAACAAGACAATGGGAAAATTACATCAAGGGCAATATTGGGTTTTTCGAGCCCTACGCCCACCAGAACATTGTTGTCCTACATTCTGTCATATGTACTGAAACTAAGATCCCGTGTTCGGAGCCGAATCTGATCGCACTTGGCTTTTACGACGAGCACGTCGATAGAAGCAGCGGTATGGACCCTGATTGTACTTTGGGCCAATACATTGAGGATATCTGCTATGGCGCCGACTCAACCTGCGAAGCGAATGGATGTGATCGCAAATTGTATGAGCATCACCGAACATACGTTCATGGCGAAGCACGAATTACTATATTCATTGAACAAGATACTGGAGGCCGACTCCACGGAGACAATATCATGATGTGGAGCTACTGTAAGCATTGCAAGCGAGAAACTAGCGAAATAGAGATGTCCAGAGGGACCTGGAAGTATTCATTTGGAAAATACCTAGAACTATCATTTTGGAGTAGGGGTACCACGCTAGTAAGAGACGAGGATTTGGGGGGTTGGAACTGTCCTCACGACCACCATCGCGATCATATACGATACTTTGGGTTGAACGGCAAGGTTGTACGCATCCATTACGACCCCATCGACCTCTTAGAAATCATTGTACCTCGAGCCAGAATTACTTGGAATGTTGGGCATGATCTCAACATGAAAAATGAAATATTCACAAATGCTCAAGAGCGTTGGACGCGGTTCACGACGTCTGTCAAATCACGACTGAAAGCAATTAATACCGACAATATCATCCCTGAAAAGGCCGAACCATGTAAGGCAGAAATGGAGCGGTTATCGAAAAGAATACATGATGATCACACCTCACTTATTCGGAAGCTTCAGGACAAATATATGGAATCTAAATATTATGAAGTAATTCCATTTAACATAGTTTTACGAGAGATGCTGGTCAAGGTGGCCGAATGGGATGCTGCTTTTGCCAAGTTTGAAGCTGATTTTCTCCCTTCTGACAAGGATATTCGAAAGCTGACTATGATTCACCTTCGTAAAATGTTCACGGACGAATCAAAGGAATCTCTTAATAGCAATGAAGTCCAAAACGAAGCCACCGATATCACAGACGAAACAGGTACTCAGACAAACATGCCGGAAAGCGACCACAAGCAGGATACTCAACAATCAGAAGCTAATACGGATACTTCTCAGCTTGATGTAATCCAAGAAAAAAACCCACTGGATGTACCGCCTCAGGAAGAAACTCTAGAGAGGATTGAGCCACTGGATCTTGCGACACCGAAATCACCTGTGCCCAGCAGTTCCGCCCCAAGCCAACCGGATAATCACGTCGGTACCCTGGAAGTGTCGGTACCAAATGTCACAGATGCAGTCTCAGCATTATCCCCCGAGCTTGTGCCACGGCTGGCAACAAGCACGGTACCGCCTATGTCACTAACTGAGCAAGTTGAACAACTTCGCCGACGACAGCATTCGTTGGGGCCTGAAAGCACGAGCACGGCAGGATATGTAGGAAACGAGCGGGCTGGGACCGCTGGAGAGTCTCAAAAGACGCCAGAGCGCAGCTCTTCTCGCAGGATAGGATTAAACGTTTCGCCACCGATGGTGCGCGCTATATCACACCCTGTGAATAGTATTCCGACCTTGCCCCGCCTACATTCTACAGTAGGTAAAAAGATGTTTAATACCAACAAGGACAAGGATAAAGACAAGGGACCTTTTACAGAGGTGATAGCCGGAAGCGAACTCCGGAAGGCTGCAACTAGCGAATCCGCTAAGAGTGAGAAGAAGCTTTTTAGTAGTCTCCGGCCGCATCGCAAGGGTAACCAGTCGTCTATTCCCCGTTTTGTTGGAAAGAAAGACTCTAGGGTGTCTACTATTCGTAAACATTTCGAACAGCTCAGTCGTGAATTCGAGAAAGAGCGTGAAAAAGATCGTGAAAAACGAAAACTAAGAATGTCTCATTCGAGGCCTTTCCTCCAGCATTCCACGACTAAAGCTATAGTTGAGGTTTACGAAGACGTGGATGAGGCCGTACAGGAACCAGGTCCTGCCGAGGATGAGCATGCGACCACATCGGGACTAGTTAATCTCAAATTGAAGAATAAATTAGGACTAGAAGGCCCCCCTCCAGGAAATGAGGCTGTTGAAGCACCAACAGAAGACATGCTATTTCCAAAAGATGGTCATCGACGTCAAGATGAAATTGCTATTGAAGGTGAAACTGATGACCAGGCGCACAACAATAGTTTAGGACCTACAGATGATGAGCAAGGGGAAAGCGACACAGAGCATTCGTTGATCGACGGTACGACGCTTGAAGAGATTGCCGAGTCGTTTGACTCTAACGCGGAGATTCCGATAGAACTTCCCAAGCAGGACAAGAACAACTTCATGAAGGTACTGACTACGTTTTGGAATGAACGCTCAGCTAGCCAATGGCCACCGCTAGATTACCCCCTAAATGCAGCTGACCATATTTTTATCGATTCCGACATCATTGTCCGGGAAGATGAGCCAAGCTCGCTCATTGCGTTCGCCTTGAGCTCCGAAGATTATAAGGAGAAGCTTCGCACATTTTATCGCAAGAAGGATGGTGAGAGCGTAGTAGCTTCAGCAGGGACAGATACAGAGGACGACGCACATTCTGAGGTGCACTCAGACATTGGGGAAAATGTCACCGAAAGTCAACTGGAGACCAAACTTGTTCACACTACGAGTTCCCATTACAAGTATCAATTCACCGAAGGGACGGCAAAAATGCTGGTTAAAATCTTCTATGCCGAGCAATTCGACGCTTTACGACGGAAATGCGGCGTCGCTGACCGCATCATTGAGTCTCTGTCTCGGTGTTTAAAATGGGATTCTAAAGGTGGTAAGACAAAGTCAGTTTTCTTGAAGACTCAGGACGACCGGTTGGTAATGAAGGTAAGCAAGCGTGTAAGCTCCATCCTTACGTAGGCGCATGTACTGATTATATTACTAGTCTTTGTCGCCAGTGGAGACAGCTGCTTTTTTGAAGTTTGCACCGGCGTACTTCGGTTTAATGGCGGAGGCGCTTTTCCATGATCTCCCGTCAGTAATTGCCAAGATGCTAGGGTTCTTTCAAGTCATTATAAAAAACCCGGTAACCAACACGGAGATCAAACTGGACTTGCTTCTTATGGAAAACCTATTCTATGATCGGGCTCCTACGAGGATCTTCGACTTGAAGGGTTCGATGAGAAACCGAAAGATCCAGTCAACTGGAGAGCGTAATGAAGTTCTTCTCGACGAGAATATGGTGGACTATATTTATGAATCGCCGCTTTTCGCGAGGGAACACTCGAAGAAAACTTTGCGCGACTCGGTCTGGAACGATACACTATTCTTAGCCCGTCAGAACGTCATGGATTACTCCCTGATGATCGCTGTGGATGAGATAAAGAAAGAGTTAGTTGTAGGTATCATTGACTGCATCCGCACATACACATGGGACAAGAAACTTGAAAGCTGGATCAAGGATCGCGGCTTCGCGGGCGGCGGTCGTAATAAACCAACCGTAACCAGCCCAAAGGAATACAAATCGAGATTCAGAGAGGCTATGGCCAGGTACGCTACTACTCTAACACGTTAAAGAAACTAGACCGTACTGACTTAGAACGGCGTAGATATATCCTTGAAGCACCGAATTGCTGGCACCAGCCTAGTGCGCCGCTCCCAGTGTCGAGACCCCCACGAGCGGAAATGAATGCTGCAAGAAGAGACGAAGTAGCAACGGATGTAGGCGCAACATAGGTATCGCGCCTTCGTAGGTTTACTATAGGATGATCAGAGGGGTGGGTATCTTGTACGGATGGTATATATGACGTTAACCACGAAACGAGTTGATGAGGCGTTTTACAAAAGGTAACTACCTGACCTATAGTATACGGATGGGCATAGGGCAGCATGATATCCTCAATACGGGGATAGCGAGACGTGGATAAACGAAAGCAGTTCGAGACAAGAGCGTGAAAGGTTGCTCTTTATCTTTTGATAGCGAATACCCATTTTAATACTTTAGGTACCTTTTTGACTTTTGGTGCTGTATTCCTGGTAAAGTTGGGTAGTCCATGTCGTACCTACGTTAAAGCCCATGATATGCAATCATCAAAGTTGAAGTGAACGTGGTGTTCTATCTAAGTACTACCTAGGTACTAATAAAACAGCGATTAGGTACCTAGGTACCTAAATCTATAAGGCCATTACATTAATGTGGAACATGACATAGGTACCTAAATAGGAATTTAGGTAAGTTAGGTACCTAAGGTTAGGTATTGTACAATACAATACCTAGATGGACCGCTATAGCTGAGTGGCAGCTGGGTATCCGAGGCTTAGAGCCCCACAGACGCTAACATCTGCTGACTTTATTTGGTGGCGGTCTGCTATCCACGGTTTAGCAGTTCAGCTATCTCAACTTAAAAACTAACATTTTGAACTTTGGCTGACAGGTAGGTACGAATTGTATTCAACACGTCAACACGGCTACATACCTTATGCAGTCTTCAATTTTCACTTTTCACACCACAAGTAATCATGGTATGAAGTAACCTTACCGTTGTTTTTCACCAGGAGCAAAATAAGATGATGGGAAACTCAGCCATAATAGATTATCATACGCCACCGCCGTTATGTCGATAGACCTGAATTGGGAGACGCTGACGGGCGGGCCGGACGGTGCCGCACTCGCGGAACACATCCGCGATTTCATTCACACCAAATTTCAGGCCGTTCCCCTACCGCGTTTTATCAAATCCGTCAAAGTCCACGACTTCGCCTTTGGTACCATACCACCAAATGTGGTGCTGAAGGACATATGCGACCCACTACCAGACTTCTATGAGGAAAATTCAGATGCGTCAGACGAAGATGATGAGGAGGATGAGAGTCTTGTGCAGGATGATGAGAGAGGAAGACATGGGCATTCGGAGGAGATATCCGAAGCAATTAGAGCCGCCGAGCGTAAGAGGAGAGCGGATCAGATTCGGAGATTAGAGGGAAGGGGTGGGAGCGGGCGCAGGGGTGGTGAGGGCGAAAGTGGAACGACCGCCTATCATCCCGAAGGTCTATATCCGCCTCATATCCACGTCGCTGGTTTAAGGAGCGCCCCTGGCACTCCCGATATAGGCAACCCCTTCCTAGGACTCGGCGTTCCCACGCCCGGCGTGCCTGGCGGTACCGCAAATATGCACTACTTCCAGTCAAAGCTCGCGACTACTTGGTCCGGCACGCAGACGCCGTTAGCGGCCGTCGCCGGAGCGCAACACTTGAGCGGTTGGCTGGAGATGGGTAGCCTACATACACCTCCATCAGAGAGATACTCGCGAAGTCGCGATCACAGCAGACAGCCTTCACAGGGCTCTGCTTCTATACCAGATTACCCTCCAGTTCCATCCCCTACCCTACCCCCAACCTCGCTCTCGCCGATGCCGCACCCGCTCCGGGAGAAACATAGTGTGTCAACTCTCGCACCAACATCGGCCGGTCCGTCACGACCGCCTACGAGAGACAGGATGACGAGCGCGACACATATGACAGGTTTGCCTCGGCCTAATCGCAGCCCCGACGGCAAAGGGGCGCGCGAAGGATCCTCGGAGGAGGAGGAAGAGGCGCCTAAGAAGTTTCGGGAGCCCAGGATAGACGATCTACAAGCTGTATTCCGCATCAAATACGCAGGTGATGTGAAGCTGATGTTGACCGCTGAGATCCTGCTCGACTACCCGATGCCGAGCTTCGTAGGGATTCCGGTAAAGCTGAATATCACGGGGCTTACGTTCGACGGGGTCGGCGTCGTCGCATATATTAGGAAACGGGTGCACTTCTGTTTTTTAAGCCCCGAAGATGCCCTTGCTGCCGTGGGGCAGGATGACGACAATGGTGGAGATGGAGACGAGCAGGGTATAGGAACTGCCGGCAGCGCGCGGAAAGGTAGGCTTGGAAGTTTGCTACAGGAGGTTAGGGTGGAGAGTGAAATTGGACAAAGAGAAGGGACGAAGCAGAGCTTGAAAAACGTCGGTAAGGTCGAGAAATTTGTTCTTGAACAGGTCAGGCGGATATTCGAGGAAGAGTTCGTGTATCCTAGTTTCTGGACATTTTTGGTCTAGGGACATTAACTAATGTAGATTTACGACTCTCTTCTCTATGATTGAAGAGAGCATTCATAGACTATTTCGAATACACGACACTCAAGGTAGACTGGAGGTTTGTACAATGGCAGCGTAAATAAAAGACAACGAGACTCATATCAGTAGATGGAGAAGCTGGCGCAACTAACGCTACTAGCACGGTACTGTCTGAACCATATCTAGGTACCTAACATAACCTATTGCACATTGGGTACATTTCTCTGGCCCAAGAATCCTATTCTCTCAGATAGGTCCTTACTGTCCAGCTCCCTGGTTGCTAGACTGTCCCTCGGCCTGGCGCGCTTGGCATAGCGGCTTATGTCGCTTGGTCCAGTCCTGCTTCTGGCATTCCTTAGAGCAGTAGAAAACGGATTGGCATGCACCGCAGGCTTTCAGATCTTTTTGAGTGAACGTTCGACTATGGGGGCACTGCAGGGTATATGATTAGTTTACCACGTTTATGAATCCTATATTCAGGGTGGTGGGTGATGGGTGATGGGTGATGGGTGATGGGAATATATAAACTTACGTAGTAGAATCCGCACACCATCTGCTCTCCCGAGCCTCTAATGCGTATCTCCCTAGCCTCGGCGAATCTGCCCTGGGCCTCCCGCAGCTGGCCGATGTTGTCACGGGTCACTGCCGCATCCAGAACCGGGCCTCCTCCTTCTCGGACCCGCAGCGCCTTTTGGAAGGCTTCGTCTGCTTCTTCCAATCTTCCCGCGCGCAGCAGGCCTTCGCCCATGCCGTTGTAGCTGATGGCAGCCTGGATGGAGTCTGCGGGGTGGAAGCGCAGCTTGGATTCGAGAGCTTTCTTGTGCAGCTCGACGGACTCTTCAAATCGGCCCTCTTTCATGGCGGTGCAGGCGTTATTAGAATAGTCGACGCCGTGGAAGGTTGCATCCTGCCATGCCCTCAAGTTGAGGGTAGGGTCGGTGGGATCGGGTGGTGGATGAAAATAGGATTGAGCCATGTTGGCGGATGATGGTTTCTTGGGGTTTGGTTAGGGTGAATCAGGAAAGATGAAAATATTGGATAGGAGAGAGGTGCCTACCTGGGTATTTATGTTGAAGGTCTGTGAATTTCTTTTCCTAGGTAGATGAAGCTTCACGGAAAAGTGCTGTTAGTTAGTGAGGAATGAAGTAGTAAGAACAGCGCGTTTGTAGATGGCCTCCACACTGCTTATCGTCTCTTTAATTTAAGTGATAGAGTAATTGTGAGTCATCTATTGATACCGTTTATATTGATCGATTTGAAAGATAGCTTTTTGTATTATTTATGCTATCAATCTACCTTAAAGGTACGTAGGTAAACTTGACGCAAGCACCCTACGCATTAATTAAAGACTTGGCTACTTGGCCGCTTGTAATTAAGTATTGTTTTGAAGTACATACCTCTAAACAGAAAGACTTCTCATATTTCAAAACTACCTAACCTAGGTAGTTATCTTTTAATAGTTTTTAGTTATATTTTATAAATCCTTTTCTTTTTCAGTTTTTAGCAATAGTTAAAATAGTTTCTTATTCGTTCTAATTTCTTTTGCAACGCTATTTTTCAATACCAGCCAAACGTTTAGTTAGTGCGTAACACCGTTGAGAATGCTGGCATTAAGTTTACGCAGACAGCACAAATATAGGAAGAAGCTGCAAGTACCCTTAGTTATCCTATTTATTAAGTACTTGATATGCGCTCTCTCACCGCCACATAAACGCCTGATAATACATACGTTCACCACCTGATATAGGTATGTTTTCCAATCGATTCTATCTTCTTAGTTTGATACCATTCGTACTGGCCCATGAAGATATCAAAGTTTAGCTTCCTCCTTTCCTAGCGTGCTAGAGTCCAAGTGTTCTTCCAGAAGCCGTGATACCCCATCAGCAACACCCCAGCTCAGCTCATAGCCTCGGCCGCCCAAACCATATGCATGGATGATAGTCTGTCCGTCAACTACTTCCTCCCTCTCCAGTCGTATACCGCCTCTGCGAGTCGGCCGTCGACCCACAATATCCTTCAAAACCGTAAACTTGCCTTCACCGCCCAAGATCTGTGGGTAAGTAGCAGCAAATTTCTGCAGCAGGATCTCACGGACCTCTAGTGACGGATTAGGATCCCAGTTATCAGGCTCTTTCGTGCCGCCTATGATGGTACCGCCATCAAAATTCCGCGGAACACAGAATGTCCACGAACCGTCTGCATTTTGCCGCGTGACAGTCACGGGGCACGGGTTAGCGACGAGGCATGTCTGGCCTGTGCAGATATTTAGTATTGAGACACGTAGAGTGTTAGGTACCTGGGTAGGTACCTATTTTTGGTATTGAGAGAATGAAATAGGAGCAACTCACCCCTCGTGATAAACATGTTCTCGTCGCCAAACCCGATCCCAGAAGCGTTTACTAGCACATCAATCGGCCCCGCCTCAAGACTCCAGGAGAATATTTCCCTCGGGTCTCTCACTTCTCTACGCAGAATCTTACCTCCAAGAATCGCGAACCTACGCAGTAGGAAACTGCAGTATACCATAGGATTAACACACCACGTGTCGTACTCGCATCCCCATTCAACACCTTCCGGAAGCTCCCCTTTCTTTAGCAGCCTAAATCCCTTCATACCTAGCTGCGTACACGCTCTCTCTTCGGTAAGCGCACGGTATGCCTCATTAGGTGCCTCTAGATACTCAATCCCTTTCATGAAAGTGATGCCGGCCTCCGGGTGGCGTGCTTGTACGGCACGCACGTGGTCGAAAGTCTGGAGGCTCATGGCATGTTCCCGCTCCTCGGCGGGGTTGGTGGGGGGTACAAGTCTGTTGTGCGCCCCTCCCCATGGCGAAGTGTAGTTAATCTGGCTTTGCGCGTCAATCGTCTCAGATCCGGAAGGAAAGTCCCGCGCCACGATTGTCACGGCGTGTCCTTCGGCCTGGATTCGTAGAGCGGAGCTTAGCCCGATGACACCGGCGCTGTGGGTCGACGTGTTAGCTAGATGTCTGTGTCGTAATGAAGGGCTACTAATATAGGAGAATGTACCCCAGTACGACTATATGCGACATCGTGAGAGAGATGCGTCTTGGTAGCTTAATGGAGGTAAGTGTGTTTTTTTTTTCTCTGGAACAGTCCGAGCGTAACAATAAGGCTGTTTCTTTATTACACAGCTTACGGAAACTAAGGGGGTTAAAAGAGAATACGAGCAGGAAGTTTACATATTTATTATATGGGACGTGATTCCAATAAACCGATTCCGGTAGCGCAGAGGCTTATAGAAGTTTCTATCGCCTATATTCATCAATAGCTTGAGTTGAGAGAGAAATTGAATTGAACTAATACTAGAAGTAACTGAAATTACCATCTTTAGCTACGGCGGCCGAACATCGGAGGTGGGAGCGGGTCCGGGTGGGGCCGGTTACTCACGCCGACCATCCGCTATGAGAGCCGAAAGTGGCAGGAATAGAAGGTACAGATCACGGGAGTTACGGCCGAGTAAATTTCGGAGATATTTCCCGGCGCAATATATGTTTTATCATAAAGTTATATACCTAGGTACCTAATGTAGCAAGTTTAAACGACGTTTGTCGAGCAGCTATCCGATACCTTGCGAAGATAATCTCCTAAGCGCCGGCTCAAGGCAAGTGTATCCGCTAATAACTGCCGATTAAATACGCCGAAATACATGGACATCGTCCAAGTTAGTAGATTTATAAGGTGAGATGCTTCAGATGGAGCATCTGAAGTTGATTTGAAACAACACCCATCTTCAGCCAAGACCGCTAAGCTTGCCAAGACGTACCGAAAAACTTCAGAAACGGTGGAATGCTTGAAGATTACGACAGCATGTGGATCCCGTTTACCGTCATCGAAAATCTTTATGATGCGCGCCTAGGGAAAGGCTGATCTCCCATAGGATCTCCATTATGAAGTGGACCTTGGGAACCCTGGCTTGCGGAGGGTATATCTGCATAGAAATCGAATATCATCAGACTGTAGCCAAGTTGCTAAGGAGCCTCACAATACGAAAAGGGTGGGACTTATCGAACCATACCTTCGCTCATTTTGACCAATGGCTTTGGCACTTGAACAAAATGCGCATTTTGCATAAAAATGTCTTTGACCAGATTGGGAGTTTTGACTTTCAACTGCCGAACCTGCTCCTGCTTGGGTTTAGGACGGTTCGGAGCTCCTTTTGGGAGCAGGATGAAGGGGCATCACTAATCCACATCTAAGACGCTTTGAAGATTCCGCTACGCTGAGATTGTGTTGCAGTTGTCGACACAGCCCTGGTTAGTATCATTGCGTGATATGCTTTTTTGGGTATCTCGCTATATATCCTCACGGTAAGCCCACCGGCTCGGGAACCGAGTCCCATCTCCTTACTTTCTAGTCGAATTTTTATTTCCCTTCCACTCTCTTTCGAACCTCCTAGTGAGCAGACAGCCGTTGAACGGTTCATTATCATACGTTTTAATCTAATATACGATTCGTTTCCCTGTCGGTCATTACCTCGTAGCGTCCTCACCGGTTCTTCAGTAGCAAACATGCTATTCTTCGCTAGTTCCATCCTCCTTGCCGCAGTTACTAATGCGCGACCATCTCGGGTATTATATAGAGAAACGCCAGTCGACGTTGGGGGGTTCAAGGGTAGGTGACAAGTTACTCTATAACAGTATCGTGGTAGATAAATGGCTAACGATGAACAGTTCAAGCAGCTAATAGGATAATTCCTGTTGTTGTTGGTGGACCACAGGATACCTTCGTACCCAACACCGTGAAGGCATCCGTTGGAGATATCATACAGTTCCAGTTCAGCAATGGCAATCATACCGTAACTCAGAGTGCTCAGAACGCTCCGTGTACACCTCTTGAAGGCGGTATCCACAGCGGACATATTCCATTTCAAGATGGGCAAACCACTGTTGGCACGTTCAATATGCCTGTAACAAACGCCGACGCTTTGTTTTTATACTGCGCCACAGGGCCTCATTGTCAAGAAGGGCAGGTCATGGTCGTCAATCCGTAAGTAACCATCCCCTTTTAAGTATCACAAGGCTAACTCTCTATAGTGCGGATGACCAGCAGATTGTCGACTATGCTAAGGGGTCGCAATCGACAACAGCTAGTGTCGATGGTACCGCAGTAGTAGGAGGGACAGTTGCTTCCATCCCCCTCGATGCCGCTGCCTTCGTTCCCGCCCCTGCGAAGCAAGGTGCCCCAGCTGGCGCGCCTCCAGCTGCTGCCGCTCCCGCAGTTCCTGCACCCGCAGAATCCTCTGCTGCTACTTCTGTCCCTGGAACAACCACAACCACTATCACCGTACCAGCGGCAACTGCTTCTGCAGCTCCCGCTGCCTAATTGTGCCGGCCGAGACCGGTCGGGATGGGATACTAAGAGGATGGGACGGCGTTTTGATCCTATATACTTGGGTTGGGCAACGGGTGGACATGTAGATTAGGTATATCATCTCGGCGAGTTTTAATACACCGAGGTAAGCTCACTTGAATGATACTCAAATTCGACGAATCTCTCACATAGCCTTAGAGGCTCATTGGCTTAGACTTTTTATCTTCTTACCCTTGACTTCTAGGGCCTTTACTTTTAGAGTGGCATTCTCGTTATCGTTTTTCATGGCTCTGGGTTATTATAGGGAGAACAAGCCTTTTGAAAAATGCCAGCGAGTTTTGGCTGGATTTAAAGCAAACGTAAATCCAATGTAGTTTACCTAGGCGGTATTTTATACGAATGCTGTTGTTATCGGAATATTTAGACCATTCACATACATATCTTGGTCCGAATCTGGTAGAAATGCCTCTAACCGTAATGATTTTTATGAGTTTTCATGCCTCATCACTTTACCGAATCTGAAACTTCCCAGAAACCTCCTTTTCCAAAATGCCTACGCCGATTAGTTCGTGTTGCATCGTAGTTCGGTTATGATTATATCATGAAGGTATCAAACGTCGCCGAGGTGGGGTTGACAGTTTTGTACGAATACGAAGACGAGGATATAGATGTAGAGTTCCATTCCTTAGAGTGAAGTATATTCTAATGAGGACCTTTAGTCGTTACAACGTAGCCTCTAGTAACCCGAGAATCACATCCCCTAGTCAGGATATGCGCATGTGGACAGTCCTTAGAAATAAAATCTACCAGCCAGTAAATTCCACCTTCTGAATTTATATTGATATGTGCTAAGCCTTTAGCATCTGTAACTAAGCCAGTTGTCTTTCTCGGTACGCCACATAGGGGGGCCCTTGGATTTGCATCAACCACAGACATAGTACGGAGAATAGTTATGATTCTACAATTTAATTCAAACAAAAGCATCATACGCGCCTTAGGGGTTGGTTCACCCAAATTAGAGCTATCGCATGAGTCTTTCATCTCACAATGTCGTAGGTTCAAGTTCACAATCGAGACATTTCAGGAAGCAAAACCTCTCACTTGGATAGCCTTAGGCCTTCTTAACGACAAGGTAACTCATTAGTATCGATATTATTAACTGCCTATGTAGACGTAACACCAACTTATCTAGATTGTTTTGGATACTTCTTCGACGTTAGATGACCCAAGGGAGCATGTTAAGACAATTCCAACAAACCACGTAGGCATGTGCAGGTACGGCAGCCGTTACGATCCAGGTTATTAAAAGGTTGGGTTGGAACTTGCTAGACTAGCTAATCTAACAATTATTAGCCATAAATACCAGACTTAATGATATTAGCAGCGTGTTCTGCAATCCCGTACGCTGTGGCCTGGGTGTTACAACGAGGTATAAGCAGTACTATTATACTCAGGTCACAAACCCGAAGGTTCTTACACCCATAGATGCGTAACTCTTTATCCACCACACTACCCATCTCTTGAGGCATCTGTGAGCACGTACCAGTGAAATAGTGAAATAATAAGTGCCTATGCAGGTTTCGCGAACATGTTTCTTGGCTTCCTCAAAATCCGAGAGATTGTATTCTGCAAGGATGCACTTCCCGTTTGGTAAAATATGCTTCATCAATGGCTCTGTATTCTTGACCCTTTCCAACTGTTGAACGTGCCTGGATAGCATCTCGATGTCTACAGGATGCGAAAAATGATTTGGGTCTATATTGAGGCCAGAGGATGACGCAGATGGAGATGTGATGTGTGTCAATCCGCGTGGTAGTGGATGTGCAAGGCTTACTGCAAAGGTCACATAGCGGTCGTCGCCATGAGGGTGAGGTAGTGGATCTTGTTTGAAGAAGCCTATCCAGGGTTTCAAATCTTTCTTGCTTAACAACCTCACCCGTTAGACTCAAGTACACATGGTTTTGAAGATTTCCCCCATGTGACAGTTGTCTATAATAACACTTATTCCAGATAGGCCGAGCCCGCATAAGTTCTCAGCTTTGTGATAGGATGCATACTCTCTGGGTCCATGAAGGTGCCATGTATTGGTCCAGAAAAGAGATTCATTGACACGGGGAATCCCGTATTAGAGAGTGTCCCTTCCCGACTGTTAGCCATAGAGCTTCTTCGGCAGCAAAACTGACCTGCAGCGGGCCCTCACCCAAGCTTCCCCATTGCGAGTTTTCTAAGCGGCTTACCTTTTCCATGGATTATGAGGAGTTCGCCCAATCCCAACCCGGATTTCCGAGATCAGCCCATGCATCGACAAGAGCCTTGGTGGCGTGAATATGAAAGTATTGATTGCGCTGGTTCCTCCGAGCACACGGCCACCGTAGACATGCAGCTATCGACCTCCAAGCCATTTCTACCAGTCCACAAATCAGCGTTAGATTCGTATCGGTTCGCACATAAGACGACATACTTGAGGAACCTGTCTGCAGGCTCCAATTCGAGGGAGTGCTTATAAACGACTGACACATGGCTGGCATGTTAACTCTAGGGTTAGCAGTTAGGTCTTGACTCTTCGCTAGCCTCAATTACGAGGACTTGAACATCTGGATCCTCAGAGAGGTGAGTAGCCAGCATAATAATGAGTTATGATATTAATTAGGACCTAGTTGGAAAGTTTAAAGGCTGGATATATCTAAGAGAGAACATAAGCTGCGTTGGATGTAAAGATTTGGCAAAGGAAAAGGAAAAGTTGCCTTTGTTTCTTGCTGTAGTTAGGCTTTTTGCGACTATTACAAAGTACAATGCTATAAGTGAGCCTTGCACGATCTCACCAAAAGGACGTAAGAGATGTACAAAAGGTTTAGACAAGAAACCGCTCGCGTGTCGTCGGGCGAGCTCCCACTCATTCGTGCGCTTATATCGAATGCCGGATGTAACGATATGGCCAAGCAGAGCTGCACATAGGACGGTTTCGATATGAGCTTCATGTCTAATTATTTAGGCCATTGGCTACTAGCTCTTATGCTCCTACAGAGCATGGACCGGAGGAATGGCCGGAAGCCCCACACATGAGTGCGCAATGTCTTCCATGTTTCTCTTCCAATCTACTTGTTTACATTACTCCCCTTCAGTTTCCCACTTTTTATATCTCCGACCCTCTCGCTGTTCTGAGAGGAGAGCCCGGATGCGTATCAAAGAATGGAGCTCCCCGCCCGTGATACAACTATATGGTTCGTGTCTAACAACATATTGCCTTGTTGACGTTATTTAGTGTTGACTACCCTGTAGACAAGGTCACAAGCTACTTCAACGCTTCAAACGCGTCTTGACATTGATCCATCTCTTAAGGAAGTCTCTATCGTTGGTATTGATCCCGGAACCATGAAGATCGGCATCATGCGGAATAGAAATTTGTTCGCACGCCTGTTCATCTTTCCGGTCACCACGCAAGGCTGCAGACCCCGAGAAGAGGGTTATGGTCTGGAAGCGCAGTGTGAAATACACCGAATTAACTAAACAGACTGAACAGGATACCATGTTGGCTCATTGGGCATGATAGAGGAAATGCGGGAGAGGTTAACTTAAACAATATTGCTATACTGTCGGCAGAGACATATAAAGTGCTACTACATAGATCTATAGCAGCAATGTAAGAATGTAAGGTAGACAGACTATCCGCGATCTGCCCATGTACCAAGCCAACCAGATGCCCATTTATGCGGTCTCTTGGAGTGTATGTAGCATTTGTGAAATTATCAAGTCCCAATCTCTAATATCGATGTAGCTGTTTGACCCAACCCCGCGCGCGCTTCACGCCTCTTGGCATTTTTCAATTACCGTTTTCGCCAGTCAGCTAGTGAGCTGGGCGGCTAAGATGTAGTGTGATCCTCCTTTTGATTGGTTCGTCTGTCTGCTTGAACCTGCAAGCAATTATTCTATTTCGGGACGCGCAAATCAGGTCGGAGTGCCGACTTCTTCACTTCCAACTCTTCTCCATACACACACTCGTCTAGGTTAGAGAGGGTGCCAGTTATGACAGGGGACGGGTCCTCGTCGGCCTGCATAGATCTACAACCACCCTTCCCCAGTGGCTGGTTGAGATACTTCACCCCACCTTCAGAGGCGTGCACAGGCGTGCACAGGCGCTTAGCAAGATAGCCTTGATGATCTGCTACCTGGTAGCTCCGTGCTCTGCACATCGTGACCGCCGGCAAGCATGGCCCAGAGCGCTTGTTGCATGTTTAGGTAGTATATACATCCTTTTGGTATCTCCCTTGCTTCATAGAAAAAAAAATAGTCGAAGACTTTACTGTTTTGTTATCTCGAATCTACACTATCTGTTGGTAATTGGGTTCCGAATCTCTGTACCCGGATCCCTCGTATGCGAACGTGTATGTAAGGTTGTGTGACCTGCCTTGTCGAGTGATAACATCGTCTTGATGTGGATCGAGAGACCATGTCCCGGTAACAGGCGAATTATCTTTCTAGACTTACCTTGGTCAGCCTGGCTTCTGTGCTTGTCCAACATTCAGTACTCGACGCTACCGACAACTAACGACAACTAATTCATCGTGGCGGAAGAAAAGAAGTACTCTTTTACAAAATGGCATCGAATGGGCCCTCGGGAGGGCTTTCTCTCTTCCCTAATACAACAAGGTCGCCTTCCCGGAAACCAACACCTCGAGCACGCGCTGCCACTCCTCAATCGTCCTCTCGAGAGCAGGGTTCCCCTTTTGAAATGACTCCACCGAGGAATGGTCGACGTACTCCGGAGGACCTCTCCGAGTTCGTGATCGATGGAACACCGGCGGTGGCTAACGGTCCACAAATGTCTTCCAATAATCCCTATTATCAGAACGAGGCGGGTCCGTCAGTATCACGACCAGTACCTATCTCAGAAGTGCCGCCTCGGGCCGGCACCGCGTTCTCTGGGGCAAGCACGCTGGTGAGAAGCGATAGTGGGCGATCACGAAGTTCAATTGCCAAACGTCCCCTCGAAGAACAATCCGTACCATACGTACCAGAACCGGCTATCCGTTCAATATTTCCACAGTATGATCATACTCTACCCCTGGACCGCCAAGAGTATTATCCTACCCAGACGAGTCCAACTCACATACCAAGGACCGTCATCAGCAGACAATCTCATGTGCCTAATGCTCAGAGCCCACCGGTCCGGAGTCCTGTAAGAAGTCCTCTTAGCGCCGGCTCTACGCAAAGATGGCCTCGACGGCCACAGGAACCCCCTATTATACCCCCCGTCAACACGACAGACGAACTCCGCAACTTCTGGAAAGTAGCGAATGGATGGAGGGCCTCTGCGGCGGAAGGGCGAACGTTTTGTTTGAAGCTGATACCCGAAAAAGACACCCCGATTTATAACCTCACTTCATCTTCCACGCAACCACTCTACCATATGCGAATAGACCCAACGTCGGCAAGCGCATACGTAACGTTAAGCCGGCATGATCCAAGTAAGCCTTATAAGGGGAAGGAACCGAACGCAAGTCCGAGGTCGTCCGGTGGTATCCTAGGAGCGCTTCGGGAACCTGAATCGAAAGCATGGCAAGAGGCTCTAGTCACCACGCTAGAAGAACCGTCACGCCGTCTGCCACCTAACGACGGTTTAGTCTCCCTATTGTATCCTAGCGGGGCAACAAAAGTAGCACTCGAGAGACCGGACGATATACAGGCTGTGATGGCTGCAGAACGAGAGTGTGCAAGGCTGGTCTGGGACGAAGATAGCCAAAACTACTTCTTGGTGCATCCGGCCCTGGCGACACCTTTCTGCATTACTATAGACCGGAACCCGGCATGGAGCCGAACCGAGTACACGGTTGAACATATCGAGTCGCCGCATCATATCGCGAAGCTTACGCGAGACGGAACTGGCGAGGGCTGGATGGAACTCGATACGCTTATAGCAGGACGCATCGATAGCTTCTACATCCTGGATGTAGCTGTATGCGCGCTACTTCTCGTCGCCAACATCGACGAGAAGAACGTCCTCGTCGAGCACTTCGAACCACCCCCACCGGCACACCTGCGGAGCTCGAGCTCTAATCCCGATTTCCGTAGGAGCACCAGCCGGCTCAGCGCCAAGATACTCGGAAAGAAAGGGAGCAAGAAGCGCGGGCGTCTCGAAGAGCTGGAGCTTGATCTCGAAAGCCAGGCCAGTAGTCTAGGCGGCAAGCTGAATATCAAAGACAAGGATAAGGAGCGACTCCCGGGGACTGCGCGAACCATTGTTAAGCTGCTCAGCTTTGGGTTCAAATGCGTTATTTGGGCCCTTACACTGGCGTTCAAGGCACTCATGGCTCTCATAGTGGGCCTGAGTAAGTGCCTAACGAGCGAAAAGCTTTGAGCGTGTCATGATGCCATGATGAATAGGTACGGGATGGGGACTTGGGACCAAGGGTGTCAATGGGGACAAGGGGGGACTACAAGAAGGAACCGTGAAACGGGGTACCTACAGGCGGATACGATACCATTACCATTACCACATAGCCCCGTACGGACAGTACATATTAATGAAGCAGGCCGGTCATTTCCTCTTCTACGGGTGGGCTGCAGGATATAATGAGAGCTGGCGGATTACAGGTACAGGTACAGGTACAGGTAGAGTTACGAGCGAGGCACGAGGCTGCTCGGGAAATGTAAATATGGGATAGGATGGGTTTATTTCTCCCTGGGTATCGCATAGCTCTAGACGATCTGAAGCCCGGTGCCTGAACGCCGCCTGTAATAATATGATTGAAATCAAAGATTTCGGCTCATTGTCCGAATTCCTAACTTCATTTTCCATCTCTTATCGCTGGTATGCAAACGCTCTACCGCTTACGCTCCCGAACCTTGATCTTCTTGCCGGACTTCGTCATAACATTTCCAGATGTCGCCGTCTTGGCCATCTTGGACCTTTGGAGCTCGAGCTCATGCTCGGTTCGCGCGAGAATTCGTAGCTTCTTTCGTGAGTTTTGGAGTCTTCGTTGTAACTTCTCGAGAAGCTTCTGCCGCTGTTCGGCACGTAATGCTTCCGGGTTGTCCTTCTCGGCATCTTCTTCTATATCCAGATCTTCATCACCATCTGCATCCTTCTCCACTTCCCGCCGTAACCTCTCATCACGCTCTTCTACGCCCTCTGTGAATACAATCTTCTTCGGCTTCGTCTGCTTCGGTGCTCCAAACCCTTCTTCATCGTCCGAGTCCTCCTCAACTTGGACATCTAAGCTACCACCTAGTCCCACAACTCTCTCCTCGAGCGCTTTGGTCTCCTTGAGCGCGGCATTGCGCACGGTGCGCACATACCCAATATCCTGGGTTTTAAGCAGGCGCACGGTGTCGATATCCATGACCTTATTGCCGCGATCGCCGTTAACGGTTCCAGTCCACCGCTTCCCTAGCGACAATGCATCACCAGGGCCCTTTCGCGACATCATCCCGAAGTAGAACTCATCTTCGTTGCGGTCGGCGGCCTTTTGCCGCAGCGCACGTAACTGGGCTTTCTTCTTGTTGAAATCCTTTGCACGTAGGGAGTAGTCCTAACGTTTGAGGTGGTAGTATTAGCTTTACGAGGTGAATGTAGTATTGGGATGGCAATGCGAATCGGAATGGCATAAGAAATGGGTAGACGTCGTACCTTGTGCTTTTCAAGTAGGCCGAGGCGTTGGCGCTCTTTTGGCTGCGCACGTTCTCGGTGAACGCGGCGTTGTACGGCATTTCTTATAGAAGACATTTTGACTCGTAGGGATGAAACAAGTAGGAAATAAAAGTATTCTACTTTACCACTGGAGAGTGGAGAGTCCTGTGATCGTAGTGAACTGACGATTGTTGAAAGTGTTGAAATTGTTGCGATTGTTGCGACTGATAAAACTTTTAGTGGATACCTTGATTTGATTAAGCCACAGAAAGATAAGATAAAGAAAGTGTGGCGCCAAATTCACCCCCCTATTTAGTAGCCAATTCGACTCGGTGAAGCTTTCACTATTGACATTAACGTTAGTGTAGAGTTCGAAATAATACTGATTGGTTCGTGTTTGGTCCATGGTAAGCCGAAGAAAATTTCCCAACGAAAATCCTGTGGCGAGTTGAAATCCTTATAAACCCTATCGCTAAACTTCGCATGGCTTTGATGTCATGAACTAAGGTAAGATACTTATGTAGATGCAAAAGGCTATGCGTGGCAAGTTGTCCTTATGTATCTCTATATATTAAGTACCTGGGTATGTAGGTATGCTATATTTAGCTGCAATTCTTCTGTATCAAGCTTACATTATAGAGACCACTCTGTTTCCTTTGATTAGTAACTTTCCATCCTGAGATGAAGTAGTTGTTATACCCTTGATGCAGTCCCATGTTGGGCGTATAAGTACCTAATACTACCTCGGTAAGTAGGTACCTAATTTCCATGTATAAGCAAATCCTCACGGATCATCATAACAAATCATAGCATTGTTGGGATCCTAAGCGAGCCAGTAGTCGTTGAAACCATACCTTAGGTGCCTACCTATGCACAAGCTAAAGTGCGGAGGGTGGACTGACCTCTACAGAAACAAAAGTGCTAAAAGATGGAACAGATACGAAGTATAGGGAGATCTCTCTGCCTAATTTTTAACCATGATAGATTCTTTACAGCACTCCCCTTTATTTGCAGATAGAGCGGCACCTAAAGTAATGCAGTGCAGCTATTTCAAGTTGCAAATATCTCCACACCACGGTAGAAATTCATTGCATGAATACAGTTGGCTAATTATAATTAAATCAAGGCCGATAAGCCCACACCTCTCCTCAAAATTCTGCCTTACAGTGAAGTTACTAATTAATAAGGCTGCTATAAAGGAGGCTCCAATATGTAGCCTCAACCGTGGTCTGGAACTAGCCGATGTTACTGCATACAACATCACGCGCCAACGAACATTTTTCGAACTACAAGTCAGACTTGAAGGACTATTTAGTATTAGTCTAACCTAAGTTTAATTTAGGAATGGGACACCTGTTACCTTGTGATATTTGAATACGAAGGCCTAGATGTAGAGCAAAGTCTTGACGCCCAATCCGACAAGTGTATACATACGTATGGCTAATATTGGGTAACCATTCATCAAGCAGCTCTATGGTACCATATTATTATAACCATACGTTTACGAACATATCTCAACGATGTACGGACGACTAATAGCGGCTTAGTAAGTATGGATGGATGATTTAGACCCTTTGTTTTTCTCGGCTCCGATGCTTCTATTTCAGGACACAATGTTTGACGTGGCTGCCCACCTCCTATTGGGAAAGTAGCTTATTCGTAAAAGCTCTAACGACTACCGGCAGATCCGTAGGAAACTCTTCTCAGCCTTATTTCATACTTGAAATATTAACATAACAAGATTATGGTAGTGTTCGTTACTATTTTCGGCTTTGTAAACCTATATACTTTATCATTTCTAACATATTGATAGTGACAAGGCAATTGATTTACTTCGATAATCTAACTCATTTACCCCGAACAGAAAATAAAAGTTACCTAGGTACCTAGGTAGGTATACATATATGGGCGAGATTTATTGCCTTCATTACTTACTATTGTTCTGCCGTAGAGTTTAGAAATATACTGCGCGCAATCTTCAATGCTTGAATATTATATAGTTATAGTTTCTTAGTAGAATCACGGCCCCAAAGGTAAGAGTTTAATATACGCTACTGGACATCAGAGTTTCATACGAGTCTAAGCGGTAAAGACTATAAATATATGCAGTGATCCTCAGATATCCAGAAACGCAGAACTTGGATTATTCACCTCAATTTAAAGAAGGATCAATTTGTCGAGAATACATTAAGGAGCTCATAATTTTACTCTCTCATCGTGTACTATAATAAGCTGTCGCGATTTATTTCCACCATTTATTCGATTTCAACCCCGTTTATAACGGACACCAGTGAAATGTTTGGAATTCAGCAAAACCAGAGCGCAACCAGGAGACTTACCGATGCGCTTGACGAGCTCCAAGATGCGATGGGAAATCTGTCTAAAGAATGGGAGGATTTGCGGATAAATACTCTGGGTTCTACTCAAGAAGCCCTGGGACAACTCATTACCAAGCTTGAATCCAAGCAGCTTGTCCTACAGAAACTCAAACCGAGGATATTGGAGAAAAAAAGCAATCAGTCAATAGAAATGTTGGTTCAGAGGGTCCTGTGTTTCGTCTTCCACATCCGAAGCTTGATGAAACCACTTGATACCAGATCAAGAATGTCTTACGGCACATTGAGCACTGCGGCTCAGAGTTCCAAAGCGACCAATGATCCGGTGTACGTCAAAGGCATCTATGAAGCTGTGTTTGCTCGCTGGGATCATATGCTACGTTGTTTTGATGAGGTGTACCCCGTACGGCTACCAACAGACAATGCCAAACCGGATCAAACATGGTCCCACGGAACATCCGGGAATCCAATAGACACTTCCCATCATCAACCACTCCCTGATCCTCCTCCGCAAACCACCTACTATTTTCCTTGGGAGATGAGCAAGCTATATGCAAGCGGCTTTATGATATGATGTTGTTCGGGAATAGGGGGGCAATTGCAAACATCTGGAACCATTAGTTGGTTACTTGGACAACGACTTCTTGTTACCACAAGATGCAATGAATCTATATTTATTCGTATTCCGTATGTCTTTCGGATCATCATGACTAACGTGTGTGCTACCTTTCCCTTTCCGATTACAAAAGAGCAATATTTTGGCTATTAAGCAGAACGTCCCACGAGGATAAGATGCAAGATTATACCACCTTTTAATGCAGGAATCAGGATAATTAAGAAAAAAGCCACCAAAGAGTACCCGAGAATATTACAAAGTGTTCCACACCGACCTTCCGAACTGATCCATAGAGCCTCTATATTAGGCCAGACCAAAAATCTATGCAATAGTGTTAGTTATAACTTCAAAGCATTAGCCGTCCTGGCCGTAGAAGGAATATTCGTCCCAAGTTACAGAAAAAACCTACTTTTTTAGACTATGTTCATATTGTATTAGCACAAAATTCTTGCGTGGTTGGTAGCACCCAAGACAGAGTGACCATGCCCATCACGTCCCCACATAGAACCTCTCACTATCCAGATTTCTGATGTGCTCCACATGGAAACCAGATCTTTCCCCACCGGCTGCTGGTGCGCCGTAGAGTTGGATTCTAAGATAGTAGGATCCGGGTTGATTTACTTTGAGAGACTTGAACTCCATAATATCGTACTGCTGGCCATTGCTTGTGGGCTGGTTTGTTTCAGCCTGCCAGTTTCCAACCACGTTTCCTTGGAACAAGTCCGAGGAGGCGAGTAAGCCCGTTGACGAATTGTCTCGGCAGGAAGACACGCGCACGAGCCTTACAATTGCCATCGAACCATTGTCGTCATTGGAGGGCGCCCGAATCCTTATCCGGAACCCTGCGCCCACTCGAACCCGCGCAGGCGGTGAAAGGCTGAAAGTGACCCCTGAAGCTTTTCCCGGAGAAGGCATTGTGGAATTCCTCTTCCTCGCTCCTCTGTGAGAATTTGTATGCATGTGCAGCCGGCGTTTTTGGCTTTTGGTGCTATATTGCTGGTAAAGTTGGGAAGTAATGATAGTTAAGGGCTGCTGCTGCTGCTGTTGTTGTTGTTGTTGTTGCTGGTTTGAAGACTTTGATGCTGCTGGGGAAGAGGTCAACATAGGGGACAGAGAACTACATATTTATCCCTTTTTGAGGAACAGCCTGGGATCCCTTCAACGTACGAATTACTCAGGAGGCAATTACATGTTCTTCCTTTGATGGGCCAGCAAGCGCCAACGTAGAATACATTTTCTTGATTCCCATGGACAACACAAAAATTTTCTCTCACATAATAAGCATAAAAAACATAAGTTGTGCATCTGGATAGCCACGTTGGTTTTTTTCTTGGGTTCTGTTGGCAGAGATTGCGATTCGTGCCACGACAAATCGTATCCATGCGTCGCAATGGTTACTGTAAGCACTGCCGAATAAATTTTAATTATATGTAGACTCGAGTGTTCTTCTATAATATGCGATAGGTGGTGTGTTGCATATATATAGCATATGTCCCTCGTATGGATGACTTCTGTCTAGAAGTTTCGAAACCAAAATGATGCCATTCGAACATCTCCAGGTTTAACTCGCTGCCGGGGATATATCTTAACATGGCACCCCTAACTGAGAGGGTATTGTTTCGTGTAACCTTATATGGAAAGGAGGATTGTAAGGATTGGCTGAAAAGCTCAGAAGTTGTCAATATTCTCATCTCATCCTCTTAAACCAAATTTTCAAGTGGTGATATCTTTATAAGCACTATATTAGCTTCCTATCAAGACCCAATACTTCTTCTTTAGACAGGCATTGAGCGTCGCTCGTTAATGCGCTCTAGTGAGGTTAAAACATGGCTGTATCTGGGGCTAAACCGCCAATCAGGAGGGTTACTCAAGAGGTGGAGAGGGTATGTTTCATTTATCTCCTGAGAAAATGGAACAAATGAGTGAGTTTGCTCAACCTTTCATAACATTATCTTCGTTAAAGTGTGGAATTATGGGTATTGAAACTAGCCTCTCGAAATAGATATCTCTTATTGGCTAAAACTTATGACTCAAAAAGGTTCTAGGGATCATAGATGGGTTAAGTTACTAAGGTAGATACTATGGCGATGGGTTTGACCGAGGTTACATCATTAACACATTGAAGGCTTTCTTGCATGATACTATGCATGATACTATGTTCGCTCTCAAGAATTTTCTCCAATACAAAAATCCATATGACAAATGACAAGAGACATAGTTCCTAATATAAGCGATCAATCTTCATTAAGCAGACGAAGCAGTCATTCAGTGGATAATCGGGGCGCGCAGTTTGACCGAAACTAATCATAAAAATGTAGCAACTATTGCAGAAAGAAAAAGACCAAGAGTAATAGACTTCAAGCAAGTGTACTTGCTAGTACTTCTAAATAGGCTGATATTGACCTAGAAACAAAATTGTAAAATTATCAACCTACTTAACCCAATGCCATCCTTTAAATTAACTACCATAGCTAAACCACGAGGGTTAATAACTTCACTAAAGCTGTTGAAATGGTGAAGTTAAGACGATATGTCAAAAGGCAAAAGGATATTCTTGATTCCTTACTCATTGATCGACGAATGGGACTTCTCGGATTTGTTGCTACTTGCCAAGTTGGGATGTCATATTGGGGGCTACTGCTAATACATCGCGACATACTAATTGCTATAAATATATCCTATATAATTCCATAATAAACTTTGATAGGCGTAAGAGAATAGTTTCCCGCAATATTATTAATGATGAGTCTCTTAATAGTATGGGCCTATAGAAAAACAATCCGAATTAATACTCCTATGCTCTCAGTCGGATGAGGAGATATACGATCTATGGCCAGTCAATTGCTATATATATCCTCTTACCTGACCAATGACACTTTGTTTTCTTTAATAAACGACGTGCGAGGAAATAATCCCGCTGCATTATGTTCATCCTTACCAAGTTTGTCTTCTTCAAACCCCCCCTTTTCAGCACTAGTAATTATGAAGAAAGTATTTAATGAAATGATGAATATTATATTATTTAGAATTATAATTAATAAAAACAACGTTGATTACGCCCCTTTAGCAATAAAGAAATCTAAAGCAACTAACTTTTGACCCTCTATTCCTAATAAAGTATAGGAAATTAAAGTCAACTTTTAGTAGTTTCTTGTTTGAGAAGTCCTATAAGTCTTATAGTATATGGATGATTTCGCTATAAAAGTCGGCAATTATATCGCCGCCTTGCATCTCATCTCTCCACTCCCAAGCAGTTATTCTGATGCGAAAATCTCCAGGTGCTTTTATGGAAAGGTTATCGCATGTTATAGAGCACTTACCCTCCCAAAATAGAACAGTTTTTCCGCTGGAAAAGCCAACCTGATCATCGGCGAGATGTGTTGCTTCAACATTTGACTCATCCGAGACCACTTTATATACTTTGATCTTGATATGATCAAATATTGGCTTCTGTGGAGCTACGTCTCGTTTGATTGTCAGGGAGAATGGCTCTCCTTGCTGAACAGATATATCTTTATCGTCTTCGACCCAGAACCTAGAGTTGCATTCGGATACAAATGGCATTATATCTACTGTGTCTTGAAGCTCGATTTGCTCCGAAATCCAGGGATTGTCCACGTATCCGCGTCCTTTAAAAAGGCTAGTAAATTTAAAAGGCATTTTATCTGCTGGTTTCTCTTCTGGAGACTTAAGGTCGGTAAGTTAAGGGATGTTGTTCGTAGTAATAAAGCTATTGATTTGAAAACTTTGAATTATTAGTATTTTAATAAGGAGTCACAATCTTAAATGAATGAAACTGTCGTGTTTATTAGGCATAACTAACTGGCGAGATGGTTGATAGTGTTATTATATTTTGTTAGCGTTATAACACGTTCTTTTTAATAATTTGGTTTAAAGCTATTGTTTATTAAACGTGAACTGCGCTGAAACCTTGTTTTCTTAATGAAAAGAAAAACACAATGAAAGAATTTGGAACAATTTATGCTGTAAATCACCTTACAGTTCCCATACGAACGATATAGCTTAGGTTCAGTACGTACTTGACATGGTGGGTTACATTGGCAGTGCTATGTATTTTATTATTCGTGCATGTCTTCGGAAGATATTATTCCGTATTCCACCTTAAGAACAGCCTTATCAAAGCCCATCAATATCTGATACCTGTTTCGTCGATAATCAGAGCAGCATTCCATGCTTTGGCCACGTCGAATTCTTGATCCAACCTATAAAACTACTCTATTCTAGTAACAGTAAAGAGTAGACGGCGACTATCCTCGCCTTCGAGGTAATTATTAGGATTGATATTAACCATATCCATAACCCCCTCAACATTCCATCGCGTCTGTGTAGCTTCTCCTACCTTTTTCCACATCGCATCAAACGTATCCACGTCATGCCTATAAGAGAAGGTCCCCTTTGTAAGCGCAGGGACATCACCAGGCTTAACACTTCCCATCTGCCTACCTATGATTATTCCTCCTTTTTTGACTAGCCTTGCAATGTGCTTTGCTGCTATTACCTGCCTGTCTAGAGTGAAGAGGTGGAAGACAGCGCTGCAGTGTATCACATCAAATCCACGCTCCTCAAGACTTTCCCATGTCTTTCCTTGCGCCTCCAAGATATCGGCGATCACAAAGTGTGATTTAAGTGTCTCTCGATCGAGAAAAAGATCATATCCGAGTTCCAGTAGGGGCCTTTCGATGTCAAGGCCTACAAGGCGTTCAGAAGGAACTCCATCGAAAACCAACCGGCGTAAATCCTGCCCGAAACAGCAGCCTATATCCAAGTAGGCGGCATCTGTCGATTCCGATTTGAGAATACCAACGATCTTGTCATAGAGAGGGTGAGTGATCAAAGTGAGATTAGTAAACCGGAAGAGGCCAATGCATGGATAGGGACTGGATTCAAAAGCTCTATCACGCTAAGCCTTGGTTAGTTCGCTATAGAAAGATTTCATACTTGATACCTACTATCTTTTTTACGTGGTCGATGATGTCAGAACTAGGTATCTTGGAATACCGCTCGAGTAGTTGGTGAAAAGGTTCGTTGACTTCGATTAAGTCGGTCTGGTACCACCCCCTATTTCTCTCGAAAGCTGATGTATCGGTAATAGCAGACATTGACATGGATCCCTATCTTGCGTGACTTTATGTGAGTATAAAAGACAATAAAAAGAGGAATGAAAATAGGAAATAGATGCTAGAAATAAGTAGGTTAGTATATTCTATAATTTCAATGCTTAACTCGATGCTCTTTTAAGAATTGTAAGCATAATCCCCGGCTATTACATGACATACGTAAGTCTTCCGTAAATATCCGACTCTTAGTCCCAATTTCAAACGCGAAGTGCCGAAAGGGATGAAGTTATCGAATTAAACCAATGCACCTAATCGTGCTTACAAACTCATTCTAGATTGCGGGGCATTCCCCGGCTATGTCATAATACGAGTCAAAAAAGGTAGAAGGGCAAGTCAGATATTGGAGAAGTGAACATAAGCATTAGGGATCACTTGTCAACTCCGAAGGTTTAGTTTTTGTTGAAATTAAAATTCGAATTATATGACGTAAAAGACTCGGTCACCTCTAATATTTTGCTAGCTTTACTCTCTTTGCCTTGGGTAATCCAATCAGGTCGAACGTCTCTCAATGCCAATATAACGATATAAATAACAAATAAGATCCAAGATTAATAAATATTCATTACGGCAATGCCTCGCTATTCCAAATATTTCTTAGTCCCCTTTTACCTCAGTCTATCCTCTAAAATTCCAACCTCACGTCACGTAGAGAGTTCCAAAATAGACTTTATCAAGGCCAGTAGGCCATTTTTGCGTCTCCCAGATGATCGCCCTAATGAGAAACTTGCCTTTTACTGACATTCGAAGATCATCAAATGTTAGGCTAAGCTGCTCTCGGTCCCAATACCGTGCTTTCTCCCCTTGTAGAAAATGTCCTGGATTTATGATATAGTGGTTCTGGACAACATGCCGACCATGCTGCTCCACTTTAGTCGCCTCGATTATGACTGGTTTGCTTTTGTGATGTTGGCGATATATTGACCGCTTGACAGTCAGAGAGAACGGCTCGTTAAGCTTTACATGCTTTTCTTCTTTATCCTCAGCCCAGAAGTCGCAGTGGTATGGTCCTGTTGCCGGCGGATCCCATATTGTCCTTCCCGGTTGCTCCCCGGTGGCATCTGGCTTGCTATGCGAGGAATGCTCCGAAGGTGATGACTTCTCGGCAGTTCCAAATAAGCGTCCAAGAGTGCGGGAAACCCAGCCTGGATCTTTATCAGACATAGTTTGCGTTGTTCTGTGTGGATTGCAGAATGGTTGGGTTAGAGAAAATGTATGATGCCGACTGCAAATGATGGAGAAGTGGAACGTGTTGCGGATGAAGAAGAAAGCATGAGCTATCCTCAGGTGGAAACTCTTGTTATATTTATTCCTTAGGATTTCATTTACTTCCTAATCATAATCGAATCCCTAATAACTCGAATTATCTCTATAGTTTATTCGATAATGTTACATCACCAGTTTAGGTAAACATTCGGGGGTATCAAATTAACTCAGTGATCGTTTCCATAACCCCCATGGCGATTCCCAGTAGCTGCAAACTATTTCATGGAATAGGATCTCGTTAACATCTACTCCCCAGTTACCCCCTTTTCCAATGATTCTAGTACTAACGGCATCTTGTAGGAATATTCATCCCAGGTCTTTTACGGCTTTAGAAGTACCTAAGGTATCACTATTTATCGCCTTCCAAGTTGATAGTGGTGTTGCTCTACTACCCACCGCCGCTGGGGTTGCCCGAGACATTTGAGTCCATTCCTTCCTTATTCTTCTTAAAGGTACTGTCCGAACGGTACCAGTAGCCATAGTAGCCACATCCATTGTTTCCAGCCTTGTTGTTTGAAGACACTGTCGATGAATTTTCCGTGCGGCTTTGATCTTCCTGTGTCGACACGCTGGTGGATTGAAAGTCTAGGAATCTAGGTGGCCGTTGTTCTGGCATGATTGATGTTGACGAGAATAAATCGATGGGTGTCAGTAAACCCCTCCTAGAGAAATATTAAAATAGATAATCTAGGGTAATTGAATACAAAGACATGATTTCTGTACGACTGAACGAACATAAATCTTTGTGTGTAAATCTTTGTGTGAATGGTACCTCTTCAAGACAGGCCAAAAGGTTCGTGCGCGCCACATTTGGGCCCTGCTAAAACATGTATTCAGCATCTAGCCAAGGCTTGCGAAGAAACTGAGGAAGTCCTACAAGAGTGACATGGAGGTATTAACTTCGCAGCCGCATTTATATTCAAGGTTACGAAGAATAGTTATGTTATTTACCAACCTGAAACAAAATACATGTGCAGATTATGGACATACCGATTATAGGTGTCCCCCTTAGCTTACAGTACCTAATGTGCTGAAATGCTCTTACACTCTTTTGCCCCTTTTTACCGACTCCTGTCTCTTCCGATAGATTCCATCCTCCAAACTTCGCTATTCACTATTGCCATGCCTATGTTATAGAAGCAATCCAAAAAAATCATGCGCTCAATAGATTTACTTCACGGGTCTTAGTTTGAATAACAAACATATTTTAATACTCAGTCTTTTAGAGCCTATGCCTGAGACCCAAGCACATCTCGCATCCCGAGAATATGCCGCTATACATTGATCCTGCGTCCGTATCCCCTCATGTCTATATATGTATCCCTCATTCCTAAACTCCCATCGCCTCAAGTCCTAAGTTCGTTATGCCCATAATCCTTACATCCTAAGAATGAATGTGCTCATTAATTATTTTAGCCGTCAATCAAGTGGTCGTCCTCCCTCGATCTATGTATCGCTTGTCGAAGTCGTTCATTCTCCTCGGCTCGGATACGACTCCGCGCGGCCTCAAGCCTCTCGACTCCAGCGTTGATAGTCTCGATGTGTACCGCCAGAGGTATGGTTGTCGAGTCTGCTAGTAATTCTGGGGCAGCGACTCTATCTCTCAGGTCGCCTAGCTTCGTTTGAATATCGTACAAGTCGTGGACTAGGCTGTCGAGCCGCCGAACTGCTGAATTTCGCTGCGTGTCAACTTGTTGCAGCAGGCCAAGCTGTACTCTTATGTTGTGGAGGCGACGGGTATTAGCCCCCACCAACGTCCATATGTTCCAAAACACCTCATTATGCTTCTCTTTCACCGCATTGCTTGTACGCACAACATGCTCGTTGATAACCTGTAGTGAATTCTCTGCCTCGCCGAGTAGACGCAGTATTCCCTGTGCCTCCACAATTAGGTTCGCAATCTTGTCCGATACTAAAGCTGTGTGTTCCATGTATTTTTCTAAGAGAGCACGCTCGTCAAACACTGACACCTGAAAAGGAGAGAAAACCCAGTCGCTGAAGCGTGATAGCATATTGTTATGGGCCTCGCGGTTCATGGCGATCGAGTCGATGTATCGTGTTGTCCATCGATTGATGCTGATAATGCTATCAACTGCACCGCCTACATGGGTGTTGAACATTTGCAAGTCGTTGGCGCTAGTCCGGACGATATCAATATAATTATCAAATTCGTAGACTAGCTCGGCACGAGTTGGCAACTCGCTATATTTGACCATTGTACGTAGGTCTCGGACGGAGGCTTCTGATCGCTTCATATCCATTGGCAATGAGACGCCCTGTGCCGATTCTTCTAGTACCTTCTCAAATTGGGCTTGCACATTCATGAGCTCGTCAAATTCAACCACCGACGAACCGTCGCGTACCCCTGGGCGTGGACTCTTCGGGCAGAACGGAAGGTTAACCAGAGATGCGCCTGGTATCCAACATATAGGTGCAAGAGGCGCCGAAACTGAGCTGATAACCACATCTTTAGCCATTATCAATGCGCCAATAATCAGATAAATAGCGAGGAGAATAGCCAGCGGCCACTGTGCGTATCGGAGAGCCATGCGAAGGATATTTATAATCCAGGAAGTAAGATCGAATAGAAAGCTGGGAACGGAACTAGTAAATCTCTCTGCAAGTGAAGGTCTTGGAGGCAATTCATGTTGCTGGTAATGAAATTGCCGTGTAGTTGTATCGCTGTCTCGACGGTTGCCTCTTCTTTTGACAAAGCGCGACTCGCTCATTATAGGGTGGGTAGATCTTGATGAACGGCGGCCACTGTCTTGTTCACTGTTAACTTGAACCGTAGGCATAAAGAATTCTGGAACGGGCGTTCGATCCTTATCCATAGAGGCATGTCTGGTGGAAGCAAGTGAGGGCTGAAAGGGAGCTCGTAATATAACCCGGTCTTCATCCGCATTATTGGCGAAGTCACGAATACTGTCTTGGGATGCCACACTTTGGGCTTGGGATGACGAGGTCAGTTGAGACTGTTGAGATGGTTGAGACTGACTGCTGAATATGATAGGGTCACCCTCGAAGGGATCCTGAATAATGGTAGTATCAAAACTATCATTTTCACCTCCGTCTACCATGCGCCAGGAATCCTCCACGGAGAGGTTACTTCTGCGAGTTCGCGCCATACTGTATAAAGACTGATTTCGGTTAAAGCCAGCTCAAGTTGTCATAGTATCCGCGAGCTTGCTTCTTTTGAAAGCTAAACGAGGCCTAGTTTAACTTCTTTGGCAAAACGAAGGTGTTAAGTCTTTGAACAAAGTTCGTACTAAGTGCGATGTCAAATATCATCCAAGTTCAAGAGAAGGCAGACGCGACTACTATATATATTTATATATCAGTGCCAAGAAAATATGAAGATGGTACCTATGAAGATAGTATGAGATGGCAGTGTCAAGTGTGCTGGGCAAGGGTTCGCGCATTTACAGTGACTCATAAAATGATGGACATAGGTGTAATTTGAAATTTGGAGATAATAGTGGAAATACCTAAGGCAGAAGGGAGTTTTTTTTTGTTTTGAAGATGCGGGTTTGCGTGTTTAATCGAGGCATCCGCGCACCAGATGAAATTCGTAGGTTTACCATTTACTTGCGACCTAATGACTTGATGTCACGAGGTTAGCGTCTCGACGTCTGATTGGATCTTGTACCATATCCAGTAATATGTAAACATGACGCTAATCATGGTGTTGTATGGAGTACATTTATTAGGCTGACGATGTGCCGTATGATATCAGTACCCGATACAGCTGACGTTCGCCTGTCAGTAAATCCAGTCTAAATCAGACTAGCGCGCCAAGCTAGAGAAGCTAGACTGCCAGAGAACCTTACATAGCTCAAGATCCCTGTCGCTTCTTCAATCCGCATGCATGAGCCAATCAATTCTTTTATGTACATTGACTATTTTTCTTGCAGTCAGCTTGAGAGCTTCAAATGGTTGTCATGCTTCTAGGGTGACCATCGATCGGCGGCATGTTCGCGAGAAGGATAGTGAGGATATACCCTCATATACCAACATGTACGGTCAGAATACGTGGTGGCGAAACCTCCCTAAGGTATCCCTGGCTCCGATACTGTTCATCCCATGCGACTGCGACCTCGAGTCTCCCACCGAAACCCCCCGCCGATCACCGGCAACTTGGTATCCAACAAGAACTTTTCACTACCTCGATATATAGTCCCGGCTCTCCCATACTGCTGCCTAACGGTGCGCGGCTTTTCAATCGTTTAGTAGAGTTTCTGCGGAAGCAGTATGTCCGGTATGGATTTGACGAGGTTATTACGCCGACCATTTACAAAAAAGCCTTGTGGAGGAAATCAGGCCATTTGGAGAATTACAGTGACGACATGTATACGGTAACGAGTGCATCGCCCTTGAGAAGCGATAGTTCCAAACATGGCGACGAGGAGGACGAGTATGGTCTTAAACCCATGAATTGTCCAGGCCATTGTCTGATATTTGCGTCTCAGCGACGGAATTATCGACAGCTGCCTATTCGATATGCAGACTTCTCTCCACTACACCGAAACGAGATATCCGGGGCCCTGAGTGGCCTTACTCGAGTGCGACGTTTTCACCAAGATGATGGGCACATCTTTTGTCGGCCGATACAAATTGAGGAAGAAATCAAGAAGACACTAGACTTCGTACGCATCGTCTACTCAACATTTAAACTAGGTCCATATCGATTAGCCCTTTCAACACGCCCAGCAGATCATTACATAGGAACTGCCGAAGAATGGGAAAGTGCAGAGAACGCTCTTAAGAGAGCGCTGAACGCGTCCGGCCAGGAATGGACTGTGAATGAAGGCGACGGCGCATTTTACGGGCCTAAGATCGATATCGTGTTGAGAGACTCGGATGGCAAAGAACACCAAACCGCTACGATTCAGCTAGACTTTCAGCTACCAAAACGTTTTGATTTAGGTTATTCAGCGCCAGCGCCCGACTTTGAGCAAAGGGGAGAAGTGACAACAGACCCCGATAAGCTGGCGGAGTCTGGTCTTGTAACTCCTGTTCTAATTCATAGGGCTGTGCTAGGCTCGGTAGAGAGACTACTAGCTCTGCTTATCGAACACTACGATGGCAAGTGGCCATTTTGGTTAAACCCGAGGCAGGTAATGATAGTCACCGTCAATGACACTGAACCGGTAGTAGGATTAGCTAAGACGGCTCAAGATGTCCTTATGGGAAGGCATGGACCAGCCGATGGTCCAGTTGTAAATCCTTCTCAACTCGCAGTAGATGTTGACGATAGCCGCCGAAGCCTCCCACTCAAAGTGCGAGAGGCCAAGTCTAAGGGTTATGGTGTCATCGTCACCATCGGCCCAAGGCAAGTGCCAGATGGCACTATCACGGTTGATATGTCAGGATTGGAGAATAGCGACAGCCAACAAACATCCCAGAAGCAGGACATGCTGCCGAAAGATTTATTTGCCATTCTCAAAAATAAGGCCGACACCTATCAATAATGAAGATCATAATCTCCATAAGAATTATGCATTGGCTGCTGCGTGCTGAATGGATTCCGTGCCTCGTAAGCTACGGCCTGAAGAAATACCGACGTCAGCTCCTTAACTCTCGTACTCGTCTGGATTAGGGCCTTTTTCAAGTCCCTCCCGCCGCGCTTTTTCCTGCTGTTCTTTCTGCCGAGTCTCTAGCTTCTCAAGGATCTTGACCGGTCTGGGGTAAGAACCAGACTAGTCAGCATAATGTGCCCAGGTCAATGCCATACAAGGGAACATAGGAAAATAGCGACCTACTCTTTTAGACGTTCTGGGACGACAATCCCTTGTGCCTCTGCTGCTTCTACTAGCTCGCGGCGCTTGACCAGCTGCTCTCTCATGTACTTGACTGTTTCTTTCAAGACGTATCCCTCGGAGCGTCCATGGCCTTGCAAGCCAGGTACGAGCTCGCATAGCCGGTCAAAGCCAGCTCGAATAGCTTCTCTACGCTTCTGTTCTATCGCCCTTGTCAGTGACTATCCAGGGTACTTCGGATAAGTAGGATTAATCAATTACCGGATGCGATATGGTTCTGTTTCTTCTCTTCTTCTGTCAGGCGCGGCTTGTCGTCGTGCACTGTTGAAGACCCGCCGTGCTCGCCATCCTGTGGAGATTTCGAACGAGGCTCCGACATGTTCCTTGACAGACGTGACGATGATAGGTTCCAAACAAGGGTTAACGTATAACGTAGGTAGGTATGTATATATAAAATTCCGTTTTCCTTTCGGTATGATTATAGTTTCAGCTGGTAACGGTCCCGACAAACTCTACACGCGGATGTCTAAACCAAATATCGGAAGACATGAGACAGGTGCTGGAGGGAATGAGGTGACAGCCTATGGTTATTAAGAGTAGGTATCCCCGGTGCGCACATCTTCCAGGGAATCGGAGCGGGAAAGCGCTTTTCGGGGAGGGAGAAGGTTTAGGATGGTCGCGATGCAAAACAAGCCGCGATTTATGATGAATCTAAGTGAATAAGATTCTAACTTTTGAGTTCCTAGAAAGGGCATCTCATCTCACGAAAGTGCATGTGACACTGGCCCCACCACACAATGACGGGACCCCTGTCCATCTTAAGGTATGTACCTATTCTGTACGTACCTGGTACCTACCTAGGTAAATGAAGCTTAAATCCCAATTCCAGCCTCAGCTTAGCCACGAGGAGCTTCCATAATTATAGGTATACATAGTACCTACGCATCATCTCCTAGCCGCTCTAGATAAGCTTGTGACGCAAGCTTCCCCGGACCTGCATTGTGGACCCCACCACTACTGTTGTAACTTCCTAGGTTAAGGACTTTCCTTTACATAGATCGTCATAAGTTAAGGTAGTGTCGGTTTAGACTGCTTCACTTCATTCTCTCCGTCTTTCTAAAACTACCTAGCACCTACTTACTTCCCCGTCCCAATTCCCCTCACCTACCTTAGGTAGGTATCTTTCCCCTCCTTTCTACCGCAATGGATGAAAAGAAGCAACCTCCCCCTGAATCTACACCCTCCGACCCACCGCCAGATTATGCTACATCAGCTCTCGAACACGGGCAAGGCCAAGGCCTATCGATCCGGCAACAACAGCAACCCCGGCGGCCCCCTCCCGGTGCGCTTCTCGACTTGCCTATTTTGAAGTACATGCGCACGCACCGCGTAATCCTCGCCTCCGCCTCCCCCCGACGCCGTACCCTCCTCTCGCAGCTCGGCCTCCCGAACCTCGAGATCCGCGCCTCCACCAAGCCCGAGGACTTATCTAAATCCGAACTCGGCGCCATCGGCTACGTTTCCGCGACCGCGCAGCAGAAGGCCCTAGACGTGTATGCTGCGCTCATCGACGAGGCCGCCGAGAAGCAAGCCGAGCCCCTCCCTCCCGCGTCCAAGTCCACTTCCTCCGATCCGCAAGCAGATGTCGACTTGGACGCTCAGCGTGCTAGGAAAGACCCTGAATTGGTGATTGCGGCCGACACGGTTATCGTGACGAGGGACGGGAGCATCCTTGAAAAGCCCAGTTCCGAAGCCGCTCACATCCGCATGCTGCGTCATCTGCGGGACACTAGGACTCATCGGGTCCTGACGGCGGTGTGTTGTGTGGCGCCGCGGTCGGATGCGCAGTTCCCGGGGTATGCGGTAGCGTCACATGTCGAGGAGACGAAGGTGTTCTTTGGTCGCGAGCACGATGGGCTACCGGACGATGTTATCGAAGCGTATGTGCGGACGCGGGAGGGTGCTGATAAGGCTGGAGGCTATGCGGTGCAGGGCTTAGCAAGTGCGTTGTTGATTGAGAAGGTAGATGGTTCAGTTGATAATGTGATTGGGTTACCCGTGCGGAAGACGCTGCAGCTTTGCGAGAAGGTGATTTTCCGGCAGAATGAGGAGAGTGATGCGGAAGAGGAGGAAGAGGAGGAGTAAGTGAGATAGTAATAGGGAGAGGACAGTCAGCATATGTGTATATGGGTAGAGGGATATAGAAGACATACGTACCTCTGTTTAGGGCGTATACGTCGAATATTAAAGGTAAACCAGGTCGTACGATGGTACTGCCATGCTGGAGTTTAAAAGCCGGCAAAATAAACTTAGGCTTTTTATATAGAGAAAAACGTAGCGGCAATAGATAAGTGCATAGTAGTTCGTTTCGCCTTTATTTACAGTCTATTCTGACCAAATCGATCGTCCAGTATAGAGATATATACAATAAAAATTTGACGTCAAAGATGTGGTATACGAATTCAAATACAGAACCCAACTGTAACCCCTAACAGTATAACAATATGAAGATAAAAGAAAAACTATAAATATTCCACGAATTTTCCTATCCAGTAATCAACTCCAAGAACTTTTTTACCGAGACCTTCTAACTCTTCGTTAATACCCAGTGCTGTGTGTCCTGTCCTGTGTTATTCTGTAGCTTAGTCCACGTCTGAATCAAGAAATGCTATGTAGACGCCTAACAGAAAAATGAAAAGGGGGCGGATCCAGTCCCGGAATTCAATCAAGTATAGAAAACGAACATAGTTAAATCGTGTAAGAGGGTATTAATAGTTAATAGTAGAATCCGTGAGACCGTGAGATATATAGTCGTCCAGCATGAAGGTCTGCTGAAGACAACTGCCGAGACTAGGGTCTTACGCGTATTGCAAGTGATGGGTGCCCGTTGTATGTGCAAATATGCATTTGATAAGAGAGCGGAACAAGGCGGTTGATGAAGGGGGACGACGAAGGTCAGTGCTTGGGCTTGGGCTTCGAATTAACCACAAGCCAGTTATTCTAACCCCCGAGCTGCGTACCAGTGAACTGCGACCAGTACTCTTTCCCATTTTCGGGGAGCTCGCGCCTGTGGACATTTCGGCAGTGCGTCCGGATATTGTCGGTGCGTACATGATGGAAGGCCTTGCCACAGTAAGGACACTCTATGGTTACATGGCCGGTTCGGTGCTGTCGCTTATGGCGGGACAAGTGTGAGCTGACATGCCTACCAGTGAAGGTCTTGCCGCACTCTTCACATTGTGCGGCACTAGTTACAGACGGTGTGGTATTGCTGGTCCTATAGCCTTGTTAGATAGGTACGTATATGCGTAAAGTAGGGGGTCATAGGCTTCCTACACGTTGGATATTTCGATGCTGTTATCCACGAAGCTATGCACATTACTTCCTGATGAATCAATGATGGATGGCGTGGGCTGGCTGCTGCTGGCTCGCGAGGTAGCGATATGTTGTCGAGGTTGTAATGTTCGATGACTTCTCTGGGTGCTATGAGGCTGAAGTAAATGCGCTGGGTGATACGCCCCGCTGTAGTTCTTTACTATCTCGTTGACACGCTTCTCGAGGTCCTGACTTCGACTCTGGCCTCGGTCTCGAGTAGATATATTAGGAGAACTTGTTGCACCAGCCTCAGGGCAGGTTTGCAAAACTATCCGAGCAAACTCGCGACATAAATCGGGGCTAGGTAGCAAATGCTAACGATTATCAGCCATCGTAGTCAGATGAGGCTCATGTGCACTTACTGTTCCTAGGCTGATCATATAATCCGCAACGTCTGGGACCGAATGCAACCCGCCAAGCAATAGTAGTGACGACGTGGTCGATATTATTGCTTGGACTATAGGGTCCTGTAATGAATGCGAGACCAGAGCTCTTAATGGGTCAAAGAATAAACAATCAGCATTCTTAAAGAATTGCTTTTCGGAAACCAGAGCGTTCGAAGTTAATGGTCGTTTGTTCCAGCGGATCGACCCCTGAGAGAAAAGGTGAGGCAAGCCACCCTGGTTTGTAAAGTCTAGTATCATGTAAGACGCAATCCATAACACATAGGATTGATATACCTACTATCTATAAACTTCATAAAAATAGTGAATGGCGTAGAATGGCTGAGAGGCATTGGGCCCATCCCAGTTTCATAAGGTGGATAGCTAGGCGGTGGGGATAACCCATATACTTGTCCGACGCGTTGAGGGGTCTGGTTCTGAAATGCAGAATGATTTATCTCGCTTGAAGAAAAGGGGTTGTTTAAATTCGTTGTCGGGGTATAAGGCATGATATTTTCGGTCCTCGACGGTTCATAATAGTTGAACTTCGACACATGATCCAAGGAGTAGCCCGTCATGTATCTATCACCAGCACCAGAAGCAAAACTTTGATCCCCAGATAGGGCCCATGGACTTGTGTCGGGATTGGAGACTAGGTGTCTCTGTGGATATAAAGAGCTGTCGGTGATAGACTGCGGATAACAGGTAATATCAAGATTTGTAAATTTACTGCCTGTCTCGAAAAGGGGCGTTTGAATGTGGGGTCGAGCGAGTTGAGTGTTCCCAGACGATCGATCTGCCGACTTTAACCGCTCGAATACCAGATCAAGGCTTGGTTGATGAGTCTGTATTATAGGGATTCTATTTCTCCAACCGGTGAACGCAGATTCGACACTCTCGAAAGAATTGGTCTCGCAGGTGTAGTGGAAAATCGCATGTTGAACGATCATAATAGGGAGTATCTCGTGAAATTCGGAAGGAATGATATCTTGTAATATGTCGCCAAGACCTCGCAGACCGACGTTCCGTATTTCAGTCGACTTATTGTGTGTTGTCAACCAGTCTTTTAAATCAGGTGGTATGTTTTGGTCAAAGCATTCTTGAAGCTTTTCACAGTAGCCATCAATTTTCCAGACGAACCACCAAAGAAAGCGCCATTGTTCTTTATCCCAACTATTGGATGAGTTGTCCATCAGACTAGGATTCATAAGTGGAGAGGCTTGGAAGGTATTGTTCATCGGGCGGTCGAATCGCAATGCGGGAATGGAGAAGTTATGAAGATGCTGTAAGTTAGGCGTAGTAGCCAACGCCCCTAGCTAAATTGTTAATCATCTTTACTACATAACTTGCTAACAGTATACTAATTCTATACGTACCGCCCGACACGTTTGCTGATGTGCGTAGAGAATCGAGAAACTCGCAGGTGATAGCAAATGAATTAATTTTACCCAAGCCAGTAGCGTCGACGTCGTTCTTGTAGGGCGCCATCAGCAGTGGTGACATCGGATAGTCTTCCATGGTGAAGTTTGCCAGAAGAGTCGCACCCCAACAGCTTCGACTGGCAAGCCACGATAAAGGAGCTGAACGACTTTGTTTAAGCGGGGGGGACGATAGTCACCCTCTGACGTCTCCAAGGAATCAAGCTCACACGGCAGTGCTTCGACGAGAACAGTTCCATTGTCGTAAAGGAAGGGGACCACACAGATGAGCTACTTGGGGACTTAAAAAGAAAAGTTGCCCCGAGGCGGAAGTTTTGCGAGTTGGCTGTTAAAAGGTGGTGAATGAAATCGGGCTGTCCTGCAGCATTGTCCTGACAGCTAATGAGAGACTTAGCCACACCACTCCAGAACTAGACACAAAAGCCAGTCAAATAAACAAGGATGTAACTATGCAGTAATGATACCGACTGGCGGATATCTGCTAGAATCTAAGTACAGAGAGCTGCTGCTTTTGGTACTCATTTCTCTCGATCCACGGTGTAAGCTGGCGTAGACTGGTATAATTCAGTAAAGCCCGGCGAGGATCAGAAAAATATCACATAGAAGCGGGGTAGCTCAGAACATTGGCTCGGCCACTTGCACAAGGGTTACAATGACCATGAGACCGCCAGCCTTTCGGAGTATTATGTGTGCAAGACACATGGGGATGATGTAGGTAAGCACCTACACGTATCTGATTCTTAGGCCATTGGGAATTTGTTTGACTTCCGGTTCGCCCGTGATCAGATAACATATATCACATCTTCAACCTAGAATTCCGATTTATCTCCAATCAGTGACGATTCTTACCGGAACAGCCCGTTCGTCCGACCATTTGGAAGAACTACTTACACCTGGAGCACGGGGCAACAGGGCAACGAGGCAACGAGTCTTAGGTCACAGACTGCTCCCCGGTCAGGATGTGAGTATTGGGCACCAGTGCTTTCGGGGGTGGCTGATTTTCAGCCATGAACCGCAATTGAATGATTACCCAGGTAGGTAAGCTGGTCATAACGCCAACTAACAGAGCTATGCATTAAAAAACATTCGAAGAAACTCCAAGTGACGCCCGACTATAATAACAAGACCGACCAAAAGGGGGAAGAAGGTGAGCTTTCCTATCCACTCGATTACATAGGGCAAGAGTATGTATGAGCTCACGCAAGAATGGGGGATATGATAGGTAACATAACTTGAAGCAACCCTGGGGACATGGAAGCCATGCATGTGTGGGGGCCTCGAAGAACCAAACCCTTGGACAACGAACCACACGAAAGTCGGACCTGGTTCTGAATATAATCTGCGGCTCAAGCATGATAGGATAAGATTTCGGTACAAGTTTGACCAGGACGGTCAGTTACGATAGAAAATGGCCATTCAATGAACTAGGACAGCTTGTCGACTGGCTGTATATGCCTGGACATCAAGATATGGAGTCCAACAATGTAGTAGATGTACTCGTAGCTACTGACCTACCATGGAAGCGATTTACATAATGCCTTTATACTATGACAACATCAATGATAACTAGGGCGGGTGTAAAAGAACCATGTAGGCACCTACCTACCACCATTCATCCTCGATACAAAAGTCTCAGCATGTCTCTGCAGCGTAAGGGACGCATATGATCTGATAAAAATACCATGGTAAAACCAAACAAACATAAGTAACTACCTAATGCTTGCCCCTAACGGCCCGATGTGGCTGCGCAAAAATGTCCTTCGCATCATCATCATCATCATCATCATCAATGGCATATTGGATGCCGAAGAAAACTCGTACCTAGTCAAAAGAGCCTCAAAGGTCTGAACAACGTGTCCTAGTTAACTAGCAAAGAAAAAGAAAAAGAAATCATCAGCGTCGGAGACAACAGCGGTGGCTGTGTTCTAATACATGCAATGTCTACATACAATGTCTTTAGGTCTAGCTGTCGCCAAGCATGGTCAATGCTCGTCGACATCGACAGGGGTCTCCCTCTATGTATGTACGTATGTATGGACAACTTTTTTTTTATAGAATGTCATCCCTACCTAGCGTTGTCTTAACCCGCCCTGCCGTTCTTGACCTACCGAGCTGCCGGGTAGCGAGTTCAAGACGGATTTACTATACCTTGCCTACCTAGGTACCTAAGAAACCTAACAAGTAATATGGGTTCCTCTCAGCTCTCCCTTTTAGCTTCGAATTCTGTCATATCTCATCTTATCATCTCCCCAACCTGATGCATACCACTATCTCCGAAAATGATGAATAGTAAGTAGTGCATGATACGTCGTATAGCAAGACAGTTATTACAATATTAATAACTTAGCTCACCGTCTGCATCTGTAGTGTAGAGCTATTTCTACGCGAGCATATAATCCCTGTCGTGATCCTGCCCGTCGAGAATGGGGTTCTTAGTTAGATAAGAGAGACAGGGGATCATGATGCCAGCACCGGCCCGCGCCCGTAGTTTCAATCATACCATAATACTTAGTAACTAGCTACCTAGCAAGTATGTATAGGTAGTGATGAAGAGAATAAAGGTACTAGTCTCGAAACCATCCGCGTCCTGATTGGTACAGATGGAAGACGAATTTCGCCGCGAGGGTAAGACATTGAATCAAGGAACATGATTACATGCATGCATGCTTACTTTTGGCAAATAACTCCAAACAATAAAAGAGCATATGTGTAGTCGATCAAACAGCAAGAGCCCGAGGACAGCGAAGGGGAAGAAAAAAACCCTTTTCCGCCGCTGTTATGCAGTGCCTTAAACACCAATCTCAATTTTTTTTCTCGCTTCGTCACTCGCCGTCTCCAAAACCAGGCAAGATGTGACTCACCAGTCTTCCAGCACATCAAGTTGCGCCTCATCCATATGCATATGTCCTTACAGATCGTAGTCAAAAAGAGGAAGATGGTTGTCTACGTCGTGACACCACGAGAAAAACCGACTAGACCAAAACCCTCCTTGCTACCCAAAGCATGATCTACTATTTCCGAAGGTATTCGCGGGGTATTATTATCATTAAGTCTATCGTAGCATTATGTCTATCCGTACGTACGCCCCATCGCCCGATATACATGGTCTTCGATCATCACTCATATGCCACCTTGACATAGATGAACGTAACCTTCAAAAATGTCTCTCGCTCTCTCTCTCTGAGACCGTTTCACGGCATATCATAACGGTAAGTTATTCCACCAACTACATTCACATAAATAACAAGGGGTACGGACCGCACTTTAAATCGGTTTGCGGAGACAATATATCCGGGGTAAGCTGACTATCGGCTACCTATGCGTAACAGCGGCTGCTGACTTAAGGATAAAAACGAATCTTGCGCGTCTCATCTGGGTCGTTTCAGGGGATGTGCTTCCGTGTTCAAGACAAATTCGTCTAAATTAATAAGATCTGGCGAGGAGAATATCAGATAAAAGTACCTGAGTGTTTCGGCCATCCAGAAACTCTGTGATGATGTTAGTCAAACTGCAGAATCTCGTGATATTTATTACAATAACATACCTCCATAGAGTCTGTCTTGACTGTGACGACATCTCTAACGGATTGAATCGCCGAAAAGGCTAGATCAGTCTCAGTGGCTTTCCGAATCGCCTGGAATATCCTCCACGCCATCTCCTGGTACTCGGCGTTGCCGGTCATGCGATACATTAAGAATACGCTCTCGATTGCTTCTGGCCGTAGAAGATATCGCGGGTCACGTGCACTTGTGAACCCCTTCTTTAACTGCGTATTCGATTGATCTTCCCATTCTGACTCGTCCCATTCACATGGATCTAGCGTCTCACACTTGAGCAAGTCGAAGACTTCGGGCATAATGCCGGCGGGCATTGCATCGTACGCCCACACGCAGCCTCGGGTGATCTTCTCACCGATTTCGAGATGTTCCGGGATGTTGAAAAGCTTGCTTCCGAGTCCAAACATTCCGCCGACGAAGCACGCGAGGTGCTGTCCCTCGGCGGTTAGATGAGGGCCCGTGTCATCAGACACGAACACATTTCCAGTGAAAAGTATATCGTCCTGATCCGGCGTCTTCGGCCGAAATAGCAAATTCTTTATAACTGTATCCATCGCTCCGCGGTAGAGCTTTTCGTACACTGGCTCAAGGCCGCCAAGTATGGCAAATGTTTTCGGTAAGTATTCGTAAAGACTATCCGCCAGCGCACCGAGCGTAAAGCTATTGTCATTGTCTAGCTGTAACTGTTTAAAGTCAAAGAATGTTGGCCACATGCCGGGTAGGGCGGTTTTGTTCTGCCATTCATCCAGGACCATTGTCACTCTGTTTATAGCGTCATAATATTTGTTGTTTCCCGTAAGCTGTGTTAGCCTAGTAAATTCGAGCGACGACGATGTGACGGAGGCAGACGGGTCATGATACCCAGCCTCTTGCTTACCATCTTTCGCATCATCGAAATCCAACCAGAACGGCGGCATGTGGTTAGGCGTGTCGTATGCCATATAAAGCATGTCGCCAAGCTCGACGGCTTTCTCGAGCAATGCCGTCTCCAAGCTCAAGTCATACGCGCCCAGGAGCCCTCCGAGGTGTCGAATAGTAGTCTCGAAGAAATTGCAAGAAGTATCCCTCGTATTGGACCAGTTGATGGTCACAGCCGCGGCGGCCGCTTCGTAGAATTCGTCTTTAAGGCCCATAATCCAGAGTGTCGAAAGAGAATCAACGAGCGTAGCTCCCCAACCTCCAAATCCAGGCGCATCCCTCCCTTTCCCGGATACCGGCATAAGTTCATCGTAACCAAAACCAGCGTTCTTGTAGCTAGTCCAACTCTTTACAAACGCGGCTTTAACTTCTGCACGTCGGCTCGCTAGGACCTCTTCCCTCGCAACACCTTCGGGGCTCGTATCGGTAATGAACGCATATTGGACTTTCGGCAGCGCAAGAGGCCTGCCGGTGGGTAGAGGCACATATTCTGATATGGGATACTTCAATTGCTGCTGAGACCAGTTGTAACTCGTCCTAACGAAGGTAAAGCCGAAGAGGGTATCGCGGTGCTCGGGGATAAGTCCGACTAAAAGATATAATACGAGTACTAGAAACAATGAAGCGAAGACGCGCGTCTTGCGTCGAAAGAGGGCCATTATGGCGTCATGAGGTTGGTGAAGGACCTGCCATTGGACATTTTCAACCAACATGGGTGGAGTTGGTGAATGTTATGAATGCCCTCTTTCGACTTTCTCTAACCCTATCAACCAACAACCAATAGGAATACTATTGACTCATTACCGACTCATTACCGACTCATTACCGACTCATTACCGATGTTATTAATGATTAAGATATGTGGGCGGCCAAGAAAGACGACGGACTGAAACAGGCTGGATCTGACAGCGCGCGCTGTGAGAACTGCATTGGTGAAACAAATACTAATACAAATATGTGTCAGGAATTGAGGCTATTTGGGTTAGGTAGTTATTTGAGATTTGAGATTTGAGTGCTGGAGAACTGGAGAAACTGGAGAAACTGTCCGCTAGAAATTAAAA